ACCATTGTCTAACTGGAGCTTACTCATTATTTTTTTCTTCCCTTTAACCTCTTCTAAACGCAAAAAATATTTAGTGCTTTTTTCACCATGTTCTGCCCAAAGTGCTTTAGAGCGTAACATAGCTCCTTTTGCTTCAGAACACGATAATAAATTAAACTTGTTCTTAAGCATGTTAATATTATTTACAGTAGTGATATCATTTGGGTTTTTACATAGCTTTTTACTTTCTGTTTTAAGTTGGTGTTTTACAGTATATAACTCATCTCTGTTTGCTCTTGCTTTCAGTCTGCCATATTCACATGAAAATGTTTTTACTTTATTTTTACAATAATCCCATTTAATTTGGGGATCATCAATATTGCATACATTTATCTTATTTTCAATTATGTTATTAATACCATCAACATAATCTTTATCTCTTAAGAAGCTATTATTGAGTTTCCAATAAGAAGGACCTTTATCTGTCTTGACTAGTTCTATGTTAACAATAATACCTCTGTGGTCAGAGTTTGGAATATCAACTATTTCAGAGTTTACCACCTTGTCAAAACATATATCATTCATAAAGTTATTCGTCGTATAATGTTTTGATTTTTATGACGCCATGTGAACATTTTCTCATTGGGATGAAAAAGGCGCCAAGTATCATTCATGTTATTTTGATAGATAAGATTTTTGAATCCATTTATTTCATTAATATTATGGTTTTTACCACTGATGTTATCAACATTTGGTTCTAAAACACAATTAAAGTCACCAGCTATAATAAGATTTACATTATTTGAATTGAAGTCTTTGATGTAACCATTTAATTTATTGTAAAATGATATCTTATCTTGGTTTTGATTTGGTGCATAAGTGTTGATGCACCTAAACACTTCATTTTCATTTTTGTTAAACATTGTATATATTTTTACAAAACGTGTTACAGTTTTCCACATTGTCATGGTTGTACCAGACATTGTTGAACAATGTTTATATTTTTACAAAACGTGTTACAGTTGTAACATTGGCGCAGTTGTACCATACATTGTTACATTATTATACACTATTGTCATAGTTGTACAACTATGACAATTTTAAAAAATGTAACACGTTTTGAAACAATGTATACCCTGTTCAACAATGTAACAATGTCTGGTTCAAGCGTGACAATGTATAATAATGCAACAATGTCTGGTACAATCGTGCCAATGTTAGAACTGTAACACGTTTTGTAATATACATTGTTCAACAATGTCTGGTACAACCGTGACAATGTAGAAAACTGTAACACGTTTTGTGATAAAAGATACAATATATTTCAATCATGAAACAATGTCTGGTGCAAGAGTGAAAATTTTAACACTGTAACACGTTTGGTAACAACAGATAAATATCTAATAATGCTAAAATGTCTGGTACAACTGTGACAATGTTTAGAAATGTAACAGGTTTTTAAACAATATACATGATATATACCCTGTCCAATAATGTAACAATGTCTGGTACAACCGTGACAACGTATAATAATGTAACAATGTCTGGTACAAACGTGCCAATGTTAGAACTGTAACACGTTTTGTAAAAATATATACAATGTTCAACAATGTCTGGTACAACCGTGACAATGTTGAAAACTGTAACACGTTTTGTGACAAAAGATACAATATATTTTAATAATGCAAGAATGTCTGTTAAAACAGTTAAAATTAGAAAAAATGTAACACGTTTGGTAACAACAGATACAATATCTTATAACGCAAAAATGTCTGGTACAACTGTGACAATTTTAAAAAATGTAACACGTTTTTGAACAATGTATACCCTGTACAATAATGAAACAATGTCTGGTACAACCGTGACAATGTATAATAATGTAACCATGTCTGGTACAACCGGGACAATGTTAATTATGTTAATATATAACGTGTAACAATGTCTGGTACAAACGTGCCAATGTTAGAACTGTAACACGTTTTTTAAAAATATATACAATGTTCAACAATGTCTGGTACAACCGTGACAATGTTGAAAACTGTAACACGTTTTGTGACAAAAGATACAATATCTTATTATGTAAAAATGTCTGGTACAACTGTGACAATTTTAAAAAATGTAACACGTTTTTAAAAAAATATATACCTTGTTCAATAATGTAACAATGTCTGGTACGACCGTGACAATGTATAATAATGTAACAATGTCTGGTACAACCGTGACAATGTATAACAGTGTAATAATGTCTGGTACAACCGTGACAATGTATAACAGTGTAACAATGTCTGGTACAACCGTGACAATGTATAACAGTGTAACAATGTCTGGTAGAACCGTGACAATGTATAACAGTGTAACAATGTCTGGTTCAACCGTGACAATGTATAACAGTGTAACAATGTCTGGTACAACCGTGACAATGTATAACAGTGTACAATGTCTGGTAGAACCGTGACAATGTATAACAGTGTAACAATGTCTGGTACAACCGTGACAATGTATAACAGTGTAACAATGTCTGGTACAACCGGGACAATGTATAACAGTGTAACAATGTCTGGTACAACCGTGACAATGTATAACAGTGTAACAATGTCTGGTACAACCGGGACAATGTATAACAGTGTAACAATGTCTGGTACAACCGGGACAATGTATAACAGTGTAACAATGTCTGGTAGAACCAGGACAATATATAACAGTGTAACAATGTCTGGTACAACCGGGACAATGTATAACAGTGTAACAATGTCTGGTACAACCGTGACAATGTATAACAGTGTAACAATGTCTGGTACAACCAGGACAATGTATAACAGTGTAACAATGTCTGGTAGAACCGGGACAATGTATAACAGTGTAACAATGTCTGGTACAACCGTGACAATGTTTAACAGTGTAACAATGTCTGGTACAACCGTGACAATGTATAACAGTGTAACAATGTCTGGTACAACCGGGACAATGTATAACAGTGTAACAATGTCTGGTACAACCGTGACAATGTATAACAGTGTAACAATGTCTGGTACAACCGGGACAATGTATAACAGTGTAACAATGTCTGGTAGAACCGGGACAATGTATAACAGTGTAACAATGTCTGGTACAACCGTGACAATGTTTAACAGTGTAACAATGTCTGGTACAACCGTGACAATGTATAACAGTGTAACAATGTCTGGTACAACCGGGACAATGTATAACAGTGTAACAATGTCTGGTAGAACCGGGACAATGTACAACAGTGTAACAATGTCTGGTACAACCGTGACAATGTTTAACAGTGTAACAATGTCTGGTACAACCGTGACAATGTATAACAGTGTAACAATGTCTGGTACAACCGTGACAATGTATAACAGTGTAACAATGTCTGGTACAACCGTGACAATGTATAACAGTGTAACAATGTCTGGTACAACCGGGACAATGTATAACAGTGTAACAATGTCTGGTAGAACCAGGACAATATATAACAGTGTAACAATGTCTGGTACAACCGTGACAATGTATAACAGTGTAACAATGTCTGGTACAACCGGGACAATGTATAACAGTGTAACAATTTCTGGTACAACCGGGACAATGTATAACAGTGTAACAATGTCTGGTACAACCGGGACAATGTATAACAGTGTAACAATGTCTGGTAGAACCGGGACAATGTATAACAGTGTAACAATGTCTGGTACAACCGTGACAATGTATAACAGTGTAACAATGTCTGGTACAACCGTGACAATGTATAACAGTGTAACAATGTCTGGTACAACCGGGACAATGTATAACAGTGTAACAATGTCTGGTACAACCGGGACAATGTATAACAGTGTAACAATGTCTGGTACAACCGGGACAATGTATAACAGTGTAACAATGTCTGGTAGAACCGGGACAATGTATAACAGTGTAACAATGTCTGGTACAACCGTGACAATGTATAACAGTGTAACAATGTCTGGTACAACCGTGACAATGTATAACAGTGTAACAATGTCTGGTACAACCGTGACAATGTATAACAGTGTAACAATGTCTGGTACAACCGGGACAATGTTATTTATGTAAAAATATAACATGCCACGGTTGCGCCAGATTCCTGCAGGTTTCGCTAACATTGCCACGGTTGTACCAGAAAGAAACCTTCATTTGATTGTATATGCTTTGTTCCGTCAACCATGGAGCATTTGCCACAACATCCAAGAGGTAAATCATGGACCGTGAAAATGAATGATTTCCTTGTAAGTTCAGGAAGTTTCAATACGAAAAATTACCGAACATACGTGAAACCGAATATTTGTTCGTTGTTTTCACGATTTACAGGTTCGTTTGTTCTTCAATGTTTTGGTCTAAATTATAAAGCATCACCAACAGGTCTTACTCTATTAATCGACTAACACAGCAGACGGCTCATATTTCTACGTAGCATTTCGTTCAGACCAATAGTGGGAGTGTAGATCACGCAGTTTCATTCATTGCGTACTTCACTTGAAATTGGTAATTTTAAATATTGGCTACTTCACTTAGCTTGGCGGATGTAGAACATTGCTTAATATTCTTTTAATTTTCACACCAGACATGCTTGGTTGACACGTCAACAAAGTAAAGTTCAAGGGTCAATGCGTTATTTCGTGATAACTACAACGCCTTCCTGGAAGTCAACATTGATGAAAAATGAAAAAGTCGGAAAAGCATTTACACTAATTTCTATCAAATGGTGTGTTTATGCATCATTATCGATGTAACAAAGGTGATATGGTTTCATTAAGATTCGGGTTCTAACCTTTAGAAGGTAAGTCAGACTCCCAAACGTCAGCTAACTCTTATATTTAGCATGTTAGCGACGAACTCAGGCCATGAAAACAATTCTACATGTATGTATTAGTTCTTACACTATACAGTGAGTGGGGGGATTTAGATCTTCTTTCTGGGCCTGTATTAGAACTTAGGCAGGCTATGCAAGGCCAATGCTGGTAGTACAGTTTTGTATGTAGTACAAAAATGTTTTGTTTTTTCAGAAGTCAAACTAATTCAGAAGTCAAACTCACTTCGTAAGCAAGTAAAATGGCAGAGGAAGACAGAACTAAGGAGGATGTTGCCAGAGAAAACAGAACCAAGGAGGATGTTACCAAAGAAGATGTTGACATTGAAATGGTGATGGATATTGTTGATGGAAAACTGGTGTATTGCTGTCCAAGATGTGATTACAGTTCTCAAAGTAATGGACATCTTCAAAAACATCTGAAGTCTCACAAAACATCATGTAAGTGGTAGAATCATTAAGCGTAATGGTTATGTTATTAAGTATATGAATCTTGGTCTTACCCATGGGCCTTTTTGTTCCTTCGTTGAGCATTGAATCGACTTCATTAATATATCAAGTTAACAAAACTCCAATTGATGATTTGAACTAATGATGGGCATTTATCATCTTTAGTCTAATTCTAATATGTGGTTACATGTAGTACATGCAGATTATAATACACTGCATTATGCCCCCTAGGGTGGTTATCAACTTAACTTGTTAGATAAGAGTTTAGATTGGAACTCGTAATTAAGATCTAGATAATAACTCTTACAGTAAATAATGTATATATGCTACTTATGTATATGTCTTTCTTCAGATGTCCCAGAGAAATGTGTGATCCACCATCCATGTACAAAGTGTGCCCAGAGCTTCTCTGATGAAGGTCAACTTTTCAAGCACTTTTTGCGAAGTCACACAGGTACTCCATTCTCTTGTACTATGAGTTCACACTTCAATAAATTATGTACACACTTTTTACACATTGAAAAATGACAAATTATTTTGAGAAAAGTTTCTAGAATTTTGTTGGATGTTATTGGAATCAGTACTATTACTAAAAAATGACAGAAAATGATTTTCAAAATTGTTTCCAGAATTTTGTTGAATCATGTATGATTGAATTTTATGGTAAGGTCATTGGAATCAGTATTAAATCTGTTTCATTGATATAAAGCATGAATTTTGCTTGAAAGCTTGCAAACTGACAACACTCAATGTAGAAATGTCTTGTCACTATTAATGTTTACAATAGCAACCATGATTTCTCTATCACACAATATACAGACTTTCCAGGTGAAATGAAAAATTGAAAAGATAATGAGGTAATTTATTACAAGCTATTTATTGTACCTAAAAAGGTGCAATATTGTCATCAGTTTGGTGGTTTGCAAGCAGCAGGTAGGCAGCCATGTATGTTTCTCTATAATATCTGCATTTTTCCACGGGTGGAAAAAACAGATGTCTTTCTCGGTATTAAAATCTATAATGATATGTTTTTGCCCTTGTTGGATAACTTTTATGTGAGCTATTTGATTATTCACAATATTGCTGTACAATATTGTTCACTCTGTGTCATGTTTTTATATTTATAGAAAAAAGAAAAAAGCCAGAAAAGGAAAAGACAATAAAGATAAAACTTGTAAATGAATATCCAGTGAAGAAGAAACCTGGAAAGAAGAAGGCACCTAAGGAAAGAACAGTCAAGGAAAAACCAGTGAAGGAAAAGCCAATAAAGGAAAAGACACCTAAGGAAAAGCCAATAAAGGAAAAACCAGTTCAGGAAAGTCCAGTTAATGATCTCCCATTAGGGGAAAGACGTGCAAAACTTAAAGCAAAAGAATTAGTGAAAGAAAAGCAACTGGTGAAAAATGTATGGAAGGAACAATATAGTAAGAATAAACCAGTGCCATTGACTGACAAACAAGGAAGTGAAGAACAAATGAAGAACTCAGAAAAGGAATATAAATGTAAAATTTGTAACTTGACATTTGAAAACAAGTTGGCTTTGATCAGTCATCAAGGACATCATAAGCGGAAATTTCCCCGGAAGTTGAACCGTAATGAGTTGAGTTCTGCCCCTCATGCCTGCCCTGTCTGTAACAAGGTATATAGCTCATCTGCCAATTGTCGCAGGCATATAAGGGAACATACTGGTAAGTCTTTTTGAACACATTTGACACTGTATTTACCAATTTTTTTTTAAACACGAATTTATGACAAAAAACTGTAAAGTCAAAATGTATACACATTGTGCTCCTTGTATATTTTGTGAATTTTAAATTTTCGAATTTTGGAAATCAATTTGAGAATTTAAAAAATTCCCAGTGATTTAATTAGCAAATTTTGTGACAATTTATTTTTAGCGATTTTACCATAATTTCAAATTGCACCAGATTAAATCACATGCAACAAATACTGGGAGTACAGTAACTTTATGCATGTCAAATGTTGGTGATTCAGGAATGAAGGAGTTGGTATACAGAGTCACTGTCTGGGCCTTTTTAATGTAAGCATATTCCCCTTAATAATTTTGAACAAGTCTGAGGTTTAGGGTCTATAATATGCAAAATTCCTTTTAAAATAACAACTGCTCTAAATCTACTCTCTAACAGGTGAAAAGAAGTACAAGTGTGATTACTGCGATATGAGATTTCTGTACCACACAAGTCGCAGAGTCCACATATTGCATCATCACACCAAAGAGAGGCCATTCTCATGTGACATTTGCGGGAAAACATTCACCACGAGGTCTGACGTTACAAGGCATAAAACAGTCCATTCAAGTAATAAAAATAATTACAATGCAATTTTTGTATGAACATGTTTAGTAATTTAGTAACTGTATCTATTGTCTGCAGAAAAAGTGGGAGAAAAACTTACTTTTCTCAAATATGTGCCACCTGTATGACAAACTACTGCATTACCTTGTTGTTTAAGAACCCTATTCGAACCAATTGGAATTGAAAATAAGTAACATAATTTTACTGGTCTTCTAAGATATAGAGGGTTTCATGATATCCCTATAGGCTATGATGATAACATAGGGATATGATGATATCCCCATGTTTAAGTCAATGATGCATATCCGCTTGTTAAGTTATAACGCCCTTGCTGAAATTCTGAGAAGAACAAATGGTCGATTAAGCCTCAACCAGTTAGAAATATGTTACTTACCATGTCTAAAATCAATCCCAATTGGATAGAATAAGAATTTCTGGGTTACCTCTCTTTTTAAGTCATGCATTTGAATAGCATGAAAATTTTTTCTAACTTTCCATGGGGCCTTCAAGACCAGAGTCACAATACATTAAAAGTACCATTATATTACAGATGAAAAGCCAGTGAAGTGTGACCTGTGTGGTAAAGGATTTAAGACTAGAGTCATGATGAGGTCACATAGAGATTCCCATAGTAACATCAAGAGGAAAACATGCACAGTCTGTAACAAGGTACTGGTACATGTATTGTATATTAATATTGTATATCTTGAGCAATTTGAATTTTTCAGTTCAGTTTTATGCATCTTTCCAAGGTTTGGAAATTCAACAGGAATTGTCTCAGAGCGTGGTTTGTTGACAAAATTCTTGTCCCAGAAATAGGGCATTATGAAATGCAAATGTTCCCTATAATCAGCAGAATCTACTTTTACTACTTTTGTCCAGTTATTGTAGTACCCAGTGAATTTGACAGACCAATATTTTTTAGTCAAAATTTTCCAATTATTAGATGTTAAACCAATCGTGAGTGGAATTAGACACATTTTTATTTTGAACTTCATCACATGACAGGCAAACATAAAAAATAAAGTAATGAAGATATACAGTGGATTTGAACATATATCACTGAAACAGTTTCTTTTCTAAATATCATGCTTTGATATTTTCATACTTGCAAGAAATGCTGTAATAATGATTCAAACATGAATGTTCTCGATCTAATTAGGTTTCTCATTTCTCAACCAATCAGAATGCAGCATAGCTGTTCTCTATTTCTCCATACTTGCACGACCATACATTATGCACATCCGGGAATCTACATTGTACTGTGACATCACATCTAGGCCTCTGTCTAGAGATGGCCACTGACGAATTTTGACAAGAGAATGGCAAAAAGTTGAACAATGTTTCCTTCATTTTTTATGTTTGAATCGGAATAAATAATGATAGTCCATTCAAAATGATAATGCCTTTCATTATTTATTCCTTAATCAATAGGATGAAAGGATTAAACGAACTAACAAATTGTTTGTTCTAGATGTTCAGGACTAAGGCAAACCTGATGTCTCATATGAATACTCACAGAGAGAGAACATTTGAATGTGAGTATTGCCGGAAAGCCTTCAAAACAGATACTGCTCTGAAGATGCATATCAACATACACACAGGTACACTATCAACCAATATGTTTTATTTGGCAGTGTTGTCCCCATTATTTACTCCTAGTGGGTGCAAATCTTCACAACTCTGAACAAACCTAGTCATAATAATGCTTATTTAATGCAAGTGTCAATGATTTTTGTGCACCCCTATTTTAAAAATCTCAAGTGGGTGCAGCTTTCATTTGCTCCTGAATACTGGGGACAAAATTGCTATCTTGGATTCAAAACAGGCCCATAGTAAAGAGAATTATGATTTTTACATGAAATTCGATCTCAGCTTGATATTGTACCCTATAGATGCATATTTAAAAAACATCAAGATAAATATCAGAACAAGATGATATTAGTCTTTTAGATTGCATAAATAACCTTAATGTCAACAGCCATTGTATTGGATTTAGAGTGCCTTGTGTAATTTATTCAAGCTTTATTTATTAAGTGCTTTTATAAGGTATGTACATGTATACTATTACTCTGCCTGAAAACCCCTTAACCCAAATGCTTTACTGACCATCTCCTACCAATCAATCATTTCAATTGAAAATTCCAATTGTATTTTTTTTTTGCAGAAGAAATAAAGTACAAATGCAACATATGTAGTAAAGGTTTCAACCATTATGCAAATCTACGTCGACATCAAGTCACTGTTCACTCCACCACATTGCGGTTTGTTTGCGGCACATGTGGAAAGGGATTTAAACACCGCATCAGCTATATGTATCATTTCCGCACACACAATGAAGTTCCTGATAGCGTCCAATGTGAAAAGTGCCATGTTAAATTCTCTTCTAAAGGTATACTAGTTTTTGGTTGTTCATTCTATATCAATTCATAGTGCTATTTTCCATTTTTAAGGTGATTTTAAAGATTTTTACAAGTAGATAAAACTGAAGTACCAATTTAATTTTCAATTAAAATATTTAAAGAACACATTCATTTAGCAAAATTAACATAATTATGTTACAACCACAAGTGGTGACATATTGTTATTGTCTCCAACTTTTTGTGGCAGCGTTTAGTGTTCGGCATCTGTATCTGTAGCAAATGATATGTGGTGATATTTTGCATCTTGATGTCTTGTTTTCTTTTATTTTACAGGTAATTATACGAGACATAAATGCAGAGGATGGTTGCTACGTACAGAGGAGGTTGACTCCCAGGGGGCCATGGTATCTATGCAGGGAATATATGTAAACCTAGAGACATTGGATACAAAGCTAGGATCTGCATATGTGGCTTTGGATGATATATGTGATGTAATAGATAAAAATGACATCACAAGCGGTAATGTCTACATTGTTAATGATGTCATAGAAGACTCAAATACAGACACTGACTTTTTCTCTGATGATCCCTTGACAAATAATGATTCGAAAAGTTGGTTTAAACCTAAAAATTATAAGGTAAAACTAGACCAGATTAAAAATCCCAATGAAAATGCAAATAATCCAAATAAAAGTGTGAACTATCCCAATGATGCAATGGATGATCCCAATGATAGTGTGGAAAATCCCAATAATAGTGTGGACAGTCCTAGCAAAAGTGAGGAGAATCCCAATGATATTGTGGACAATCTCAATAATAGTGTGGACAGTCCTAGCAAAAGAGAGGAGAATCCCAATGATATTGTGGACAATCCCAATAATAGTGTGGACAGTCCTAGCAAAAGTGAGGAGAATCCCAATGATATTGTGGACAATCCCAATAATAGTGTGGACAGTCCTAGCAAAAGTGAGGAGAATCCCAATGATATTGTGGACAATCCCCATAATAGTGTGGACAGTACTAGCAATAACGAGATGAATCCCAATGATAGTGTGGACATTCCAAATGATAGTATAGGTGGCTCTGGTGACCCTATACCAATAGCTAATCAAAACAATAGTATAGATAATCCAAACATCAGTGTGCCAAATGACCATGTATATGACTCCAATGATAGTATGGATTATTCTGTTGAGAATATGGATGAAGAATCAGGTACTATCAAAATGGAAGGTGAGACTTCTAGTCATAAGTCAAGTGAACTGACCAATGCAATATTTGATGAATCTCATGATTCTGACGTGGTGCCAATTTTTACACAGCAGACAGAACCAAAGTGTGAGACAATCACAAATGAATCAGGGGAAACTGAAATGAAACTTGATGCTCTAATGAAAGAGTCCAGTGATTTACCAAATGACCCATTAATGAGTAAAACAGAAAACACTAATCAACTTGATGACACAATAATTGGTAAAACAGAAAATACTAATCTGCCAGATGACACAATTATGAATGAAATAGAAAATACTGGTCTAGCAAATGATCATAAAGATGCTGAAACAGAAAATGATGGGCCACAGGACAAAGAGTCTAAGAAAGATATAATTGATAATGCTGAATTGATAAATGATATCACTGCCAAGCGTAATGTAGAGTTCACGAAAGGCAATCCATTGGGACATAACGATCCTGTTCTTCCTAATGGTGTTGGAGATGGGAAAACTGATGTTGAATATGAGCAAAATAGAGAAAATAATACTGCAATTTAATAGGGCAATTTGGACATTCAAAGACATATTTAAAAATGATGGTGCTGAAATCAGGAGGTTGTGTGTCTGAAATGATGAATCTCAAAAAAACAAAAAATGTATTTTGGATATAATGATGTCTGGAGTAAGTTACTTACTCAGTTACATGTAGTGTACTATACAATGAGACATCTATGTGAGTATACATCATTGTGCAAGAGATCATTTGGTCTTATTTTAAGGACTTTGAAACATAAATAGGCGTGCTACCTTCTGGCCAATCAGAACACAGTTTATCCATGCCATATTAAACAACTAAGCATAGTTAAAGGGATGCTGTCATAAGAGAAACCATGGCCTTGTGCAAAAACCTATAGATATCATCAACAATGATTTGCCAATAGGAGGTCCTTATCTAAAATTTGTTAAAAATTGAGGCTTTTAATGATCAAAATAAAGTGAGTCTGAGTCCCTTAAGAAAAAATCTCCTTACTCGGGACTTCAAGGTTCACTTGATTATACATGTTCCTGGGTCTTTGTGTATGAGCCTTGGATATCATCCTTGCAAAAAATGTTTCTGGTTGAAATTCAGTTATTTCTATTAAAGAATTTTAACAAATAATTCAATTTAATTGTTTATGATTTCTTGCACTGGATTCATGTATAATAGCCTTAAACTTATACTTAAAGTTCATAAATTAAATTGCTAACAATACTCTTGTGCAATAAACCAACAACTCAGGCATCAGGTCAACATCCTCGGTGTATACATGTATGTTGATATGTTTTAATGACCTGCCTTAAATGTAGCTAGGACTATAAGGAAACAGAATAAATGAAATGTTGTATTTTATTTCTCATAAAAATGTCAAATTAGTGAAATATTCACATTTTATACTGTAGAAATTTTTCTTTTACTGTATTCTCTAGGGTTATTGTAACATTAGATGTTATAAGTTATCTACTACAAATGTACATGTATCAATGGTATTCATGTTTTTCTCCATATTAAATCTACCATTGAGATCTATATAAAATGAAGTGCATTGTTGTTATGTACAATGTAATGTTAATTTTCTTGAAGCTGGCTTGTGTTGTCAGTCAGGTTTACATTATATGTTTTGTATATTCTTACAGAATAATGTATATTATGAGGTTATATAATGGTTGATTCCGTATATCGTGTTTATACTCAAGTGAGTATATGATATATTCACGAGTGACCGAAGGGAACAAGTGAATATATCATATACTCACGAGAGTATAACGATATACAGAATCAACCATTATATGATCTTATTATCCCACCCTAATATTTAATCAATAAAATATTAATCTAAATTCAGCAGTTGTATATCAAGTCGAAGAGTTGTATACGCTGCCCAGGAGTTGTATACGCTATCCAGGAGTTGTATATCGTTCTCAAGAGTTGTATACGATGAGTGTTGGTTTTATATTGCAGTTATACAATGCTATTATACAATCATATAAAGCACTTAGGGTGGGATAAACACTGTTATCAGTATATTAGTATATGTAGCTTTAGTATTTTTGGTAAATTGAGTCATGTGCTTTCAACTAGATGAAAGCCCATGATTGAGTAGATCAAGAAAGATGAGTAGATGGTTGTAATCTTTTAATTAAATGTCTTTAACTTTGTGAGTTGAGAACATTGATTTCGCTGTTTAAAATTATCATTTAACTTAAGAACATCAAAACTGATATTTATTTCATGTCATAAAGTATTTTTAAATGTTCCATGGGCTTTCAACTAGATGCTCATGGTTCCACCTATGGTTTACCTTAGTCATTATCTTCTATCTAGTGTTATAAAATGCAGAGCTCATATGGGTCTGATATGGTTGTTAAGTAATGGAAGTAAAGGACTCGATAAACATCTAACAGTTATCCTATAATAAGGGAAAACACTTTGAAAACAATCAACATGATTCCAAATGGGTTACTCAATAGTGTGTAAGTGTTTATTCCTATGGCAATTATACTGGTATTTTGTATCTACACTACATTAAATTGTTTCAGTTTGACACAATAAAAGACATTCTTTGCAAAAAACAATATCGTATTTAGTTTAATGTTTCCTTGTATATCTGAGAAAAATGTGGTTTTGCTTACCTTATTTAACAATACTTTATCGTTCTTGGACACTATATCCCACCTATTGGCAATGTTCCTTAAAAATATCGCTATTGAAAACACCATTGCTATACAAGTGTGATCCTATGTTACTTTTGTTGATACAAGAGTGGTCCTATGTTTCTTTTGTGTTGAATAAAAACATGGCATGATTAAATGAGAATATGAGAGTTGTCCATTTTTATTGTTTCATAACTGTATCTCTAAAGTGAATACCACTCTATTTTGTGTTTTTTTACTGTCATTTCAAATCAGCAAATCTGTCACTTTCGTCAATGTTAAATCAACGATCGATGTACTCTCAATTAGTTTACAGTACATTTACAATTAAAGAGAAATATCCCAAGTCCAGTGTGTTCAATCGCAATCTATCTATGGGCCATCTATTGTTGTCATCTAAGCTGACAGGCGACCGACACATATACTTAATTTGATATCTTACTCTCTTCTGCCATCTATTTGTGAAGATGACTTGTTTCGGAATGTGCCCGTCGTTGTGTGGAGCACGTCATTTGCCTTTGACGGTATTTGTTTGATGGAGACGTGGCACGGTATGATATATGACAGCTAACAAAGAAAATAACATTCTCCATCATAGCCTCAACAGATGCTTATGCCATTGCCATCACAGTTCTGTTTTATTTGCATAATAGTTGTCGACGGTGTCCATGGATTTCTGCGTTATGTTGCAGTCGCAGATGGATGTACCAGTTGGCATCTTAAACTGAACGAGCAGCACGAAGTAAGTGAGTAGCATACCTATGATCTGAAAGTAAAGAGTGAAAAGTAAAAAAAACTCATTTAATGTACGCGAGGCGTTGTTACTGGTTGCCATTTCCATTGTAAAACATCAACGTTACACCTTGTCTAAGTGATGGCAATGTCTAACGCATCTTGGCTACTACTTGGATATGTTTTGGAAACAAACTTAAATCATGCGTTAAACGATTTGTCACCATCTGCTAGCTGTAAAATTACTACTCTCGATCCAGAGAGCGGGTACATATCATATTCATCCGAACCCGGTCGCTCTAGGGAATATAAATCTTAACCTCATGCAGAGATAAAAATGTATTTGTGTCGCAATATCACCCCGGAATAGCCTGACAACGGTAGTCAGATACCGTTGTCACAAATGGCGGACATAACCATCGCTTCAATTAGATTTTCATGAACTGTATGTTTAATAGAGCACCTAGACTAAATTCCTTTGGAACAACAATCAATCAAAGTGTCTTAATACTCAATTACTCAAATTCAGATTCCGCTGTCATTGACGATATCGAAGACGCTATATTGTGGCGATCCATGACCCAATTTGATCGAAAATGGGATTTCATATGATACATTATCAAAAGAGCTTAATGCATGCACAGAATAAGTGACGATAAAATCCCATGAAATGAGAACCAAGTGATTAAACAGTTGAAGCGACGGTTATGTCCGCCATTTGTGACAACGGTATCTGACTTTACCGTTGTCAGGCTATTCCCGTGTGAATATAATGCTTGACATGTTAAGTAGCCCTGAATAATTTGTCTAGTACTATTGTCGAACTGGACAAGGAGATTGATTTAGGCATTGCTTCTCTTCAAAAGTACGACTCTAAAATGTGGTCGAGTAATCTCTTAAAAGCCCATGGTATAATTCAATAATAAACGACCAACAGCCCACGGCTCATTTCATAAACCAATGATTCATATATGTTAAGGCCCGGTCACACCGCCCGGACGTTGCTGGAGCGTTCCTTGAACGTTGAAAAAAATCATCAACGCTCGTCAACGCGCACAAAATGGGGAAAAAAACAAAAACACGGGCGTTGGCTTAGCGGTGCACCGCTGAAGCCGGCGTTGCTTTAGCGTTGGTTAAACGGTTGCGAGCGGTAGCTAGCGTTTGTTTAGCGGTAATGCGAGCGTTGGTATAGCGGCGTTCTGCGCATGAGAGCGTTGCCTCGGCGGGGGTATAAATAGCAGCAGCGTTGGTTTAGCAGCATATCGCGTTTGACTACTGGGAAATTATTTCAAGTGGGAAGAGTTTAAGAGTAAAGACCTTTATTGGAATTTGTAACTTTAACAAAAGTCCTTCAAGGATTAAAGAAGAAATGTTTTAAATCTAAAGTGCTTTTATTAATGTTATATGACATTAAGAATGAATAACATTACAATTTTCTTTAATAATCTCTCATATCATTTCAAACAAACATATCACAATTCAATCGTTGCATTTCCATTACTTGGAACCGATTTACGTTCAAATTGCTTTAACAATGTCAAATAACATTTACAGCAAAGTAATAATCATGACGCATGACAAATTTTTGCATTGCTGTGCGCGCATCAACTTTTTGTATAATACCATGACGAGTGCAACATTTTACAAGCTGCGCAGAAAATTCACAGATAATTTATTGAATTGCTTGACGTGAAAACACTAGGTATATACTATATTTGAATAAAGGTCTCAGTAAAAGTATATTTGTATCAACATTTAATGAAAAACAAAAATCGCATAATTCACCTTTTTAAAATCCAAAATCACAAACTTTGAGCGCTTAATTTAGGAATTTACAATGCAAAAAATTGAAATGCCAGACATGAATATATATCAAATGTAAAATGAACAAGTGTCTCCACAGTGTTCTACACAGTGGTGCATTTCTCCACGTATTTATAGCCAAATTCTGGTCCCGCTCCGACACCTCTATACCAACGCCAAAGCAAAGTTCATCGCCGCCATGGAACGCTGCGACAACGTCCGACACCGTTCCAACAACCCCATGTACGCTGATAAAACGCTAACAACCGCTCCACCGACGTCTGTGCAACGTTTAATCGCCGCCCGGGCAACGCTGGCGAAGCAGCGGTGGTCCAGCGTTTAAGATTTCTGCGTTGGTCTAGCGGATTCAAGCGTCCACGAACTTGCGTCTAGCGGTGCCAAACTTTGACTGGACGTTGGTGGAGCGGTGATAAACTTTGCCAGGGCGTAAAATTGTCCCTTTTTCAACGCTCGCAATATTTTGAGCAGCTCAAAACTTTTGGAGCGTTAGGATGGCCACTCGAGAAACATCAGCGTTGGCCGAGCGTTTACAGCGTTGCTTTAACGGATGCCAACTTTTGTTAAACGGTGGTGAACGTTTACGAGCGTTGATGATTTTTTTCAACGTTCAAGGAACGCTCCAGCAACTTTTAGGCGGTGTGACCGGGCCTTTATACGCAAGGAAAGTTGAACATTTTGAATTTGTATATATGGTGTTTTAATTTGGCGAATTAGGGTATCTTTAAGAATTGTAGAAGACGAGGATATAAGGTGCAGGGTGTCAAATAAGTCCCGTCCCCCCTGCTACAGCTAAAACCTTAATAGATGGTACCTAGTGTGATATACCATTGGAAAGAGCATCCAAAGTTATGTTAACTCACCAACTGTCAAGTATTTTGGATGAAATTCACCTCTATTTTCATGATGTCCTTTATAGTTACTGTACCCTCCTTAAGCAGCTTTCATTGCGTCAAAATGAGAAGGAAATACGTCAAAAGGTTAATCTTTTTCGCATTCAACTTGAAACAAAAAGGTTTTCACCATTTTTCCATGCACCTCTATTTTCTACTCATCTAACCCTATCCAGAAATTGGTTGAATTCATTGCCATATACATATGTAGTCATCTTTAGATCCTGCCAAATACGCCAAATTGCCATGTTTCAAGGCCTATGGTCACCTCAATTGATATAATGTAAAAAAATAGTGAGATTGATTGACATGTGTCAGATATATGCCAATCAACGTACCTTTGGAAGACCTTTGATATATCACACTTGGTACCATATAACTTGGTCTTGGCTGTAGATGGGCGACGGGACTTATTTGACACCCTGTATACTCTTTATGCCCTCGCCTTTATTAGCAACGATATAGATGTAAAACAAACAAAAATCAGTCTTTCCACAAAAAAATATATTTTATTTCAGTCATTAATATTCACTTTAAATTAATAATATCTGAGTTGTACAAAATAATTATATATTACATAATATTCACTCTGCTTTATTCACATTTGATTTTGATTTTCTACGATACTATTGATACTAGTTACAATTTTTTACGAAATGATTTTTTCGGGAATTTTTGTCCAGAGTCGCTTTTGATTCATTCCTCACTTGGTGTCGTATTGTAGAAACACATGATTATAATGACTATAAAGACAAAGATATATAGAGTAAAAGCTTAAGAACTGGTGGAAATTTTGGAGGATGCTAAGTAAAATAGAACTTAGGAAACATTTTGAAATAGCCAAAAGCTGGGTCATAGAGATGGACAATTAGTTGCAAGCAATCTATTCCTCCATATCCCCTGAATTGATATGAATGTATGATTTATTCTTGAAATCTCACCGTACTAGTTGCGATAAATCCCTCGTTGCACGAAATATTCCAGTTTCATATAAAGCTATGTGAAAACTGGGTTTGAAATGGAAACATATGGTATTTAAACGTTATATATGCATGACCTTTTCAAATGACTATCATTGGTAAGTATTTATATATTTATAACCCGTTTTAACAGATTTTGCAGGTTTTCCTTTAATAGATGTTTGCCGAGAATTAATTGTTTCTGTAACTAGATTGAATGGATAATTGGGAAAAAGACCATCAGCACAAGATGATCACAATATAGCAATTTCTTCGAAAAAGTTGAAAACTAAGAAAAACGTGATGAAAAAGAAAAACGGAAAAAAGAATGGAATGAAGAAGAGGAAGAAAAAATATGATAATGAACAAAGACTACGATGAAAAAGAAGACGATGGCGAGGACGAAGACGAAGAAAAAATATGATAATGAACAAAGACTACGATGAAAAAAGAAAGCGATGGCGAGGACGAAGACGAAGACGAAGAAAAAAAGATGACGAGACAACGAAGACGAAAAATATGAACTGGCCAAATGGAATTTGAAACACCAGGATCGCGAGGCCAGCGACTATAAGAGGAAGACTGAGAAAACACTGAAAGTGAAAGACAGCAAATGAACCCAATAGTACATTCAACACACCAAATGAACTCAGCATAAAGACAGCAAATGAACTCAAAAGTACAGTGAGTACAGCAAATGAACTTAGTAGTACAAGAAAACAAGAGACACCAAATGAATTCAGTAGTAGCAATACTCGATAGTATAGTTAAGGCAGCTAATGAACTTAATAGTACAGTAAAGACAGCAACTGAACTCAGTTCTACAGGAAAACAAGAGACAGCAAATGAACTCAGTAGTAGCAAATTTAAGTACATTAAAGACAGCAAATGTACTCAATTGTATGAGACAGCAAATTAAATGAACTCAGTAGTACAGTAAAGACATCAAATGTACTCAATAGTACAGTAAAGACAGCAAATGAACTCAGTAGTACAGTAAAGACAGCAAGTGTACTTAATAGTACAGTAATGACAGCAAATGAACTCAGTAGTACAGTAAAGACAGCAAATGTACTCAACAGTACAGTAATGGCAGCAAATGAACTCAATAGTACAGTAATGACAGCAAATGAACTCAGTAGTACAGTAAAGACAGCAAGTGTACTCAATAGTACAGTAATGACAGCAAATGAACTCAGCAGTACAGTAAAGACAGCAAGTGTACTCAATAGTACAGTAATGACAGCAAATGAACTCAGTAGTACAGTAAAGACAGCAAGTGTACTCAATAGTACAGTAATGACAGCAAATGAACTCAGTAGTACAGTAAAGACAGCAAATGTACTCAAAAGTACAGTATTGACAGCAAATGATACACATGAAGACACGGAGAGTACAAGAGATAAAAGAACCAAGATTGACCACGGGGCGCCATAATGGGTCGAAACTGATACTACCTGAAGCCATCAACTTTGCGAGCTAGACCAACTGAGGATAACAAGCGAAGTCCAACACCAATCCATATGAAATGTTCCAGGTGGAGTTGCGCGAAATATGATGATGTAGTACACTTTAATGAGTTAAAACATAAGCGAGTTAAACAATCTTCCCAATGAACAGGCCATACAAACGTGTATTAAATGATTTGAATTTCTAGTGATTCGAAATTCAGATACTAGTAGTACCCAGAAGTTGCTACTTTAATAACTTTAATTTCCATGTACCCCTTCATGAAATTGGAAAGTGCAAAAGAGATTTATCTAACTGATATTATGAGATTTCAAGAATATTAGTAGTTTCAGAAAATGTTGTATTCAAGATGTTATGGAAAATAATGCCCGCACTTTATTGAGCCTCGCAATGGAAGATTTTACTTAAGAAGGTAATATTGCATTTGAAAGAGAACCAGACTTTGATTGGATGTTTAAAAAACCTGTATGGTTGAATTATAATACGATATGAACTATGAAGTGAGGAATGAATCAAAACTGTTAATTGAAATCAACTCCTTGGCCCCCTTCGAATTTCGATTCCGACTTCTGTTCTCAGTCGCCGATCGATACAATTTCAGAGAACATGGCCAGCTCTGTTGTTCCATGAATGATAGGGATATATTTATATGACCACTGATGGAAGATCTGATGGTGTGCTGTCAGGTGTATTCGAAGTTGTGGTTTTACGTCCTATACTAGTATCCCCGTGATCACCATCGGATGCTTCTGTGTTATCTGGATTCGGTTCCACCATGATTCGTATGACACCTGTCTTAGCATTAGACTCAGCATGTTCATCAATTGTAGAATCTTCCTCATTATTCAACTGTTCCGACTGTTCTATCAGGGCATCTAGAAATACAGGAAACTATAGAAGTATTGAAGACAACATGGTTTCCCATGCCTATGAACTTCTCATAACAAATCGGTGCAATACAATCCAAAGCTTTAACACATTATATCAATCTTATTGAATATATAAATGTTTTATACAGTCACGAAAATAATAGGATAGGTGTGTACTTAAAACAGAGCCTTGTATTATTTCATTATTTATTTTGGGAGTTCGTTTGTTAACATATATTTGATAAAACAGTACTAGTGGTCAAAACAATACACTTTGAATTAGTCTCTTTGAATTGCTGTTGTTGTGTAGTAATACAGTATATCTACAGACTTGGCCAAATATGTCACATTGTATATTGCATTTTATCCTATGCCAAGTAGAGTTTTAGGGAGATAAGATGGTAAGATATATCCCGTATTCTGATTTTGAGGTTTCCATATCCAGAACCTCCATATCTCCCGCCATATCTCCCGCTTCGGTGCATATCTTCCCGCTTCTGGTAAGTAGTGGAAATACAATAAAACGACTTTGCATATGAATTATTTGTTTATTTTTACACCTTGTACTATTGAAATGGCCATATGCCCCTGAAAACTCTACTTGGTATAGGATAAAGCAGTTATGTACGGTCGGTTTGGATATTGGGTTCATCCCTCGTGAGATATGCACATCTACCTTCGGTCCCTACGGTCCCTCAGGTAGATATGCATATCTCCCTCTGGATAAACCCCATATCCAAAACCTCCCAGTACATAACCCTTATGTATTGGTAATATGCTATTTATACTTATATAAATATTTAGTAAGCAAAATAATAGAAAAGTTTGTATTCACCGCTTTCATCCTTAAACTTTTGGAATTCCTTCTTCATTTCTTCTATTTGCTTTCTGCATTCATCATTTTGAGCCTGTAGCGCATCTGTAAAGTCATGAACATAAAAAGTGATTAATTTAAGCGTGTTATACACGAAAATTGTACATTGATACTTTAGTACCATATATTGGCATTTATGTAACAATAATTGTACTTTTAATTGTATAATTTTGCCTTATCTGATCACATGGAAACCAAAAGTAAAACATTCATCCAGACTGAATTTTAATTTACTTCATTTGAATCAAATTGAACATTTACCAGTTTACAGTGTTTAATACCATACCTCTCTCTTTTATTGCTTGGGAGATATCATAGACAATGGCGTAGGTGAAAATACCGTTTGCTGAAAGAAATAAAATATTATATTCGATAATGTATTGCATCTGTAGAAAGATATGTGAATTGTTCCTCTCTGGTATCCATAAGAATAGAGAGCTACCCATGTTAAAAGATAGGGCAACGCCTGTGTAGTCAAGTATACTGTAGGAGATGAAGCCTCAATATGATAAAGTTCTGTTTTATATTTTCTGAATTATAATCTCAACAGTACATTAATACTTTAACATTTTATTTAACACGATTTACATAAGAAAATGTCTGGAATTATCTGAGAAAATCATCTTTTGTTATCATATTTAAACATTTAGGCAAATCATTTAACACATTTGTAAACTCTGAGGAAACGGGCAAGCCTTACATGCACATTCTGTCTCTTCAATGGCTAGATCTGTCCCTACTGCTACCGTTTTAGTCTTTCTCCTGAAGAAATTCCTAATCCGGGCCCATACCTTTTGCATCCTTTTCTTTGCACCCATTTTTGTTATCTAACGATTCGATATTCGGCAGGTGAAGATAATGTGTGTGATATCTTTTAATTCTCTGCACAATGTGACTTTGTCAACAACTTAAGAACGATTTTACATTTACCATGACGACTTAAATGATTTATGATTGGTTGATTAAATAATCAACAGTGTGACGTAATCATACAGTACTAAACATTTTATGACGTAGTGATCAAAGTCACCTTGGCACGTAACTCGATGACGTCATGCTAAATTAGCTTGGTGATTACCTACACGTTGTATTTTTGAACAAATCGCCTCTTAGTAAAGAACACTTGTGGTTTTTCTACGACTACAAGGGACGTTCTGAAGGACATACCATACCGTTGCTTCTATTATGCACTTCTAATCAATATATGGAATATTTTCAATTCTACCATTGATTTTCTTGTTTTCAATGCCTTCTCGTGATGATGATTGAACTGTGCTCCGTCACAGCGGACAAAAAATGTAGGAAAAAAACTAAAGCACTCAATACATCAATATCTCATAAATAAATTCAGAGTTATGATGAACACATATGTTAACATTATATCATGCCATTAAAAAGAAATGGTACATTTTAGAGTTTGATACTATGGCGCCGTTTTCAATAGCTTCTACTCCTAGCGTTATTGGACTTCAAACAGAATTGAAGGTTACCCGCAAATAATATATCCATTGCATGGAGTAAGTAATTTTCTTTTATATAACGAAACATATGAGTTAAAAATTAATTATGAAGTATTCTTAGTGTTTTCATGAAAAATAGCATGCTCCGTCACAGCGGAGAAATCTTTCGATACCAGCCTGTGATACTTTTTTAAAAGTTTGCTAGACGCCTTGAAGTCACTCGGGTTTCGGTTTAATTTGACCTAGTAACCGACACAAAATCAATATACCCAACATAATGTTGTGCAATACCAAAGACCGACGGACAGAACGTTAATAGAACATGAGAACCTGAATTAATGTTTTTCAATACGGGTACTGGCCTGCAATCGGGTTAAAACGAAGCACTAACTTACTGTGAGGATTGTTGGACGGTTGATGACGAACATGTCCAAGGCAGTGAGACCAATGGAGGAACCAGTCAGTTTGTGGAGGAACATGCTGATCTGAAGCTGGTGCTCGTTAGAAGCTGATAGAACACGGATGCTGTAGATATCTGTCAGTGGTGCATGCGCCTGTAAAATGAATTAAATGATCAATTTTAGACACTTTATGTGCCAATACCCATTGTTTAGTCTCCAATGGGAAAAGTCCCCCCCCCCCCCAAGGACGAGTGCAACGATGATTTTTGCGTGTTATTTTCGCAATATGTACACACAAACCAATAGGTAATGAAGAACAACCAACTAGAAAACAATGGCGAACTGCCATCAATATCAGTCCTAGCTCCCGTTAAACGCTACGGGGGAAGTAAGAAGTTCCCTCTTGCCTACACGAATATAAACACAAATATCTCACGGGTGATTTTAAAAATGGGGACGCCAGCATACGTTCCTAAAAGCCCGTCTCATAAATAAATAAAAAATGCCAATGAGATATGCAAATATTTTTAGTAATATCTAGGAGACCCCTCCATATATGTTCGTATTATTATACATCGGCAACTTTTCTCATTCTTCCTTCTTAGTAACTCTGTGTTCTGCAATTACTTTATTTGTTGCCAATGCGTTAATCGATATATATTGCGGATGTTATGAATTTTAAATTAGTGTTAAATAGAATGGATTTTCCTTGTTTGACCGAATCATAATCAATATATTTCGTTCTTTGGAAGTTGATTATTTGAACAGTATTTTCCGAGAATCTTCAGTTCAATATTAAACACAATCATTAATCAGTGATGTAATTGAATAAGGTGTTGCATTTCTGGCTCGCGTACAGACTGAGTGGAACAGATAAATGCACTTAAACTATTCTACAGCTGTAGGTCTATTAACCAATTAATACCAAGCAAATGAATGTATTGTATGTCTTCTAGGTATGACACTGTAGGTCTATACCAACAAGACTAGAAAACAGCAACTCCGAGGAATAGCAATTCTCACCAAATAAAAGCGAACTTTGATAAATAGCCGCCATGTTGAACACTTCTTCTTGATCAGAGCTGTCCCTAGATATCAGCATATAAGATTTGAACGAAATCTGTCCACTGGTATTTGAGTTATCAAAGATTGATTTTACAAAAACATGGTGGCCATTTTGAAATTCAGCTGCCATCTTAATAATTTCTTCATGAGGCCATTTTGATAAATCAGCTGTCATCTTGAAAATTTCTTTTTGATCCTTTATCTCTAAGCAATAGCATATAACATTTGAACCAAATCTATTACACCGGTATTTGTTTTTTTATGACAAATGGTGGCCATTTTGAAATTCCGCTGTCTTGAAAATTTCTTCTCAAGCAGTGCTCCTCTGTCCCAAGGCATCCACATATAAAATGTGAACCAAATCCAAAGTCCACCGGTGTTTCAGTTATTAACGATAACGTTTTTACAAAACCTGGCAGCCATTTTGAAATTTAGCTACCATCTTGAAAATTCCTTCTCAATCAGAGCTTATTTGTCTCTAGGCATTACTATGTAAAATTTGAACTATATCTTTTCACTGGTTTTTATTCTTATCAAAGATTACGCTTTTTATGAAAAATTGCGGCCATTTTGAAATTCGTAAATGCATTTCATTACTTTTTTCAAATTACAGTTACATTTTGCGTTTAATGACTTTGGTTAATGGCTTTGGTTTAACAATTTTCTTTTACATTCAATCGTTCCACTGACCTGTGCATTAACTATTGCCCCCATCATAGAAACTGAAGCACTCTGTACAAGAACGGAAACACACCAGAAACAGTTAAGTAAAGTCTGCGATATGTGTAGCTGGTGATAGATCATATTATAGAGCACAACACACGAAAGGGGCAGATTTGTGGTATAAATAACGGCAATGTAATAACTAAAAATAGCATCCGCTTTTTCAACACATTTCGACAAACTTTGATGACGTAGTCTGATGTCTTCTAGGTTTTTACTGATTTCTCCAGATTTGGAAATGTCCTTTGCGAAATTTTCATGGAGCTCTTTGAACTCGTAGTAAAGTAAAAAGCAGATAGTGGTGTAGAATCCCAGCGGGAATAAAGCGACCATAACGTTAATGCAATGCATGAAGACGTTTAGGATTTGGAATGGAACAAGGTATGGAAAATCCACAGGCAATGGTGCTAAAGAAAGGTTAAATAGGTCAGACAGTTCGTGAGGGCCAAACACGCAATATACAGTGCCACCTATGTTTATAATCGCTAACATCCAAATCTTTATGGTTTGAACTTTCACTTGTTTTGCTAGTTTCTTCCTATATTTATCAATGACGGCTTCTTGGAGTACATCATCGATGGCGATGAATAAACCACGCATCTTATCGACACTTATGCATGCAACGAAGAATGTAACAGCCTTGAAGGAACATTCCATCCACCAAATAGACATTGTAGATTTAAAAAACAACTTGTGGTCGAGTTCGTTATGTCCAGTGTAAAACGAAGCAGACCTCAAACAGTTTAAAATAACGAGAAAACATATGCCAATCGAATACATCTGAAGTTTAGATATCCCTTTTTTGATTTTGCCATTTTGTGTTCTTTTGTAATTAGGATAGAAAAAAAGTCCTCCGATCTTTAGAGATATAATTAACGGCTTGATTAAGCGGTATAGTTTTGTGTCTTCATATGTGAATGCAAGGTTCTGCTCTTCATCACTTATGTTGAGATCATCGGGATATGCGTTAATATTATTACATTTGATGTTTGTCTCGATCTTTAAAGTATATGCGTCATTGTTTTTAACTTTAATTTCATCAATGGACTCTTTAGTCGCTTTTCGATCATTTTCAATTCGACGTTCATCTGTGTTCAGATTATTACGCACGCTAAGTCTCCTCATTGCCAAGGCTAAGACATCTTTTGAATGCCTTTCATTGTTCACGTTATTGTCTTCATTGGAGGCATTTTCGACTATCTCTTGTATTGCATTCTCCAGTTCAATATCCGCATTATGCATGCCTTCAACATCCTCTGTAGGAGCTACACCAACTGAGTTATTTCCGAATTTGGACATTAAGTTCGTAATATTTCCCGACATTTTCAAATGTCAGATGACTGTTAATTGTTTTGTGTAGGTCCCAAGTGTTTCAAGGTTCTATAGTTAATGTAAAACTAATTTTCTCTGTTCAACTGGCTACTTGAGATCTCTGAGGTTAAAACTGTCATTATTTTCCAGAATAATCACATTTACGAGCTAAATGATATCGATCTAGACACCTGAACTATTTTATTTGATCAACTGGTTACCATAGATTTATTTAAATAACCGATTTACATTTTCAGTTTTTATCAATATTTTTGTTTACCCTAAATTGAAATGTTCGTTCTCTTCGATCAACACAAATAATGTGCTACGTTTAGCCACAATAGTTTTCACTTAAGCTGCTGTTTAAATTAATCGGAAGAAGTTCAAAACAAGTTCTGTATACATTACAAATATCTCCCAATAGATGTTATGGAGTCTGAAGGTAACGCAATTCTTAAATTCCATGGAAAATAAATAAATTACGTCAATGAATCAGTCAAGTTTTATTGTAAATGGGCACTTTGATTACTGACAAATATGTGTAATGGGATGTTCTATTGTAACCTATTGATTCAAGTTTACTGTGTATTGATATTCAAATTTGGGGAAATGGGTGCACTCAATTTAGAAAAATCCCATTGTCAAAAGGTGAAAGATTTACCAAGCCATGGTTTTTGATTACGGTGACCATGGAAATGGTTTGATTTAGTTATTACAGAATTGTCCACCTATGAAGAGAAATTGTATACAATTTTGAAAAAATTTTCACGGAACAATTTTTGACAATAAGATTCTACACCATAGATTTTCTTTTACATTTTAACAATTTCTTAACCTATTTTGGGGCAGTACTATATAAACTGTATAATAGAGTATAAATACTGAATCATAATTGTTCGATCTTTGGCTTATACTGTATGTAACCGGATGTAGTACTTTTAGCACTGACCCGATAGAGTCAGTCGAACAATACACTAAAGGTAGAAGGTAGACTGTAAATCTAGTAAATCTAGTAAATCTCGTAAATCTAGTAAACCTAGTAAATCTAGTAAAATCTTGTAAAATCTTGTAAACTTTTTAGGGACCGTTCATTTGATATCAATGTCAGTCTCTATGTAAGAGTATTGGTGATTATGATTCCTTTTACAACATTAGAAAAATACCTTCTCTGCATTAAAATTCAGAGTCATTCCTTTCATCAAATAATCAATTTTCAAATTTTTTAACAAAATTGTGAAATATTATAATAAAAAAGAATGTTTAAGGGGCTGATATGATATGGCTTTAAACTATTAATTACAAGGAATACAAGGAACATATCATCATCAAAACGTAAATGGAAAGCATTGTAGAAATGCCATACTATACTTTATGTATAGGTAAAGCAAATAGATCAATCAGTAAGTTGTCTCACTAGATTCCCCTTACTACAGCATTTGATTGTTTTTTTTATTATTTTTTTGGGGTTGGCAAAAATCAATTTTGAAATTGCCATTTATCCATTCCTCTCACATTGGAACTTTTACAAATATTGTCAATTGAACAGCATCGCCAAAAAAAAGCAATAACTAAATTATCTGATAGGCTAAGCATTATAACATTTTGTGAGGGAAAAACAAGCCTGTGTCATTTAGATGGTACGCATTGTCCCCTCAGTCCTTAAATATGTAACTTAATTTGTTAATAGAGCATGCTTCTTGGGTGGGTTGTGTATGATGATAAAATGGGTGTACCATTTGATAACCATTTTGTTATCCAGTACTAACATATAGTTGTTTTGTAACTAAATATAATGAAATAAAAGGTAGAATTTTTTCTACATGTTCATTTCATTCATACAAAGGCATTTTCAGTGCTTTTTCGACATTTGCACTTTATATCTTAGACATTGAATATTCAAGTTTTTACAAGATTTTACAAGATTTTACTAGATTTACTAGATTTACTAGTTTTACTAGATTTACTAGATTTACTAGATTTACAGTCTACCAGAAAAACTAGGAACATTATTTGATTAGTATAATTATAAATTCCGAACTGATTGGTACATTAATGTTGTCCCTTACTTGCGGAAAAGCTCCAAATATCTTACGAAACGAGAATGTTTAAAATATGTATATCATAGAAATCTAGCTGTATAACTATCAATGGCAGAGTACACGATGATGTGTAGTCTTTGTAACAGACTATTGTAAACACTGTAACTGAACGATTGTTTATGTGAGAAAACTACAAGTACATGCATTTGTATAGTGTAACTTGTGCGTACAGGTTGACGTTTCGATTTTATATGCATTGCTTAAAGTCTCTATTGTTTTACTATATACGGACATAATGTAGATTGAATACGGACTAAATGTAGGCTTAAGACATAAACATTTTAGTGGTAGTTCTCAAAGTCGACCCTAGCGTTCCACAAGGCTCTCCTCGTGAACCACTATTCTTTCCTTATTCTTGTCCATACTCTTGTGATAAATATTTTGAAAACGTGACTACTTTCCAAGATGATGTGGGCAATATAATTGCTGGTAGAAAAAATGAAATCTTAAACATATTATATTTAACTCGACAAAAGGTACATTTAACATATTTACTGTGTGATGACCATTGAGCTCGTTGAATTTGTGATTAAATTATCATTGGAATTTTGTTTCCTAGCTTAAAAGTTATATCATCTGAAGAAAAAAATGTTGAAATAAATGCATATGGGGCAGAGGCATTCCGTTTGCAAAATATTGATGCTTTGGGATAACATTTTTTCAAATTTTAACAAAAATGCTCATTCCTATTAATGCATTGACATAGACTTTAAATGAACAAGCGCTCGGTGACATTTCTAATTTGTTATGTCATCCTTTGATATTTTCCAAGTATGATTGATAATGAACTCGGTGATCAAAATAACTCGGTATAGTAGTATTTGAAAAGAAGGAAATCAATAAAACGTGTCAAGAGGTCAATAAACACCATGGTATCGGCATCTTCGATGATTTACATCCATATTACCAAGCCTATCTTTGAACCTGAGTAATAAGGAACATTTCGAAAAGATAGAAAAAGCGATTCGGTTGTATAGGTGTGTTCAATAAAAAGTAGGTTTCATCAATAAAAACAAAGGTGTGTTCAACACGAGATCAGGCACTGGCAGTTGAGTTCATATTGAGGAGATAATCGATGTGCTCTTTGAGATCGTTCCAACATTCGTGTATCAATCAGTGGAGTATACGGTAAACCTTTGATGTGCCCAATAACTTATCCAATCCAGGACCACAACGTAAGTGGGGGTCGTAGCATACGATAACCAAATAACCAATTAATGAGCATTGACAGATATGTAACTTATTTCCTATGTTCTTCATTTGCTTTTGTTTATACGTTTCATAAGATCGAAATTAACAGCACAGTAGGTAACTAGCATACGCCTGCTCTATTTATTGAATTGTACATGTGGGACAATATTTCAAGTCAGTTTACAATAAATTAATTGCGGTTTCTTCTACTCACATTTGCTATTTGTTACGGAAAGCTATAGGGGACATGCGCATAATTCAAAATCGAATGGAGTTTTAACATGGGAGTGATATCACACACCGCGGCCCAGTCAGATAGATTTCATCGCGCACTGAATGAATTACAGGGGCCGCGTTGTGCAAAGTTAATTAAAATAAAGTGCGCAGAAATTCCGGCATTCAGTGCACGATGAAAAAATGATTATCTGTGAATAAAAAACGAATAAAAATTCGTGGCACCACAAATTTGATTTTTTTTCGAAAGACTGCGGAGCGAACCAGCGAAATGACAATTTTGGATAATATTGATGGCTCTAACGAGGAGAACTTTGAGATTTCCCGATTCTAGCGCGCAGCACATCCAGGACATGCGCACTTTTATCAGATTCGATTCTAATATGGTTTAAAAGATAATGTTCATTAAAAGAGGGCGTATGCATACAGATTACACGTGGCGTTATGTTGAAGTGACCCTTGCAAAAAAAGGGTTCCATTGAAAATATATTATTTTGGGCCATTTCATATCTTTTAATTGATATTGTATAAAATATTTTCAATGTTTGAAAATTATAATCTTATAAATAACATTTTATGTAATAAAACTGTAAATACGGAATATGATGCAATACAATGCAGTGCAATATGATGTTATACAATGCAGTGCAATATGATGCAATACAATGTGGTGCAATATGATGTAATACAATGCGGTGCAATATGATGCAATACAATGCAGAGCAATATGATGCAATACAATGCAGTGCAATATGATGCAATACAATGTAGTGTAATATGATGCAATACAAAGCAGTGTTATATGATGCAAAAAATGCAGTGGAATATGATACAATACAATGTAGTGCAATATAATACAATAAAATGCAGTGCAATACGATGCAATACAATACAATACAGTGCAATATAATGCAATACAATGCAGTGCAATGCAATACAGTGCAAAACAATGCCGTGCAGTGCAATACATTGTAGTTCATTTCAATACAATGCAGTGCAATACAATGTGGTACAGTGCAATACAATGCAGTGCAATACAATACATCGCAGTTCAATACAGTGCAATACAATGTAGTGCAATGCAGTGCAATAAAATACAATACAGTGCAATTCAATACAATGCAATACAATACAGTGCAATACAAAACAATGCTGTGCAATAGAATACAGTACACTGCAGTACAATACAATGCAGTGCAATAAAATACAATGCAGTGTAATAAAATGCAGTGTAATTCAAGACAATGCAATACAATACTGTGCAATACAATACAGTGCAATATAATACAATGCAGTGCACTGCAATGCAATGCATTACAATATGGTGCAGTGCAATATATTGCAGTGCAATTCAAAACAATGCAGTGTAATACAATGCAGTGCAACACAATGTGGTACAGTGCAATACATTATAATGCAGTGTAATACAATACAATGCATCGCAATACAATGTAGTACACTACAGTACAATACAATGCAGTGCAATAAAGTACAATGCAGTGCAATATAATATAATACAGTGCAATACAGTACAATATAATGCAATAGAATACAATGCAGTGGAATACAATACAATGCAGTGCAATACAATAAAATGCAGTACAAAACAATACAATGATGTGCTATACAATACAATACAATGCAATGAAATGCAATTCAATGCTATGAATGTACACCTTCTACAGTCAAATAAACACAGATAAAATTGTAATAGTATGTTAGTGTATGGAGTTTGAAGTGGGTGGGGGATACAATTACCAGTCTGCTGATTGATGACTTAAAACTTAAAACTTAGAAAAGATCTCCTAGCTTTTAACAGGTGGCACTTATGTCTACCTTATGTTCTTGAACAATCTCTAAGAGATCTAAGAATACAGACCCGTATCCTGGATTAACCTGGGGGAGTGGTTTTACCAAGGGGGAGATTTTGCCAAGAGGGGGGAGCTTTTTGACAGTTATGGCAAAAAAATCATGCGAAAAGTGCTAGGAATGGTGAAAAACTGCATGATTTTGAACGAATATTTGGCAAGGGGGAGGGGGGGGGGTGAGGCCCCCTGGCTACGGCCATGGAATACATATAGGAACTTTCCTTCTTTCAGAAGAAATGGTATACAGGTATTACATCAATCATTCTGGTATTTTGTATACGAAGGTCTGTAGTTACTTTATTGAAAGATGGCAGCGTACGCTGTGTACTACCATTTTGAGGTCAGTTTGACTTTATAATTCTGCGCACTATAATCTGTAATTCTCATAGATATCCTCTCTAGAGGCATCACTGTGATCCAAAATTACAATTTCGCAGGTCAAGTCTGCAGTCTTTCGAAAAAAGTTGAATTCGTTTTGCTACCCTTTCTTGTTGGGCATTTATTAACAGAAAACTATAATTACATCGCGCCAGCATATACAAGCTTCAGCGCGATATTTTGAGTGTGTTAATAAATAAAGTGCGCAGAAATCGATCTTACTGGGCCGCGGTGTGCGATATCACTCATAAACAATTTTTAATTGCGCACTGAATGAATTACAGGGGGCGCGTTGTGCAAAGTGAATTAAATAAATAAAGTGCGCAGAAATATATCTGACTGGGCCGCGGTGTGTGATATCACTCCCATGTTAAAACTCCATTGAATTTTAAATTCTGCGGTATATCCCCTTTCGCTTTCCGTAATTTGTCTATGAAATATCATTGTAATAATAGAAAATGTGTTCAAATGCGCATGAAATAAACACGGCTAAATTAATTGATGGTGTTCAGCTATAGAAAATGGCAAAACAGCACAAGTGAATACAAAACAAGGCGATCCAATCAAATTATCGGCGTCACTTTTGACATTTTCTCATCTTTAAAATATTTGTTTAGCGAATTATTTATATTCTCAATTGAGACATTATAGGGAGAAAATGTCAGCTTTGTTCACGCATGTAAGGTATTATCGAAATTGCCACTAACCTAAACCTGGTGTATTCTTCTCTGATTATCTGATTTTACTATAATTAAAAAGTGGATAAATTACATAATTGTAATGGGTCGGTTTTGAATAATCTGTGTCTGTTTGGCGGATACAGAGTTACTTCAGAAAAGGCACTATGGGACCAGTTTTTTATTGTATACCATGAAATGATTGTCAAAACGAGATAACAAGATGTTCCAAGGAGGTAGCAAATCCAAGCAAAATATAATATCTCTAATAATTCCTTATTCTAAAATAACTAAGTTGTAGAAGTTGCTCCTTATACTAATAATGTAATAAGTAAAATGTAATTTTCTCATAAATGGAGTGGTTATTTAACTGATAACCATTTTGAAAATCCATTCTCTAGCTGCAGTTCTATACCATTAACAAGGTAAGCGCCTATAAACCAAATATGTTTATATTTATTTGCAGCACCAACCTCGTTTGATGAGAAAATGAAAGAAAATGATCAAATTCCAAAATGCTGTGAAAAAAGGACAAAAGAAAACAAGCTAAATAAATAATATGCAGGGACTATAAGGGACAAGTGCCAAAAGTTGAACCCTAGAGAGCAATACAAAAATCGACAAGAAAAAATAAATAAACATCGTAAGAGTCGCAGGGAATGGTGGACCCAAACCATCCCAAACTATATTCTAACGTGCAAATACACAATGTTCATAACATTCCCTCCCCGTCGCGATCGAAAGATTGAAACTTACCATTTTATTGACCAGACCACCCAAAAGAGACACAACAGATGTTTGAGTGACGACAACCGACACCCAGAAACAGTTAAGAAGAACCTGGTAGATGTGTAGCTGGTGGTAGATCAGGTTGTACAACACTACGCATGCAAGCGGGAGGTTAGTAGCATAAACTGCAGCGATGTAGAACGAAAACACGTTGTCCGCATTCTCTACAATCTTACATAGTAGTTGATGACGCATGCGAATTTGTTCCAAATTGCCATCGAAGTCACCATCGTCTTTGATCTCCTTAGTGAAGTCATTGTAAAGGATTTTGAACTCTTCATAGAGGATCGTACAAACGATAGCATACAGTCCCATAGGAAATATAGCTACCATGGAGTTTATGAAGTGAATTATAAGATTAATGACCTTGAAAATGTCACTGGCTACTGGAAGATTGATGGGTATTGGTAATAATGCAAGATTAAATAAATCTTGAAGTTCATGTGGCCCGTACAGGCACACAGCAGCTCCAAGGACATTAATAAAGCAAAAGGCCCAGAGTTTGAAAGTTGTTACTTTGGCAAGCTTCACTATCTTTGCTTTATAAACGTCAGTTGTGTCTCCCTTCAAGATTGTGTCAAATCCTTTAAAAAGAGTTTGCATTTTTGTAGGGAACGCACAAGCGACAAAATGGTTAAGAGATTTTGCAGAACATTCCGCCCACCAGACAGTCATTGTTAACTTGAAGAACAAATGATGGTCCATTTCGTTTTTGCCAAAGTAGAAACACACCGATCGTATACAATTCAAGGTCACTACAATGGTAATCATTAGCGAGTATAACTGCCATTTTGAGAACATTCTTTTGATGGTTCCATCCTTTTGTCGTTTATGTTTTAAATTGTAAAATAATCCACAGCACCTCATGGAAAACATAATCGGCCTCATAAATGTCATCAAAATGGTTTTGTTGTAACAAAAGTTGTGAAGTTCAGTATCTTCGACATCATCTTTACAATCACTCTTCGCCTCAATTTCCATTGCATTAATGTTTTCACCACCGTGATCAGTTGCATTGTCAGGAGCAAATGAACTTTTGACATTTTCGTGGAATTCAATGACATGAATAACATGTCCCTTCATGTTTCTGTCTGACATATGCTAGCCGCTTCCCGTATGATAATTTGTAATGACATGTATTTAATATAATCTTGGTTTAATTTCTTGGATTTATACTTGTTCCTGGTTTAATCAGTTTTTAGTTTTGACCTAAGCTCCTGGTATAACCCAGAAATTCTATCGGACATAACTATCTCTATATCATGTGTATAGTCTAACCATCTTTTTACAATGCAATCGTTTTATTTGTTCTGTTCATTCCAACAGCAGATCTATCTAGATAACGTTTTTGCCTACATGTATCTTTTCATTTTACATGTTAAAACGTTCAACAATGCCCAAATTACACTGTATCTCCGCGTCTCGTATGGTAATTGTGTTCTCTTCATATAGTTTGTTATTCCATCGATTAATCGTTGCAATTGACTAAACGTATTCTTGCAGGTTAAGTGATAAGTGAATTGATGCATTAGAAAATTGGAATATTAAATTACATGTAAGTTTACCTTCATTTGTAATAGTATAGAAACACAAAACATATTTGTAGGACAAAAAACAAATGAGTAACATAACTTCTGTTTATTATATACATTAACTAAATTATTAGTGAGTCACTACAAAATTATGGTTAATTGTAAATATAATTATATTATTACATTAAAGTACTTCACTTTTATTTTGGTATCATTACCGTTAATTATCTTATCTAAGAGTCTGAACACATATATTTAGAAACCATTATTACCAAATTTATCTGTGTTAGGTCATGCACAATTTTTTTGATTCTATTGTATTAAAGTACCTGTAAACGACTTTAGATTACTTTTATTTTAATATTTTTATCGGAATTCAAAATTATTCAAACTGAATTCAAAATTATTCAAATCTAAAACGCTGAAAATATAAGTACAATTGAAATTCCCAATTAAACCATGTCAGCTGTGATGATAACAATCCTATATCTACAGTATATTCCTAGACTTTGGCATTAATAATTTAGTTGTTTATATGTAATTAAAGTATCATTACACAGTGAAGCTAACGAGAATCAACTTAAAGTATAACATAATATCATAGTCAGGCATTAAAGTGATTGAACGTTGTCCGATAGTATTCTGATTATCATTCATGAATGACAAGGGGAAAAAGTAGGAAATCTGACATAAATTCAAGAGACCGAATCAATGTATCAAGAAGAGAGGTTTCCTCTTCCGTGACGTCATCGCGATCAAAGTCATTCTCGTTCTCACGTGACCTCTCAGAGTGTACGTGTGTAAGCTGAAGGATAGGATCTCTACCACCTATATTATCCTTGAGTTTCGCATGGAATGATATCTCGTGTCCAACCTTTGCTGACAGCATATATGCCTTAAAACTATCGCCTGCAATCAGGGTGACGAGAGAATCGTCTTCGAGAATTTGAACTTTGACCTTAAACGTGTATGAGTTCTGGTTTTGTACATGACAAGCTCTTGGTTGCAAACTTCTAATTCTACAGTAGTTTAGAGCATTTGGATCAGTTTCCTTGGAACATGGGTTATATCTCTGTCCATAAGCGCATTTAAACCACTCTGCAAGTCCCGTTGGAAATGAATCCAAAATCTTCTTTACACTGTTTTCAATGTTAACATCAACATCGTTTATACGACCCTTAAAAGCAACCTTAGCACCGACAAAATGTGCACATTTTATTTTAACATCGGCAATGTTTGTTTTAGCCCAAGCAGATTTTCCACATAGTTCATCATACGTATCCCAGTCCACAAGTTTGATTTCTTTAATAGCATCAACATCTTCATCAGACATCGCGTATATCGTTCCACCAGAGAGAGCCGACACCAATAAAACCACGCAAGATATGCCTAATATCATTTTAGCTCTTTTCGTTATTTTGGACCAATCGATGGAAGACAGTTTCAAGCCAATGATGATCACCAATGTTGGAATGAGAACAAGAGCGCATGTAGTGGCATAACGTAGGAACAATTTGTGTGTCAGCATATACCATGAATAGTAGATCACCCAGCAGAATATAAAAGCACCAAATAAAGGTAGTAGCAGGAGTATTGTTAACCATCCTACACAAGCTCTAGCGAATCCAAACCAGGTGGCGTATCTGTACAGCATTACCCCAACCTGCCACCAGAAAAAACACACCAAGTGTGGAATAAGACGCTTATACACACCTTGCCCATTATTCATCATGGCTAGACGTAGGAAAGTCAAACCTATCAGCATATATGACACCGAAGGGACGCTGATATCGATGTAAGTTCCGTCATATACTTCGATCTTATACCATGATGTTACGAGAATCTCAAGCGTCTCAGTTGCCCAATGGTTCTCGGGAACTTTGTCAATGAATGACGATATATTTGATATCAACTCAAGCACCATAGCAGCGATGGCGAAATGATCATGGTGGTCACTCAATGCTGTAAAACAACATGCAGAAAGGAAAAATGATATCATACTCAGTTCGGAGCATGGTATCCAGCCTTTATCAGTCATAGAAAACGTTATCACCAATCCCATTAATCCGATGAAGAAGCTCCAATATGGCCGCATAGAACTCCAACGGAATTTTGATTCAGTATCCTCAGCCACGCTACTTTGGAATCGAGTTAAAACATTAGACCAATTCGTCAAAGATCTTGTCCTTCTCCTTGCTTTGAACATTTGCAAAGTAGATGTGATCATTACTCCAAGAGACATGTAGAATACGAACAATGGAATCGTGAAGGTCACCATGTCAATGGAAACGAGGCTGTACAGAATAAAGCAGACGATCACGAAGATTTGATCCACTGGAACCATAGCAAGCAGGAGATCCGTCACAGATGCATTCTCTATTACGAAATCTATGGCTACTTTACTTGAAAGACCAGGGTACTTTACTATCTGAAACATATGTTCAAATTCATTTCTTTATGGTTAAGGATGATGACGCATATCATAGAAATGACTTATCGGGAATCATGCATTCTTTGTGCATCAATTTTTATGAGAACATTGTCATAAGCCATTCGCTCCTTAAAAGAGAGCTTCGTTTTCAGCAGTTTAACTAGACTCTGCAGCAGGGTATCATAATTCTAAATTTAATTTACCTTCATTGTAAAATCTAAGTTTTCAAACTCCTCCATCACTTTTGTCTCGTCTGCTTCCCCAGCACGCATTTTCTCCAACTCCTCGCTAATCCTCTCGACAAACTCGTCTTCTGTTAGGTCGGCAATATCACCTATTATACCTAAAAGGTTAAAGTAAAATATTCAGTCAAGCATCAAGTTTAGACTAGATAAGTTGCTTTCAGAACTCGTGAATACAGATATATATAGCCTTGCCCAAGTCGGTCTCTTGATTTCTATTATGACCGCCTTGTACCCAAGAGAAAGCCAAGTGCTTTACCGACCCAATGTTCATATCGGTATTTGACCAATCAACGACAGCCCTGACGCGTTAGCTCATTGTTATGCACGGTCAAAAACAAATACACTTTTCACCAAGACTTTTTCAGGATCAGATAAGTACAGAAAATACCGACTTGGGCAAGGCTAAGATATATAACTTAGTGCATCATCATCACTCTCAATTGTCAATATGGTATCAACCTGAGTTTTCTAAGATTTTCTTTTCTTCATCTGTGATCTCCAGAATTGCTGGTTCAAATTTTCCGCCATTTCCATGTGGTTGATCAGTCGCCCGCGCAAGAGGATTAATAGACCGAAACATATTCCTTGCCGCACTCCGTAGTTTTTTCTCTACATTGTTCGTGTCAACACACCATTGGACAGCCCCCTTGTTGTCTTTGGTTATACCTTTAAAGTAGATAATACTAGTATGTAAAATTCATAGGTTCTAGGCCGATATAAAGATGGCAGCACCAATAGAATCCAGTTTTATCTTTTTCGAAAAATAGATAAACACGGATCGATTACCATGCCATCTTTATTTAAAAATGATTTCTATCGCCCTCAGCCTATGGTAAAATTACGAAAAGGCAATGTCCAGCAACGCAAATGATCAACTGATCAACTATGAGAGCCTCATTTTGAAGCTACATTTGAAGCTCCTAACTACTAGAATATTTAATACATTTCATGAGATGTGTTTTCATTTCCTTTGAATCGTCTGAAAATGCTTGAAGAAGTTGAAAGGTGTCTAGTAAAAAGAAGGACTAGCTCCAATAAATCTAAGGCACATCTCACCAAAACCTGACTCTGTACACACTGACAATTTTTCAGTTGCACCAACATGGCATTGTTTAGAGGCCTGTATCAACCAATGAACTGCTTCGATGGCATTCGCCTCTTTGTCGATTCCAGACTTAGCAAGAGATTCGAAATGCAAGCCCGCTTTATACTGTGATTCGTCCGAACCATCTGCAGCACGGGCCAGGATATCATCGATGTTCCTATCATGGACTTCTGGCCCATCACCCATGGCGTCCATATTATCTGAAACATCCAAGGTTAATGGTAGTATCAGATACAGGAGTAACAGACCAAGACCAAATAGTAATGCGATTACCAAAAGGAACATTTTTCATGGCGTAGAATAATGGAAATAGCGTCATGAATCCCGGGACAATGAATCTCGGATCCAAGTACGTCATTAATGGTCGAAAATCAAAATATTGACAAATTTATAACCTAAAAGGCCGAAAGATTATGCGACAAATATTGAAACGGTGGTCGTCAACATATTGTATTAGCTTTGATCTCTTAGAATCCGTTGAATCCTAAGCGATTGGAGTTGTTTAGATCACTTAACAAATGATATGAAATGATGAGGATTTGGGTTTTTTCAAAGTTTATAATGGCGCCCAATGGGGGATTTTAGCAAAATATCCCGAAAATTAAATCATTAAAAGGCCGAAAGATCTGTGGATGGATTTTGCTGTTTTATATATCAAAATGAACACTTCGTTGGGTCTAACAAGGATCCGTTGAATCCTAAGAAAATAAATGATTGCTAAAAAGTTATTCACATTTTAAATTTTGATGAAGACTGCTCTCCATTGAAATCTTTGGACCATGAAATGTCGATTTACGCGCATGCGTTGTGACGTTATTTCCATTATTCTACGCCATGGCCGAGAAAAATCGTTCCGTCTTTGGTAGGTGTTCACTACAGAGAGGGTCCGAAGTCAGTAGAGTATGTGCAGAGGAAGGGTGTTCAATAGAGACAGGTTTTCACTATCTGAGGGGTTCAATAGAGACAGGTTTTCACTATCTGAGGTGTTCACTAAGACAGGTTTTAGTCGAGACAAAAATTGGTTTTCAGATATAATATTTTCAGATAATTAGGCCTAGTTCTATGTGCAATAAACATGTCCTGTCCTGAGTTTACCCATGTTCATTTTTCGAAAATAACAAACATGGCAAAGAATCAAAATATAAGATCCCGCACATTTTCTCAGCCAAAAAAACAAGCTGAATCCAAGATATGCAAATGCTATATGCGTTGACAATTGCCATATAAATGTATTTGTTCATATGATACTGCACTGTGTTCTTGATTTCTTTAGTCTAGGTTACATCGACTGACGAAGAAAATAAATGTGAAATGAATTCAAACGACACAGGTAGTAATCAAACAGCACCTTCTTGCAAAATCCGCACGATCCGGGTTAAAATCGCTCTCTCGTAAAAATCTCAATTTACTATAATCATGGGCTAATGTTGTGTATGTTATAATTAACGTATCTGTTTATGATCTATTAAGTCGAATCACATATCTACCTACCCTATTAATCCATGGCTGACGTCAGCTTACCTCAAGTTTCTTCTTTAACCATCCTTGGTCCAAGGGTATTTCACTTCTTTCTTTGAATTGAGTAATAAATGAAGGATGCCATAAACTGCCCATTGAAATTTCAATTTATGCGCAGGCTCACGAACAATCTAGACTTATAAAGTATCCTAAAAAACTCAGGTGATGTGAACTGTGACACATTCCGCTAGCTGAATATACTAACAAGAATAAGCTAGGTCGAAGAGCATTCGTTTTCTAAAAAAATTCTGAAATCACACGACTTTTTACTGGAATGTGCGGATTTTGCAGGAGAGTGCTGTTTGAACTACCTTTGTTAAAGGTCGATCACGTTCGGAATTTGAATGCAATCCTAGTCCTCCGCAGTCGCATGTTATTTTTAGGACTAGGCTTAAATAACTTATCTTCAGTGCTTTTAAAAATTAAGTTACTTCGCACTTTTTCTATAACATGTGACAGTCCAATGAGGACTGCAAAAACATTCCGAACGTAGGGTACATCGACCGTCACCTAAGAGTCAAAAATTTACTTGCAAGACTACTGCCACCAATCATTATACCGGAGTCTTGTGACTCAAGGTTACCTTATTCTTCGGCCACAGTGTGCAAGTAATTTGGCTAGACTCGAGTAAACTCAAGGTGCTTAGAACTTACTCGAGTCTCTAGCCAAATAACACTCCGTGGTCGAAAAATAAGGTAACTTAGAACTTATACTCACCATATGTCTTAGTCTTACCCGGGATGTCTTACGTCTCCCGCCACAGCCTTTCTAGACTTCTTAGTGCGGGTGAGAACGACAGTGCACTTAGTGTTTTAGCCGGAGACGTAGACCATTGTAGATTACTGCAATCATTTGTACACCCCACTCACGTTTTCGCCATCTTTCTGTACACTTATACAAGATTTATAAATCATGTATCGCTGGAGCACACCTTTGATTTTGTCACTTTGAAGCCGCTTTTGTTTACACGTATTTCAAGTCAAGTAGAGCGACTGACTTTCCTTTGTGTAGCTACATGTTTGTACAGTACTTCGTCCATCCAATTCATCTGTTTTATTGTGTTTTATATGCCTGTTTGGCTAGCAATTTGGCCCTGTTTCAATCTACACACTACAGCACAGTCGTCATCACTGTCGAGGTCAAACTGTATTCTGTATTGATTTACTCTTACAGTTACAGTACATGATGATCAATACGCCATCTTTCAGTCGTTTTAAACGTTACAAGCACTAAATTGCCTATAAAACGAACTCCATACATGTACATTACATAGGGACAGGTTTTTGTTAACATTTTTCGTTTTTTAGTGCAATTGTTTTTTGTTACATTCTACCAATTCTTGAGAATGAAATAAAATGTCTTTCCGAACGCGTTGGAACAAAATAGCATATACAACATTTTCTTAGACCTCTCAGTAAGCTTATTAGGCAAAGGAAATTTTGGTTGATTTAACCATGGGCTTTCTAGTTGAAAGCCCATGATTTAACAAAAAGTATTCAAAAAATCAAACAAATCCCCCTAAAATAGATAAAGATTAACGTTTTATTCATTAACAAAATACTTTTTGAAAATCAACCAAACTTTCCTTTGTACAATTACAATATTGAGAGACCTAAACACGTTGTGATTATGTCGTTTTGTTCCAATGAGGTTCGGATAGATGTTTTATTTCATTCCGAACATATGATACCAAGAACGAAAGAAGTGTCTGGTGTAATTTCTAAAACAATAAAGAGATGTGAACCGAAGTTCAATACTGGGGCATACTTTGTAACGTCACGAGTGATGAACAATAGCGCTTTTCTGTAAAATTCTCAATGAAAAGACGTCAAAAAGCTACATGGGACATTTTTGTACCTTTTTCTTTCGCATCGTTTGACAAGTTATCATGTTTGAAAATGTTTGAAATTTTCCACGATCAAAATATATTAAAAACCTATTTCTAAAATGTTTTTATTTTGATATATTTCTTAATTTTAATGCGTGCACGTGATGGCTGGATTTCAAGTTTACGCATTTTTAAGCTAAAAATACTAAATGGGACATTTTTCGTAGCCTACCCTACATATCATTTGATATTTAAGAAATTTGAAGGAAACTTAATATTTTTTCTTCAGATTTATTAATTTTAGCCAAAACCTTATTTCTAATTTTAATTTCAGCCTTTAAAAGTAATCAATTCTAAAATAAATGGCATTTTGTGTACCTAGGGGTCGTCAAAATGCCCAGCGTGACGGCCTTTGGATTTTGTTTGAAGTTGAAAAATCAGCGTCACATTCCATTGTTACCTTAAAACTAATGACGCCATAATAAAGATCATTGTCTCAGGGAGTGATTCATACCTGTCTCATCAACATTGATGAAAAAATAATGATTCTACATCATTTTGAAAAATAGCGCGCTCCTAAAATGTTACGCGTGACGGCATATTTCTAACGTTTTGACCCACGAAGGACGCCCTAAAATGCTCTAAAATGAAAAATTCCAGGGCCGTCAGATGGGGGGGTGCGATGGGTGCGACCGCACCCCCCTTTGTCACCCCCCAAAATAAATTTGAAAAAAAAAATTTGAAAAATTTTTTTTTTTTGAAAAATATTTTTTTTGTAATTTTTTTTCATTGACTCATACACTTTGAAAGTACCCAGAAAGCACCAAATAGCATCGTAAAATTGTAAAATTTTCTAGGGGTATTGGCCATCCCTCACACCCCCCACAAAACAATGGAAAAGTTCTAAATTTATTTTAGAGTTTTGTCTCAGACACTTTTAAAGTGCCCAGATATCATCAAATAGCTCCTTGATATACATTAGTTAGTGTTTCTGGGACACTTACCCCTCTTGCATCTTGCACTTGCATAACAACCCCCACCCCTCTGGCGCCCCCCCCCCCCTTGACCCCCCCCCAAAAAATAAAATTGTGATTTTCTCAAATTCTTTAATTGACTCATACATTTTGAAAGTGCCCAGAAAGCACCAAATAGCGTCGTAAAATTGTAAAATTTTCTAGGGGGAGTGGGCCACCCCTCACACCCCAAACAAAACAATGGAAAAGTTCTGAATTTGTTTTTTGTATTGTCTCAGACACTTTTAAATTGCCCAGACATCATTAAATAGCTCCTTGATAAAGTTAATGATTCTGGAAAACAAACACTTACTCGCCCTCTGGCACCCTTAACACCCCCCCCCCAAAAAAAAAAATTGAGATTTTTCAAATTTTTTTATTGACTCATACCCTTTGAAAGTGCCCAGAAAGCACCAAATACCATCTTAAAATTGTAAAATTTTCTTGGGAAATAGGCACTTTTAGGCACATACACTTTTAAAGTGCCCAAACTTCATCGAATAGCACCTTGATATTGTAAATTTTGATATGGGGGACAAACACTTGCTCCCCCTCTGGCACCCCAGCCCCACCTCCCCCTCTGGCACCCCTCCCCCCTTTGACACCCCCAAAATTTGAGAAAAATTGTGATTGTTTTTCAATGTTTTTTATTGACTAATACACTTTAAAAGTGCCCAGAAGCACCAAATATCATCTTTAAATTGTAAAATTTTCTAGGAGAGTTAGCCACCCCTCACATCCCCCACAAAACAAAAGAAAATATTCTGAATTTCATTTATTGTCTCAGACATTTTTTAAGTGCCCAGACAACATCAAATAGCACCTTGATATGGTCAATGTTTCTGGGGGACAACCCCTTGCTCCCCTACTGGCACCCCACCCCACTTCACCCTCTCATTGTCTTTGACACCCCCAAAAGAATTTGAAAAAAATTCACATTTTTCTTATTGACTCATAACGCACAGGCGTACCAGATGGTTGCAAATTCGCTCCAAATACAACCAAATTTCAAAATTTTCCTGGGGGAGAACCCCCAGACCCCCCTGAATGCTAGGTTTTTTATTCACTCAACTCTTATTCCCGTGGTGGTGGCGTACTACTTAGAAACTTACACTTTGAAAGTGCCCAGAAAGCACCAAATAGCATCTCAAAACAGTAAAATTTTCTAGGGGGAGTGGACCACTCCTCACACCCCCCACAAAACAATTGGAACATTTGGAAGTTGCATGCATTTGTTAATTCCAAACCAATATAGGGGGTAACTGCCCCCCCCCCCCCCCCTCTGTCTTACGCGATTTGATTTACGCGGCAAAAAAATGACAATTTTATATTAGTAAGCTAAAAACCGCACCCCCCTTGGAGAAAAGTGTCTTACGGGCCTGAATTCCATGTAAAATATACAAATGTGGTAAGAACATGGAACGTCAAAATTTGAAATATGCCCCAGTATTGAACTTCGGTTCTGATATGCTTTTTCAAATTACATTGTTACCATTCAAAAGATGACAATTAAATTGACGATGTGTAAAATTTTCAGAATTTTTTGATGACTGGTTTAACATGTTTAAGAGAAATGTATGTTCAAAAAGCTCACCATATTGATACCAATCCTTTGAGCAAACTGATGTTTTCATCGTTGCAGAAAGATCTGGTCTAATTTCTAGATATTTTTATGATGTCGGTAGGCCTAAGCCACACAAGGAATTGGAATTTGGATACCGTATCTTATACCCGTGCGTTATGCCATATACTACATTCCGGCGGAGTTTTTGTAGGTTTTACTCATATTAAATTCACTGTCTGGGATGTTGTTACAGACATAAACCATCTAGAAAGTAGACCATATCTTTCTGAAACGATGAGAACACGTGTTTGCTCATATTTCATCACGTACTCTCGTGTTGAACCAACGCGTTCAACTGTCACGCTTAACTTGGTACGTACCCAGTGATGTACATCATATTACTCAGACGTGCCAGCCTCCCATTATTGAAATAAAATAAAAATCGTATTCTCCCGTGGACTTCTGTAAACGACCGTATCGTATTTCCACAAAAACACGTTGTGTTATGTCGTTTTGTCGTAAAAACTGCCACCAATGTTTCTAACGTTGGCAGTCTATGTTTTGTTTATTTGAATGTCTTAACAGGAATAAAGAAAAAAAAATTTTAAAAAAAAAATGGGTTCCAACTATCAGACACAGATGCAACATAGGTAATATTACAATTATTAGGCACATACAAATATAAGCATATACATCAAAAACCATGCTAATGAGTAACATGCTACATATGGACTGTAGCTATCATTTTATTTCTCTTAATACAAAACATTAAAACATAACATTTTACTGCAATTCCACTCCACAATACTGCAATTTGGGCTTACGTAAGACACCGTATATATGGCTGTACTTCAGATATCAAATATCCAAGACAAACTCTATGCTTTCCCATGTCAAATATCCTAGAAACTTCAGGTCCTATAGGGTTACTGATAACAAACATTTTAGACGATTCAGGTCCTATTAATTTACTGTTACAAAATATCCTAGAAACTTCGAGTCCTATAAAGTTACTTGAGATATCCTACTGAAGTTACTGATACAAAATATTCTAGATAATTCAGGTCCTATTATGATATTAAGATCAAATATTGCCGCTAATGTTGTAAAACATTGGCAATTTGCTAATTAAAATTGATTGTAATTGTTTATATTAGAAATAAATTGATAACATGAAAAAATATATATATCAAATATCCTACGCAATAAAGGTCCTATAAGGTTACCGATATCAAATAGTTTTGACTGTTCGGGTTCAATAAACTTAATAAAGTTATGATAAAGGTCCCTTAAAGTTACTGATACCAAATATTCCAGACAATTCAGGTCCTATTTTATTATTAATATCAAATATCCTACGCAATAAAGGTCCTATAAGGTTACCGATATCAAATAGTTTTGACTGTTCGGGTTCAATAAACTTAATAAAGTTATGATAAAGGTCCTTTAAAGTTACTGATACCAAATATCCTACATAATTCAGGTCCTACAAGGTAATTGACATCAACTATTTTAGACCATTCAGGTCGGATCAATCAAAGAATTGACAATTCTTATGAAGCCAAAAAACTCATCTATTATCACTTTTTGAGGTTGATGAGCAAAGAATAATTTGTGATTCAAAGGAATGGAACTTCCATATATGTATAGCATAAGGTTAAGAGTCTATATATTTTAGGACTCATCGTACGAGGCCCGATCAGAAAGTAAGTAACCAACTGCTCTCATTTTTTCATACTTCATTCAATCACATTGAAATTTTCAATGATGATGTAAAAAATATTTAACTATTAAACAAGACTAATGACAATGGGTTAGCGTCAATTCCATTGTTATGGCTGTTGCTATAGCGATGATTGTTTTGGGTAGGTGGGGCACCCTTTTGTAAGCGGCTTTGGGAGATGATTTGTAGGTTTTTTACATGCTGTATTCCTTCAAATGACCTTACAATTTTCTATACAAGACTGAATAATTTGTTTTATGTATTATCACAATGGTAACTAAGCTCCATTTTCCCATTTAAATGTCATTGACACAAAGAAATCAAGGGTATATCTGTCATAATGATGGTCATGATTCAGGCGCAGATTAAATAGTCAAATGTTGCTGAAGGGGAATTTTACTGGCATGACGTCAATGGTCCACCTCCACAGAGCCAACATTACCGAAGATACAGTAGATTAAGCCTTTTTCATGGTCACACAACTACCCCAGGCTCACCATTCCCCAGACCTGGCCCCATGTGACTAAATTCTTTCCAGATGCAAAGATGTTGTTGCGGAGAGTCAGTTTGGACGGCAATAAAGCCATCATTCAAGCTTTCAATGGTAGTTTTGCAGTCATTGAATGGTGACATGTTGCACTTCTTTAAGGACAGAGTGAAACATTGCCTCAACTGCATTGACTTTGATGGCGATTAATTTGAAGGACTACGAGTTAAAATGTAGTCTTACATGTGAATTTGATATATTTGGAGGTATTACAACATGTACAAAAACTCTACAAATCATCTTCAAACGACACTTAAAACAGGGTGCCCCGCCTACCCAAAACAATTGTCACCATAGCAACAGCAATAACAATGGAATTGACGCTAACCCATTGTCCTTGGTCTTGTTTAATAGGTTAATATTTTCTACATCAACTGTAAAAATTTCAATGTGATTGAATAAAGTATGAGGAAATAAGAGCAGTTGGTTACTTACTTTCTGATCGGGCCTCGTACTTGATAGCTATATCTGCTATGTGTCAGTGTTTCACAAGCAATTCATACAAGATCAATCTATTAGTTCTTGATCACCCCTCTCTCCATTGGCATCAATGTTCAGCTTTAGAATGGTATCAGTGTACATCATTCCAATGATATCAATGTGCAGCTTTCCAATGGTATCAATCAGTTAGCTCTTAATAAGTTAGTTAGTTCAGCTTTCCAATGGTATCAGTGTACATTATTCCAATGATATCGATATGCAGCTTTCCAATGGTATCAATCAGTTAGCTCTATATAAGTTAGTTAGTTCAGCTTTCCAATGGTATCAGTGTCCAGGGAAGAAATAAAAGTCTTTTGTCAGCTGGTTGTTGAAACTTGGAATTTGTTTCTTGCCAGACATACTTGTATTTGATGCAACAACATTGTTGATCTGAAAATATACAGAAATGGCTACATCAGTGTACATTATGCAACAACATTGTTGATCTGAAAATATACAGAAATGGCTACATCAGTGTACATTATGCAACAACATTGTTGATCTGAAAATATACAGAAATAGCACCAAGAAAAATTGAAAGATTTCCAGACATTTCCCACTGAGTGGCAGTTTGTCATTGATATTGATATTGGTCTCAAGCATTAACAGCTGGGAGGCCCCTTGAGTAAATATTTTACATGTGTGGATATCTTACCAAACCAATTCTGCTTCACACAAATAATATAATATTTATATAACTAGACTTTGGAAATTGAACGAAGTTCAATTTCAGACTCCAGATCTAGACTTTTTTAAGCCCAGTCATCTAAAATAAGCTGAGTCATCCAGAATAAGCTGAGTCATCCAGAATAAAATGGATGGATAAAATAGGAAGGTAGGATAGGATAGAATGGGAAGGAACGATAGGATAGAATAAGAAAGAAGGATAGGATAGAACAGAATAGGAAGAAAGGATATGATAGGAGAGGATAGGAAGGAAAGGATACAAAGGAAGGATAGATAGGAAGGATAGGATAGGATCAGATAGGAAGGATGGATGAATTTTTCAATATTTTCTTATCTACTCTTGACTTTCTATCAGGATACCATCAGATCGATTTTCCGAAATTTCAAAACGCCATAACTTCCGAACCGGAAGTCGGATCTAAATTTGATTTAAAGATTCGGATTCCTGACAAAATTCTGCCCCTAATTCATAACTCATACGTTAAATTTGGAAAATTTTTATTTTGACCTACTTTTTGGACACGCCATAACTTCGGTACCGGAAGTCGGATCGAAATTTGGTTTGCAGATTAGGATTTCTGAGAAAATTCTATTCTTAATTCATCACTCAAACGTTAAATTTGGAGAACTTTTTATTTTGACCTACTTTTCGGACACCATATCTCAAAATTGGGTCAAAATACTTTCTGACGGCAAAAGGCTAACGCTATTAGCACACTCTTGGCTACATGTATACACAATTTCGAAGAATATAATAAAAGTGTAGTGTCAGAATCGCAAAAATAAGAAAAAACTTCGAATTTGACCTAGATTTTGACCTAGGCATTTTGGTGTCCAAATTTTGAAGCTATGTGCCTTTTGAGGTCCCCTTCTTTTAAAGGCTTTGATTATATGAAGCTGAACTCAGTCTATATTTCGTATTTTTCACTTCAAAAAAATCTTTTTTCCCATTGACTTAACATGGGCACCAAATTTAGCGATTTTTGAGTTTTCAAAACGCCATAACTTCCGAACCGGAAGTCGGATCGGAATTTGGTTTGCAGATTCGGATTCCTGACATAATTCTACCCCTAATTCATAACTCATACATTGAATTTGGAGCACGTTTTGGTGTGACCTACTTTCTGGACGCCATATCTCAAAATCGGTAAGAGTAATCAAAAAACGATTTGCCTTTCGGAATTAGCTTTGTTACCAAGGAACATGATGAAAAAAAGACCGAGAAAAAATATTGAAGAACGACTGAGAAAATTGGTAAAATGATGAAAATACAAGATTTGACCTAGTTCTTGACCTTTGACCTGGATAAAAAATTGACCCAATTTCCGAGAAACTAGATACTGGACCTAAATTGACTGTATACAGGACTTGACTCAATGTCTTCTAGTTATTGAGAAAACGTGTAGAGAAAAATAATAATAATAACAATAATAAAGAAGAATACTGACGAAAACAATAGACTCCAGATTTACATCTGGAGTCTAATAATTAGGTAATATCCATAAAGTCTCTACACTACACAGACTTTGTATTAGAATTGTAAAATTATTTTAAAGACACCCTGTATATTTACCTTGGTAGACATAGTATTTATATCCTTTCTGCTGGCATACTTTCTATAAATGTGCACCAAGGCTTGTATGAACCAGGTTCCTGTTTCTTTATTACGCCAAGACACATAATCTGCAATAAGAGCAAGCCGACCTTTAAAATCTGGTCCTTAGTGGTAGACCAATCGCCCGGGAAGTGAGGGGTCGCAAGTTCAATCCTCACTAGGGTGGACTGACATTTTCACATCAGCCCTTAGCGCAGGATTTAATTCTGTCTTTTCATTAACCATACTTTTATTTGGAAAAAATTTGCACAAGGTGTATAGAGTAGATGTTGCACATAACAAACCTTAAGAACAAACTCATTTAACTGATAAAATTTGAAATGAAATATTATATACCTTGTGTTGTAGCAGTAGCTATGAAGAAGTCTGCCATGGTTGGGGATTTCTGTGCTCCATCAGGACTGTCTACCTCATCTAGAGGTGTTGGAGCCTCATCCATTGATGCCGATTCAATAGTTGGTTCAGGGGGAGAGCTTGAGTCTATATCATCAATGTTCTCATCCTCGTCACCATCGGCAACAGCTCCATCATCCTTCTTACCTTGAATAATGATCACAGAGATAAAGATATGAAGGATAATGTCTAAGGGATACCAGAAGGGTATATTCAAAGCATATTGTAAATGTCTAAAAAGTAATGTCCGAAGAGTAATATTTCAAGGATAATGTCTAAGGGATACCAGAAGGGTATATTCAAAACATATTGTAAATGTCTGAAAAGTAATGTCTGAAGAGTAATATTTCAAGGATAATGTCATGAATATCCTATTGAAATAGCCCACTATTTCAAGTATTACTTTTCAGGTATTTTTTTCAAATAAACATAAAATAAACCTTCATTGCCCATTTCTGATTCAAAAATACATCAATCTTGAAAAGTCCTGAATAACACATAAATTGCAGATATTTTTTTATAATTGCAAACCTAAATATCAGGTTTGAATCAAACTGCTCACAAAGTTAGCAAAGTAATTACCTTAAAGTACATAGAAATTAAAAGTATGTGCATCTCATATAATTTTCACAGGTCATACCACTTACAAGGAAGGCATTTTTTTCAAGCCTTTGTACTTTCAGGGGAGAAACTATGCATGGAAATCTGTGATGGTGCAAAATACAGGCTGTTACAAATTTGAAACTTTGGTATATTACATGTAGACTAATGCACGCTCGCTTGGAGCCCTTTTAAAAGTAGATATCTTTATACAACTTACTGCCTTGACAAGCTTGGATTATGATGATTTTGGGTTTGCCGACTAGATTTTTGCAGTTCTCCCCATTGAAGAAGTTGTAAATCTCCTTATATGGTACTGTTTCTTTGTCCACACCATATACAGCATCCACAGTGCCATGTGAGAGAATCACCAAAACAAACGAATCATACATGGCATGTATGCTGCGATTTCTTTCTTCAATTAATACTTTTCGTATATCTCCAGCAGTAAGATCAGTTTTCACAACAACTGTATATTTGAATATTTTGAATAGTTGTTTAAGTCTCTTCAAATCGTGCTCTGTGCCATCACGGTTTGACATTTTCGGTTTAAAGGTGTAGTTATTGATGATTAAACACCGCCCTCTTGGCATTGAAATATTGCAATAGGCCTGGAATGAATAGAATCAGTGTTTAACAATAAAAACTTATTTTCAAGTATTGGTATTTTTTATTATTCATATCAAAAGTTAGTTGATGGTGCAAACTGAAGGCTCTTCGCATTAAGTTTTTTAGAATTTAGAGAATTTAAAGACTGGAAGCCTGGTATAATATGTATTTGCTGTTCACCTGAGGTTACAAGATCTTCTCCATTTATGCTAATTATGATTAATCTCTTAATAGTTTTCGCAATGAAGTCTTTCAAATATTTTTCACTATATCGTCATCTCAGATTTAAAACAGTTACTGCAAAGTACATCTCCTTATATAGACACGAGTCAGATTGGAAAATCTTTGTAATTATGTACTCCACTGGTCAAAAGATCATCTACAATTTTCCAACTTATCATAAAAGGAATACTGAAGTACTCACCCCTTTGTGGTTATACCATTTCTTGTAGAATTTTTGAGTAGATTTGTGGACATGAAGTTCACCATCATCTTCATTGTCTTCACTGTCAGTATCTTCTAGATTAGAGCCATCTGAGTCAGAGTCTGAGGCAGAAAGCTCATCATCTGTATCACCTAAAATAATGTTCTCATATTAACAAATTGTTCACCCCTCAAGAGGTAGACTGGGTGAACTGTTCACTTCCCAATATACCTAGATTGTGATTCAAGTTTATCCAGCTAATATTTGCACTCAACTGATAGCTTCAAATAGTCAAGCTTATAGCAGAATGTAATTGTTTTCTAGGTGAAAACTATAAAACAATAAAATGGTACACATTGTGCAATGTACATAGTATTCTTTTATTTGTATGTGGTATTTTTCATAGGCTGCCATTAATTTCAGTTTTAAACTAATTCTGCTATTTAAATTGAATTTTCAACATTGTATCAAACAGGCCAAATGAGCAGACAATATTAAATGTATATGTTTTTATCTAATAATATTCTAAAGTATAAAAATACAACTGTCAATTATTCAGTGTTTTACCAGTGTATTATAAGTAAATAAACAAACTTGCACGTACTTGGTCTTTGTTTTTTGGACTTTTTACTTGACTTCTTTCTTGTTGGTTTGGGTTTAGCTTCCTTTGGTTTAGTTGGCACTGGTTTGAACTGAAATGCATAGTACTTGTTTTACAACAACAAAAAAACATATCCATGGTAACTACAAGTTCCAATAAGTGCTTATTTCTTTCATTCCTTTTGCCTGTTTTACCATATACTGTACTACTACAATGCATAAATTGTGGATTGTTATAAGGCATCAATTTCCTGTATTCATTCATTTCCCTTTTTGTCAAGTGCATCCAGTCACATCCAAAGTGCTTTCAAAATGGCAATATTTTGCAACAACTGGTTTTTGATCCAAATGAAGATTAATTTTGGGCATTTAAGATCAAAACTGCAGCTAAAATTATATGTGCGAACAGGATTTGAAAAGGGTGGGTATGATTTCAAATTCAACTTCACAGTGACAATTTGTTTTGAGGTAGTGGCCCAGCTTTTGAATCTAAATTGACAAATGTTAATTATGAACATGACATATATGTAAAATTATGCTTACGATTTGTACAGTTTGGTACCATAGTTCATACGACTGAAGCTTAATGGTATTGTGATGAAGTTCACACAGCTTATTTTGGCTTAAGATGATATCCATCTCGGATACAGGCACGATGAGTTGGTTCTCTTCTGGCACCCCAGGACATCTACACCTCACAGATACCTTGTAGCCTGCACTGGGACAATACTTCTGTATCGTGGACTTCAGCATTGCCTCTATATCCTTGCGTATCCTCATACACATAAAGTTATTGTCCTTATCCGTTACATCATCGGATAAGGTATGAATTTTTAATTCCAGGTGATTGTCTTGGGCTAGGATCGTTAACACATGAGCCCCTTTACCAACTTCAAATCTAGCGTAATCAAAGAACACGTTTTTCCCATATAAAGGCCAGCTCTTTTCAAGACAGATGTTGGCAACTAGTCTATGGAAGAGTCCATTGGGGAGGAAGGTAAATTGGTAGAATATTGTAGGGCCAGCTAATGGTTTGTCTTTAATTATATCACTAGGTTCCGGCTTAGGCAGCAAACAAGGCACAAAGAACTGTCGTTTCTTTTGACTATATCCTGGGTTATTTTTCAATGGACAAATCAAGTCAAACTTTTGCATAAATTCTATCAATACTTTTTTGTGATTGGATATCTCAGTATTTTGCTCTTCCCATACAATGTCAATCAACTCCTCCTCGAGCAGTCCTTCTTTATCAAGCTTCTCCCAGTAGATACGGCTGTTCCGTCCACTCCCACTTACAACCCTGTGGAATTCTGGTACTGTTATAATGCTTTTGAAAACATCAATCAACCACTGAGGATCCAGTATCACCAGATCATTGAGGTTGATTTCATTGAAGTAAATCATGTCTCCCACAGAGTGATAAAATCCCAAACAAGCTCTGACTGAGTCTTCGTCCATACCCTCCTTGAAACCAATCTCTGCCACTTCATCAAACTCAAGAAAATGCCGTGCCTTTCGATCAGGGGTTTCCAATTTGAATTCACGGAGCTTCTTCTCAAGCACCAGCCACTTAATGGGTACTTCCTGCCCCCAGAATCCTTGATCTTCTGCGAGTTTTACGATCATTTTCTTCAGACAGTCAAGCTCTGGATCTCCGTTGTATTGGTTATCAACGGCGAAGTATCTTGGGCAGACATGACGATAGTAAACTTTGTCTTGTAGGTTCATATCTATCTTGTGAAAATAGTTCTCTATATGTTGCGACTGTTGTTCTGTGTCATAGAGTACAGCTCCTTGCCACCATGCTTTAAATCTGGACATGTATGGCTGCTTCATGTGATATTCCTGAAATACATATTTATATATTTTAGATTTTAAAAGAACTACTCATATTTTGCATCAAATGAAAGAAATATACATAATGAATACATAATGAATGAAACATACAAAAGTATGTTTCTGAGAACATAGACAACCATGTATTTTAATGATATACAAATATTCACTATTCTATGGTTATTGACATATAAAATGTTTCTGATTTTATTACAAAATTGTAATATCTAGGACAACCCAGTGACATGCATGACAAAATGTCACGATCTGGTAAGTCATTGCCAATGGTGAGAAAAGTGAACCATTTGTTCCAGACACCAAATGACAAACTCAAAAACACTGGACACCAAAATGGCATCCTCCTAAGCAGGTATCCAGAATCCGTACCTCCTTCTTCCCCCTGCTATAACCAATTTGGAAGCGCCCGATTAAACTGAATCACGTGATGTAATTATGAGTAATGATTTATATATGATTTCTGTCGGAGTGTTGCGACAGCCAATCAGATTGCGAGTTCTTAATCGGGGAAATGCTAACTACTTATTGCAGGGGGTAAAAAGAAAGAATGTATATTCTGGATTTTGAAGCCCTGTGATTGGAGGATGCAAAATGGAAGCCGTAACAACATAACCACTTCTGGGAGTGACACAAAAATCCGAACCATAGGATTTAGATTTATTTCTGCCATAAAAGGTTTCAGGTTTAGTACTGGCTTACCATACTGACAGCATCTTTATGTGTGCATACAACTATGACAGGTGGACTCAGAGATTCTGACCCAGAAGATGACTTCCCAGCATGAGTGTGAATTGAATTCAACCAGTAGTCAAGGTAGTCTAAAATAGCAAATTGTGTGGATGAACATCTTTAAGAGATGGAATTCCCACCTCATGTTATATGAATGTGTAAATAAAATTTTCCCCCTACTAAATAAAATTTTCCCCCTACTATGGTAGATTTTATTTCAACTTCCCAGCTTTCGTGCATCAATTTCAGATATTTTGAATGTGGATAGATATGTAAAAAGGAATCACTAAAAATCTCTGAAGGTTTTCACTGTCTCTAGTTTCTGATAGTTTAGTCCAGAACTAGAGAACTGAGTACCCACCTTTGACAGTCTCTGGAGCAGTAGTGTCAAGTTTCGTCCCTGAACGGGACTGTCTGAATGTCTCAACTTTCTCATCCAGGTCCTTAGTGAGGTCCACAACTAACAGATAGATGGCTCTGTTAGTCAAGAATGTCTGGTGCGTTGTGTAAAAGACATGTTGGCCGCCAAAGTCCCAGAATGATAACTTCAACTGCTTCTCATCTTCAGATGAATCCCCATTCAGTCCACCAAGTTGACGAATCTGCAATAAAACAGGAAACACATGATACTGATCTCTTAACCAATCAGATTGTTTACACAGATCTCTTAACTAATCATAAATGTTTATGCAGAGCTTTTGATCAACCATATTTGTACATAACAAGAGTAAGCTCATACCTGCTTTGTGACATCTTCGGTTAAACTCAGAAACTTGTTCTTAATACTCTCAGGTATCTTTGATATGTAGTCTGGGGCACTAGAGTCACCATCAGTTCTGAGAGTCTCTCTATTGTTGGTGCTATTGTTGTAATCTGAGCTTGTTCCAGGCTTATCTGTATTCACAGGAGTGACATGCTCTTTTGTTATCACATTGTCAATGGTATCTGTACCTTTACCTGAAAAACATTAATACATGTACAGAGTAGCATAAGTCTTGCATTAATCCTTTTTGGCAACCAGAAATTTGTATGGTAGACTGAAGTCAATATCAGAATGTAACAGGAAATAGAGGACATCATCAAGCAATCATTTATGTAAAAATGTATGTACAATTTTTTTTGATTTCATAGTACCAAAGGAATCAAGTCAAACACAGTGTGATGATTCCATAGGCTCATCATGTGAGCCTAAAATGATGGCTATTGAGTATTGACACAGATTTTAGATAGGGATAAACAGTGTTATCTACAACATCTGAATAATTGGAACTTACGAGACTCCTTAGGTTTCAGTCCATTAGTTGTTTTAGCACCTTGAGAAACAGGAATCACGGGACCATCCACTGAAAATATGAAGTTTTTCCCAGATTTCAGCTTTTTCCTGACCATTGCACAATAACAAGATTGTTATTGCAACTAGGGAATTAGGCTTCCTCGTGTTATTCTACCTCAAGGGACATCTACAATGCTACTGGTGATTAAGTCTTCTATTTGTACTATATATGCTACCCTATATATCATTGGCAATATTATCAAAACATTATCAAAAAAGAGAAATATACCTAATGTTATCTAAAAAAAAAAAAAAAAAAAAAAAATGTTATCTAAAACTTATCAAAAAAAGAGATACATACCAGATGTTCCATCATTGAAAGCGTGCCATAAATTTTTAGCAACTTCACTCTCGTAAACTTCTAAAGGGTCATTTGTATCTTCTCCTGCTTTAAACCCTGGAATAATATGTCAGAAATAAAACTATATTCAACTGACCAGAGGATAGATCAAACATTTTTCTTAACATCTGAAGATTTACTGAAATCATTCATTTTGATTCAATTTAGACATGTATACTTCTTCATTGACAATATAATATCAAAACCAAGATAAATAGAACAGCTGCTATACAGATTAATAAATAGATGGCATCTGTCAGTTTGGCTAGCTCCCTTTATAAACTATGCAAAAAACTGACAAAAAAAAGATTTCTTTTAATTTGTCAAAGATTCCCATTTGGATTAATGTGAAATTACATCATTATATAACTAGATGACCTTTATTATGACATGTGGATTAAAATCTTAATGTTAAGATTCGTTGTGCTGCTCACCAGAATCCCAACCTATCGGCACGATATGACAACGATGGCACTTTTCAAATGTAATGAAGGACTGATTGAATTACCTTTTGCCTTAGTCTTCCAAATGACAGAATTCTTGATATCTACAGAGCAGGCTGAGGGGTCCACTTGTATGCCATCAGTGATCTTGTACTGCTTGCTAAAACCTTCATCCAACAAGCGCTTCCTTAGACTAGTTTTCCCTACACCATATTGACCAACAATCATTACCCTAGCCTGATAAACATGACGGGTTCCCTCCTCTCTTGCCCTTTGGTAAGCCTCTAAGTACTCTGGTCTATCTAGTAGCACATCAAATGTTACCTCTTCCTTCGACCCCATGCTATAATAAACAAACACAGCATCTTACAGGGTGTTAAAAAAATGCAACCCAAAGAAATCGCTATATCTTGGTAAATACTTATCCAATTGTGTTCATTTTTTCAGGAAAGAAAGAAAAGACTGTTTATGTATAGCTCATGTTGTTAGTTAGTTGTAAAACGTGATGCCTTGGACAACTGCTCTAAAGACATTAGTATTAGAAAGATACAAAAAACGCAGTCAGAGGTGACTGCCACAGCAATAAAACCAAATAACTTTCTAACCATAGTGTTTTGGCTATTCAATTTTGGCACAAATCATCTTCATTCAATGCATGATAAATCTGTAGAGTGAAATCAAAATCACTCCAGGGACTTTACAGTTATGGTCAAAATGCTTTCAAAACGCACTCAAACACCCTGGTTCAGCCAGACTTAAGAAAGCATTTTGACCATGACTGTAAAGTCCCCAAAGTGATTTTGATGAAACTCCGCAAATTCACCACATATTATATGAAGATAATTCGTGTCAAATCTGAAGTGCCAAAACACCATGGTTAGAAAGTTATTAGGGTTTATTGCTGTGGCAGTCAACTCTGAATGCGTTTTTCGTATCTTTCTAATACTAATGTATTTTGAACAACTAACAAACAGCAGGAGCTATACACACACAGTCTCTTCTTTCTTTCCTGAATTGCATTTTTTTAACACCCTGTATTTCATTATAGCAGGGGGCAATATTATAAAGCAATCTTGAGAGGGTAATTTCAAACATTAAATAATGTAAATGCATTGTATTGAAACTAATGGGGCTTTACCCATCTTTTTGTTTGTGGGCAGAATATATGGACAGAATACATATTATGAAATATCTATGCAAATTGTCTAAAACATTTTGGATTTTCATTTGGAACTAGGCTCTGGATCACTTGCTGCCTTAAGCCAACTTTTTTTTATGTTTTCAACAATACTTGTAGAAAATTTGATGATACCATAAACATAATGCAGTTCTGCTTGGCTATGTAAATGCATGACTCACTTAAAAGCATTTTCCCAGCCTCCGTGATCATCCACCCACTTAGGGATGTCTTCTTGTACAAAAAACCTTGTCATGTAGCCACTTATATTATGTGCCATTGCTGCGGACCCCTGACGAGCTGCATGGACACTGAGACGGCCACTGAATGCCATTAGAGTTACTATTCTACCCCAATTCACAACACCATCACTGAAAAGCCTGCAATTCAGAGTCATTAACTGTTATTTCAATCCTAAATCATCCCAAAAAATAAGACGTTACTTGCACTATAAATAGTCTTTTCTGTAATCATCAAACTTGAAACAAATACTTATTTAGCAAACAAATGAATTGCCTTTTTGAACAGTGAAAATAATAAAGGCAAAATTCAATATTGGAACTACTTGGTGCTGCCTACCAAGTGAGATGGTTCATGCTTCAATATTTTTAGAAATGGAGGCCTGTACAATGTCTAACAATGGTCAAAATACACATAATAATTATGAATTAACAGCTTTTTAAAATACAGATGCCATTCTTTTTGACTGAATAACTTTACTGAGAACTTTTGTTTGGAACCTGAAACTCACTGTCTAGCAATGCCAATGAAAGCTTCTCTCCCTGTTTGTGGAGACATTGGGATGGCATTAATCATTTCTGTAAACTGAGCATCATATCTTGTGCCCAGATCATCCCCAAGTGTAGCAAGATGTCTGGCAACTCTTAATGTTTCTTCTACGCCAGGTCTGCTACAGTAAGAAAACATTTCACAAATTAACAGTTGAATTAATTTGCTAAATATTGTAGAATATGGGTGATGTAAATTTGTTAATTGTTCAAAATCATTTAGTAAATAAAAAGGGCAATAGGGCATGTTACCACTAAACCTAAGAACATCATCATTTCAAACATTTTTGTTCTTTTCTGTTTGCCATCATTGAAATCTTTTGTTTTTTGTTCAGAATTCATGAAGACTTTTGCCGAGAAAACTTGCTGGATATTAACTTTTTAACACAAAATTTGCAATGTTTTCATGTGGAGAACTGTGTAACAATTACTCAGATGCGAGTAGGTAGTTACCAGTTTCGCCACCAGGTGGCTGATTCGGGGGAATTAACATGGCGGGGTATTACAAAATTCCCTTAAACTTGAATATGCATCAGTTTTAGTGGTTCACTTTTCATATTACCTTTATGTATCTGATAGTTATACAAATTAAAATATGTCCAGTAAAAGAAAATATTATCTGCCCAACACAAGAAAATTAATTCCATTTTTTGTGGTTTTACAACATGGGGTCTATGGGGAATCTCCCCGACCTAGAAGTCACAGTTTCAAAGAAAATTAAATTTTCAAAGTTGATAAACTCTTCTTAAGATCACAATTCTAGATGTAATTTTACATGTAGATTCCAAATATGACATCAGTTTGACTGAATTGTGAATTTTTAATGACTTAAATCAAGACTATTTCTACTCGCATCTGGGATATTATCTCAAGTTGTGTTATTAAAATGTTGAATGTTTACATTAAATCAATGTTAACCACCAAAAACAAGAGGCTTTTACGTTTACTATATTATTACTTGTATTGTTGAATTTTACTAATGTACATGACAAATGCTACCCTAATAGACTGGATTCGAGTAGAAATAATCTTGATTTACGTCATTAGATATGAAAAATTCAGTCAAAGTGATGTTTTTATTTGAAATCTACATGCAGGGCTTGCATTAACGGCGTCCCGTACATGTTAAGGACTCAAAAATAATTTGGAGGACACAAAAATTGAAAATATTTCCGTTTTTTGGACGCAAATTTTTTTTAGGTCAATACTACAATGTGTTTACAACGATACCTAACAAAAACAAATAATTATGATCTCTCACCTTTATTTGAATCGTAAATAAGGCTCAACATGTTGAATATTTACCAATAATCATGATTCTCTCGAATTTTTTCGACTTTGTTTATTTTTAGATTTGAAACCATGACACGCCACAGTTTTTCCTATTCAGAAACAAATATTAGGTTATTCATGAAATAAAATGTATTCATTGTCGAATGAACGAACATGCATTTATTCAGTCCGTACTTAACGTTTACTTCCTTTTAACTTCACGGCAAGAAGTTATACCTCAAAACGGGCTAGAAATAGGGGACACACTTTTTTTCAAAGGACACACTTTTTTTAAAAAAATTGCGTCCTTGGGACTCACAAATTTTCTAACCTAATGCAAGCGCTGTACATGTAAAAGTTCTTCTAGAAATATGGTTTCAAAAACTGTTTATCAACTTTGAAATAGTTTTTTTTATTTTGAAAAATGTGACTTCTAGTTTGGGTTGATTCCATAAACCCCATGTTACAAAATCACAAAAAGGGAAATATCTTTTTTTGTATTGGACAGATAACATTTTCTTTTACTGGACATTCAATTTGCATAACTATTAATTACATAAGGGAAAATTGAACCATTAAACAGATGTGATTTAAGTTAAAGGGAACTTTCTACTACTTGTATACCCGCCATGTTATCTGACCCGAATAAGCCACCTGGTGGTGAAACTGCTAAACTACCTACTCGCATCTGCTTTATTTGCTCATTCATGACTATCAACTTTGGAATATTAGCATAATAAAAACCTACCTGGACTGGAGCTCACCTCCGCCTTCTGGAATAATGTCTTGAATCTGATGATCATTTTTTAATTGCACGTAAATGAACTTTTTAAATATTTCATTCATTTCCTGTGTTTTCTGGTCAGGTATATTCAAATCATCCAATTCTGGTATTGTTTCTGTTTCAAGTTGGATAACTTCACCATATTCCTCTTCTTGGTTTTCATCACTCTCATTATCTTCTTGGTTGTCCTTATATTTAGCATTCTCTTTATTTTCTGGATTTTCATAGTTGTCTGGATTCCCTTGGTTGTTTTGATTTTCTTGGTGGTCCCCATTTTCTACATAGTCTGGGGGTCCCACTGGGACAGTGTGTTCCCCCTCCATCTCAGGCACAGGAAACTCTTGAGGATCGCTTGGAAAAAAGGAAAAAGAAAATGTAAATTGAGGTTACCTTAGACTCAGTGAATAGGTAAAGCCTATTACTTGACTGATACTTTTTTAGGAAATTTGAATAAAATAATAAGGGGAGCTTGGTTTGCTATTTTACTTTTTCTTCGGTTTTGACGGAATCAGTGTCTTTGGTCGAAATGGTTAAATCTACTGAAAGTGACATATCGGGTTCTTTCTGAACTGGCCGCCGCGGCCTATGTCCTGAATTTCAAAAGATCTAAGCTTGGGGGAAATGAGAATGACACTTGACTTGGTGATTTTGAAGTCATGTCTGCACTTCAGAGTTCAAAATCAACTTCTGTAGTAATTTGATACCGCCTTCTAATTTGCCTCACTGACCTTTTATTGTTTCTCAAAACATTTTCTCCCATAATCAGGATATAGGTGATAAGCGGGGAAATTTTGTAGGGAATTTCAGTCACAAAAAACTACTGTGACAACTTACACTTCCTCCGAGAGCAGTCATGAAGAGAAAAAAACCTCCACGCTTGGGCCTAAAAAAAATGTTCCCTCCCAAGCAAGGAGGTTTTTTCTCAGTTCTCTGACCTAAAATTTGCCCACCCCCCCCCCCCTTAATTGGTTCCCAGATCCGCCCCTGCCTCCAATAGATTATTTTAAACTTAGAAATGAGACTGTAAATACAGAGACTTTAGTCTAAGTTATAAGACCGGGTAGCACTGTCAAGCCCCGGTTGTCAAGCTTTAAGTCAGACAATCAAGATTTAGGCTAATTTTTCGAGAAAACACAGATCAGATTCAGAGAAAATGAAATTGAGATTGAAAAAAAAAGAATTCATGCTACTATGTGCGGTATATCTGAAGGAACATCCAGTAGAACGTATATATGAGAAAGTTTTGGTATGTAATTTAAAATCACGGAACATTCCTACCTTGAAATTTGTAAATATGTGCGACGTTAGCAGTCAGGTTGGGAAAATTTCCAAATAATTCAATATCCGGGACTTTTGAGCTAATTTATTTCGTTCTGTGTAGATGTTTCATACACTTTCTTATTTTCCCGGGAATCCCTATGCTGTCAAACGTCATGATTTGTTTAATATTCAGCCATTAATTTGGCATCATTGAATTTTGTAATTTTCATATGACAGCATTGTAGTGGAGAATGAAGTAAACATAATGAACCAGCTCAAATTTCCCGGGAACAGTAATCTCAGCGCCGGGCAAGGTGTCACTGAGTAGGGGACAGCGGGGTAAGACGCTATGGCGGATCCGGGGGGGGGGCATGGGGCCCGCCCCCCCCCCCCCCCTAAGGTTGGCCAAGAAAAAAAAGTTGGGCCCAAAAAAATTTTAGGCCAATTTTTGAAGACTTCGGTTTTAGGGGCCCAAAAGCGGACGCTTTTTTCTCTAACCTCAAATTTGCCCCCCCCCCCCCCCCCCTGTTGGTTCCTGGATCCGCCACTGAGAAGGGCCGTGGGGCAAGACGGACCACCAAGTTTATATTATTGTTTTAATCTTCTGGTATTATTCTGACATAGAATCATCATATGGCACCGACCTCACTCGCCTTTCATTTTGTGTCAGACATGGCGTAGAATAATGGGAATAACGTCACACGCATGCGCGTAAATCGACATTTCATGGTCAAAAGATTTCAATGGAGAGCAGTCTTGATCAAAACTTAAAATCTTAATGTAATTGTTTAGCAAATCATTTATTTTCTTAGGATTCAACGGATCCTTGTTACACCCAACAAAGTCAGTGTTCGTTCTGATATATAAATCAGCAAAATCCATCCATAGATCTTTCGGCCTTTTAATAACTAATTTTCGGGATATTTTGCTTAAATCCCCCATTGGCCGCCATTATAAACTTTGAAAAAACTTAAATCCTCATCATTTCATATTATTTGTTTAGTGATCTAAACAACTCTAATCGCTTAGGATTCAACGGATTCTAAGAGATCAAAGCTAATACAATATGTTGACAACCCTTATCCCGTGCCAGGAGTCCTGAGAACGTCTCAATCTTTTGCCTGTACGATTACAAAATTGGAGACTTTTCAACGCTTCTTACACCTAAAGCCCGGTATACACCAATGGGGCAAGTTGGGGCCTCCATAGACTTAACATTGCGTGGGACCTCGTGGGACCTTTTGGGATTTTGCCCCATGAAGTCCGTGGGACTCCATGGGACTCCGTGGGATTTTGCCCTATCTTGCCCCATCGAGTCCCACGAGGTCCCATGAGGTCCCATGAAGTCCCACGTGGGACTCGGTGGGACTCGATGGGGCAAGATGGGGCAAAATCCCACGAAGTCCCATCGAGTCCCATCGAGAATGAACATGTTCATTCTTTCCATGGGGCATCGTGGGATTTTCGATCATATGACGTGTTGTGTGAAGCCCGACATACACCAATGGGGCACGGTGGGATTTGATGGGACTCCATGGGGCTTGATGGGACTCCATGGGGCACGATGGGGCAAAGTCATCAAGGTCCCATGGGACTTCGTGGGATTCGATGGGGCAAATTGGGATTCGATGGGGCAAGATGGGACTCGATGGGGCAAGTGGGATTTTGCCCCATTGGTGTAACCGGGCTTAAGATACCCACTTCAATAGATTCCTTGGTATTTTAACATTCTTTTCGTGTAGTTAAATCCACAATTGTCTGTGTTTATCGGCAGAACAGGGACATTTTTCTTTTTTATCGAGAGAGAAATAATTAAAGACCAGATAAGTAAAAAAATACTGACTTGGGCAAGGCTAGGGGCATATAAAGAAATTTATTTCAAAATCATTGTATCTCAGAGAACCAATGTTCCTTGTTCATGTCAATAAACAGGGGTTCGGCGGACAGAAAGCCTAACAAAATTTCTTTACAAGCTGTTAAAAATGACTGCTCTTAAGGCGTTACCCTGCGTGCAGAGTCTAGTTAAAGCTCTCTTTTAAGAAGTGAAGTCAAACGAATGCAAAGGGTATTAAGGCGTCCGTCTTGCCCCGCTGTCCCCTAGGCCTACTGAGAACATGGACGCACGGTACATCAACAACATACCTAAAATTCTGAAAACATTGACGGGTTGATTGGCTACGTCCGTTTGGCAAGTCGCGACCCCCTCGATTTTCCCTGTAATCGACCATGTGACACTTGTTTCACGGCTTAATTATAAAACGAGTCGACCATGTAATTTTAGTACTTTACAGGCCTAATTCCTAATATTTTTGCGCATGTCGTTATTATTTTTATCTACACCTATGGATGACCATCTAATATTTCTAGGATTATCACTTTACACGTACTTCTTGTGACCTAAGGCCTTCATATCCGTTTAGCAGTCATTCTCTGGTCATATATGTAATAGAACACCCGGGATAGAACACTAGATTTGTTATTCGTGACTATAAAATAATGGGCAAAAAGATTTTGATTGGAAAATCTTAAGGATTATTATTTTTATATATCATAATTAATATTACCCCTTAGTGATGAAAGGATTAATTTTTCAACTTTGTAGGTCGGATCCTTAAAGCTGACACCTCCACCTTTCCAATGGTGTATTGGAGAATTATATCCAGAATTATGGCAATGTCTATACTTTCTATACATTGTCTATACTTTCTATACTTTCGATCTCCTTTTTCATACTATCTGCCTTCGACGTTTCTATACTTTCTATACTTTCGAACTGCTTTTTCATACCAACTGCCTTTGACAAATCAGATGTCTATAGTTTCTATACTTTCGAAATGCTCTTTCATACTAGCTGCCTTTGACAAAGCAGATGTCTATAGTTTCTATACTTTCTATCTGCTATTTCCCAGAACTGTCTTCGACATATCAGATGTCTATACTTTCTATACTTTCGATCTGCTTTTTCCCATAACTGTCTTCGACAAATCAGATGTCTATAGTTTCTATACTTTCTACACTTTCTATCTGCTATTTCCCAGAACTGTCTTCGACATATCAGATGTCTATACTTTCTATACTTTCTATACTTTCGATCTGCTTTTTCCCATAACTGTCTTCGACAAATCAGATGTCTATAGTTTCTATACTTTCGAAATGCCCTTTCATACTAACTGCCTTTGACAAAGCAGATGTCTATAGTTTCTATACTTTCGATCTGCTTTTTCCTATAACTGTCTTAGACAAATCAGATGTCTATAGTTTCTATACTTTCTATACTTTCTATCTGCTATTTCCCAGAACTGTCTTCGACATATCAGATGTCTATACTTTCTATACTTTCGATCTGCTTTTTCCCATAACTGTCTTCGACAAATCAGATGTCTATAGTTTCTATACTTTCTATACTTTCGATCTACTTTTCCCCATAACTGTCTTCGACGAATTAGATGTCACAAAACTGTCTTTGACAAATTAGATGTCTATAGTTTCTATACTTTCTATCACATATTGTTGTTTTACAATACATTGAGGCAATTCACCAAAATCGAAAGTGACCAAGAAACTTATGACGTCACATATTGTTTTACAATGTATAGAAAGTATAGACATAGGGATTTCACCAAAATGTAAAGTATAGAAAGTATCGAAAGTATAGACATAGGGAATTCACCAAAATGTAAAGTATAGAAAGTATCGAAAGTATAGACATAGGGAATTCACCAAAATCAAAAGTATAGACACTAGACAGTATAGAAAGTATAGACATGTATAGACTTTAGAGAGTCCAATCGTCTAGGACTGAAAAAAGTATCATTTAAAAAAAAGCAGTTCGAAAGTATAGAAAGTATAGAATATGCCATAATTTTGGATATACATGGTGAAACAAAGATTCTTGAAGATCACAGGGTGGTGAAACAAAGATTCTTGAAGGTCACAGGTACAGGGTGGTGAAATAAACATGAATTTTTGTGCAAAACCTCTTAATAACATATTTAGTATTGTGCTACTTATATGATACAAATCAAATAGCGGCATTTATTTTTCATGAAATGAAGGAATATTCCCAGCCAGACCATTTCGTAACTAACCATATTGTGGTAAACAAGATACAAATATATGTCATATTAAGGCTAATTCCGCAACGACGAATATGACATATTTATTTGCAGTGTATGACATATTCACCTGCGATTTATGGCATACTCACTAACCAATGAGATATTGCATCGATTGAACGAACGGGTAAAAGTTTAAAAATCATTATAATGATTACTGAATCAACAGTACAGTGCATTGAATATATCAACTAATGCAGTAGCATCACTCAGCAATCTCACGTGAGAACTTACTCAATAAATACAGGATTCATATATTCGTACTCGAAGTACTAACTTTATTGTCAATCCAGCGTAGTTTTACATATAGAGTCGATTCTCGCAACCAATCAAATCAAGACTTTCTGTATCACGTTTTCACCTGCGGTATTTGACATACTCACCTGCGGTATATGGCCTATTCCGCAGGTGAGAATCGGGTATTCACGGAAATGTATCACATACGTATTCACCACGAAATATGGCATACTCACTTGCGCAATATGCCACATACCACAGGTGAGTATGGCATATTCATCCGTATCACAAATACCGCGCAACCATGAATATATGCCATATTCCGCGTAACATGTATTTTCCATGTTTAGCAAAACAACTCGTGGCATTGCACATGACTGGTATAACTTTTTCAAGCTATACGTTTAATTGCAGATTTATAAAGATGCAATGTAAGTATCAATAATATGTTTATTAGTATTATGATTTTATGATAATTACATGACAAATAATATGGAGATACCATTAGAAATACGTTTTGTTATTGTTATTAGAAAATCTTCACATGCGGCATGCATATTTAATAATTGCACTGTCTGTAAAAGATAAACTGTATTTAACTTCATTTGTTTGCAAGGCACATCTGGCGTAATGTTAAACGAAAAACTCTTAGCTTCAGCAAGCATCATCAGTGTACCCTAAAATCAAGGGGTTTTAGCAAGAATCTGTCGTATCTATTTAACTAGATTTGCTTTATACATGTTATATTTCCACGAGAGCTCTGGGTGGTCGGAGCAAATTAGAACATTCAATATTTTTGTTATTGTAATAATATTCATATGTGGTGTGCGAAAACATGAGGGTATGTAATCATATTTTTTAATAATGTTTCATGCATGCAAACAAATTAGTTTAAATCGAGAGAGTAGGAAGATAGGGAACAATCAAAATCAGGTATCATGACTTTTTACATTTAAGTTTTATTTGGCAATTTTACTTGAAGGGCTAGAGGACATCATCATGTAAGTTAATCAAGAGTGATATCAGATACGACATTTTTGTAAGTCATAATTTTTGAATAAAAAATTCAGGAATACTCTGAAAATTGGGAAATGAGGCCAATTTATAGAATCATTGATAAAATAAGCAAATTTCATTGTTGTTTTTTTTAAGTAAGAAATTCAAACACGCGAACCATCTGAATGATAAAATTACACTCCACATCTCTTAATATTGATTATTTGTTTGTATGACTTGTCTTTAGAATAGAAACCTTTGCATCATCAAAGAGAATGACTACAGAGGCAACGCCAAAAGGGGCGTTATCACCTGTTGAAGGGACATCAAAAGGGGCTTTATCACCTGATGAAGGGACATCAAAAGGGGCGTTATCACCTGATGAAGGGAGATCAAAAGGAGCGTCATCACCAACCAAAGAGACGTCCAAAAGAGCATTATCATCAGAAGTAGCAGAGATATCTACAGGGGCGTTATCATCAGGGTCGATAAACCAAGACGAAACGTCTCCAGGGTGCTGTTCACAAAGACTTAAACTTGCCCTGGTGTTGATGTTAGGTTTTGCCTGTGTCCAGGCTTTACATGGTCACATGGGGTTGACCATAATATGTATGGTGAAGCCTCCGAACACAACCATGACTGGCATGAGTAACAACAGCACCTCTGATGTCTACATATGTCAGAAGAATCAATTACAACTGCCTAATCAGACAGCAGTAAACGCATCTTTCCAAGTAAGAAATCTCTTGAAATATCTTGTATAGTATACACCTTATGTTCCATGAGTTAGAATTATTTTTCCTTGATACAAAAACCAAAAATCCTTTAACACGTGTACATACTCGAGAACTATTGCTTCTTGTACAATTTGCAATTTACAAAATTGCTTTTCAGGGAGTGGTGCCTGAAGCGGAATTTGAATGGGATGCATTGACTCAGGGATTGGTTCTCAGTAGCATTTATTCCGGTGGCACCATCGGAAGATTAACTGGCGGATTCCTAGCGAGAATTTGGGGGCCTAAGAGAGTCATTGGAATTTCGTTGTTCATCGCAGGAACGTTGACAATGCTGACTCCATTCATCGCAAGATTGGGTGGTGCTTGGGCAATGATTGCGATGACGTTTGCGACGGGGGCTGCTACTGATATGATCCGACCTGTTTATTTAGCTCTTTGGGCAAATTGGGCGCCAGAATTTGAGAAGACGAAGCTGGTTACGATCTCGTTTCAAGGAACGTTGTTAGGGGGCATAGTGTCGATTCTAGTCACTGGTATCCTATGCGAGACTGTGGGATGGTCTGCCATTTTTTATGTCTTCGGTGGTGTCACATTAGTATGGGTATTCGTATGGGTCTATGCAGCATACGATTCACCAAGCCAACACCCAAGAATACACTCCAGTGAAAGAATGTTTATAGAAAACAGTATTGGAAAAGATGTCCGATTGGAGAAGATCCCCTGGAAAGATATTATTACGTCAAAGGCGGTTTTAGCATTAATATTTGCTGGAACGACAGGGGCATTTTCAATTGTAGCGGTAAACACACTGGGTGCAACATTTCTTACAGTGATATTCCAGTTGACTCCAATTCAAATAGGACTGGTCTCTTGTGGGTTAGCTGGCTGTACTGTTATAACAGCAATAATAGTATCTCTCTTATCAGACATTCTAAGAAAAAAGAAAATTCTCACTACCGTGGCAACAAGAAAACTGTTTGTTGCTATAGCAACAATCTCAGTTCCGATTGCAATCGCATATTCACATCTGGACTGTCGTCAGGTGAATGTAATGTTAGCTTTACTCTTCATTTCTGGTGCATTCTCTTCGTTTGGAATCGTCTCTTTGTCAGTCAATGCTCTGGACATCGCCCCGCAATTCGCAAGTATCATTGCTGGTATATCTGATGCAGTGGAAAATGCTGTTGGCGTTGCTGCTCCGCTTCTTTTAAGATACATAACACGTGATGATACAAGTTTACAATGGAGGCAGATGTTTTACATAAATGGAGGAATCGTGGTCTCTGGTATCATAGTGTACCTCATATTTGGAAAGGGACATGTTCTTCCATGGGCAAAGACAGACACCAAAGAAAAACAGCCAGATGAATCTAATACGGATGATAAACCTGAAGAGGGTATAAATCACCAGGATGACGCCCAACCTATTGAAGATGCAATCAGTCCGACAGAGCTCAAGGTGGAAATAGAAAATAGTAAAGAGCTGGTTAAAGATGAGCCGATTCTGATTCAAAAGAGTATTGATGCTGAAACTGATTTAACTGATGCGACTGAAAGCACCAATGATAACACCATGCCAGGGGATGACCTGGCAACTGAGGATAAGAACAATGTTGAGCGCACTGATCCTGAAAATGATAGTGCACCGGAAAATAAAGTTCACAACGAAGATACTCATGGAAACGATCACAATGAAAAGGCCCCAGATGTTACAATGGCCAAGGTTGTAGATTCTCTGTTAGCAATCAAAGCTTAGAGAGATAAAATATATCTGCACTGTAGAATTAACTAAATGAATCATATATTTAAAATTTGGCCTACTTGAAATGAATAATGACATCGTTACTTTTATCTCACTTAAGTTTGAGAGCATTCGGTTTGAGGTGGAGGGCAAGGTCTTAAGGGGTGAATACACTGGCAGGGTGTGGCAAAACTCAGATGGATAAGTTTTCAATGGTGGAAGTTGAGACAAAAGTGATTTAATATTTGTATTAGTTATTTCCTCAAGATGGCCTCTACATAAACTAAAGTAATAAAAATGGCCAAACAAACAAGCATTGATGGGTCCATAGGATACTTCTGTTTGCCAAACTTATGGAGGGGAGCGTAAATATTTAGTCGAGGTGCGACAAGTGGGAAGGTTATGACGAGTTTGCTCAGAACTCATTATACAATTTACAAACCATGCCCGTATCATGTACTTTGACGATGGGTTATTCAGAATTACGTTTGATATTATTTTACAATTAAAATCACTAGCTACTTCATTAGCAGAATAAAGCAACACATACACAGTATGATGTATCTCTTTAACTGAAATGTATATGTTTTTCAGTAAAGTACACATTGGAACACCACATCCGATATTCTAAAAGTTAATGATTCCGTATTTCAATTTTCAAGGAGGCGCAAACTCTTAAGAAGCCAAATATTACCCGTATTATGGGTTTTGTAAAAAGAGGGGATAGAAACGCGTCCAGTATTTTCGTCTGGTACAACTGGAAATACTTGACGCAGACCTCCATTTTTGATCCAGAGAGAGGTAGGTTTAATTTTACTCGGTAGCCTGTGATCGTTTTACAGTGTGTCCTTACCTAAAAACAAGCTCATCGAATTCGAATTCCCAGTACACCGGAGAACATCCAATTTTTATAAAATGACAACTATCCATCTAGTTTTTCTGTAACGTGGGGTCAAGTACAGAAATATTTTGATTTTCTTTCAGGAAATACACGAATCGAGTTATATTTCTTTTTTATTTACCATTTCATTGACAAGATATGCAATTTTCTTGTATGAACTAACACTACAGCCTCCGTTAATATCGAATGGCTTGCGTCCAGTATATTTTCATTTCGTCCGGTATTTCTTTAAATTTCGTCATTTTTCTATTTTCGATCATTTCAAAGCTAAAATTTGCCGATTTTGAATTTGTTTTATGAGCATACATATGTATTTTAAGCATATACGTTTCAAAAACTGAATGTAAAACATCCACTTAGGAAAGTCTCCTGACAATGATGCAAGTTTTATCTGAATGGTAAAATTTGGTATAAATAGGCTATTGTTCGCAAAATCGATGAAAATTTAGGTGTTTTTTTACCCCCGTGTCACATAAATGGTTATATCTCGAGCCGGGGTTGTTGAAAATTCTTCTATTATATATCATGATGGTGAAAATAAAATTATCTTTAAAATGATATATCATTGTTGGTGTGTTTGTTAGAAAATGAATATTCATCAGGAATGTTTGCTAGGGGGTGGTTTTTTGGCCCACCCTGTAGTATCATAGGGAATAAGCAAAGTGCATATGTAGGTCAAGTGGTAAATGTTGTATTGCTATCAAGGTGACAACTTGACCCTTGCTAAAAGTTTCCTATATATAATATATTCGAACAGAACTTGTACTCAGATGGGGCATATACATATAAACGATATTGGGCCAACGGTACTTGGGTTATTGCCCGGACAGATGGATGGATGTACGGATTGACGGAGGGTGCCGTTTTCTTTATCCCCCAAACTTCGTTCGATGGGATAATAACAAGCGCATGGCTGAGTTTGTATTCGCGAATGCAACTTCCAGCTGTCGGCTACCGGATTACCTTGCTACTTCATGGGCAACCATTTAAATATGAATAGTACCTGCCACAATTCGATCCATTCATATTTAAATGAATAGACCAATCCAGTATATCATGCCATCTATTGGTTGTGATGTCATTCTTACAATTTCAGTGCAGAAATAGGATTAAAATATTGCTAATTTCAAAAGCTTCTTTCAATTTTGTTTACAAACATTACTGGCTGTAAAGTATGACATCATAAATCTAGCCAATATACCCTAGTTTCCTTGTTCACAAATAGGGGTCAGGATTTATTGGAAAGGTCTATTGGTCATAAAATAGTAGGTTAATCCCAGAATCCGGTAGCCGACAAGTTGCATTCGCGAATACAAGCTGGGTCAGACGAGTAAATAACTCGCAGTCAGAAAAACGAACGATTTGTTACATTTAAACAAACCACGACATCCTAGCAAATGATTTAACGCATACAGTACATTTGACTGAGACACGAAAATCATTTTGATTTGTTAATTTTATCGTTTATTGAAGCTTGATGGAATCCTCACTTTTTTACAATAAATGCACAATAAATAAACGATTTTAGTCCTGGTTGTTCTCGACTATTCTCGTCGTTTGACATATACAATTGTAGTATGGAAGATATACTGTTCTGAGAACCCCCATTTATTGCATTCTTCTTCTTTGTGTTCTCTCATTGATGTTCGATGTTTATCACCGGAGCAATAACAACTGATTCAGTCAACACAGATCTGTCGCACCACGTCAACCCATAGCCTATCGAGTGTGCCTATTTTGACAAAAGACTACTCGGGATGACATTATTTCTCTATCCTACCGATCCAAAAAAGTACAATGAGATTCAAAACGTTCAAAACGAGATGTGACAGTTACAGTAATGACGAAACAATCTGTTTTGACTTAAATATGTTTATATTTAAATTGCGAATGAAACAAATAATGCTTGTTCACAAAACATTTAAATATTGTTTTTACTTTTTGGACAGTCCAAATAATTATTACGCACAAGACGGAATTGTAACTATAGGATTCAAACATGCCAAGTGTGTCTCGGCCAATCTGCAGGTTAAAGGGTTCCGATTAGCATCCCGTATAAAAACAATATGGCGGCTCCAGGCGAATCAACCGGATCAGTCCATTTTTAAGAAATAAGGGGAGTTCTGTAAAATCCAGTTTATTGAAATTGTCTTTGAGATAAAGTAATCCGTTTATAATGATTTTGAAAACGTTATCCAAAGAGTGATTGCGTTCAAAGAATACATGTACAACAGCCAATACAAATACTTGTATTAGAAACCGGTTTGTCTTGCTTTGTTTCATTTGTAGGATATTTCATATCCCAAGCTGTGTGCTGTTACGTTATGGGGAAATTTAGATGCCAATTTTTCCTTATTATACACAAATAGAAGATCCTGAAACTTCACCGATAAATGTGGAATTGATTTGTCAAAATAAAAATCACCATTTTATAAATGTGTGACGATCTATAATATACTTATGCTATATAACAGTTAGAGGTGTTGACACAACAACCTCGAACCTGTGAACCCTTGAGTATTATTCCGGGATCGGGCCTTTTATACTAAACGGTGAGCAACACCAGAAACGAGCGTTCGATTTGCTAAACGATATGCGTCACCCTTTAAAGCATTTCAGTGTGTTAATTTATTGATATATGCATGCATTCTTCTTCATCATTGACCAGAGTAATGTTTGAATTGCAATAAAGAATCATGTATCAATCTATATTGGAAACAGATTCAACTATATTGCCTATAGATTCAACTGTTGTGGTTGGGGGCTCAGTTTTTGAAGTTGTAGGTTCAGTTGTTATGGTTGTGGGTTTGATTGATGTGCTTGAAGGTTCCGTTGTTGAGGTTGTCGGTTCAATTGTTGAAGTTGTAGAGTCAGTTGTTATGGTTGAAGGTCCAGTTGCTGTGGTTGTTGAATGTTCAGTATGGGTGGTTGTGTGTACAGTTTTTGAGGTAGTAGGTTCAGCTGTTGTTGTAGGTTCAGCTGTTGCGTTTGTAGGTTCAGACGTTGTGGTTGTAGTTTCGGTTGCTGAGGTTGTAGATTCAGCTGCAGTAGTTGTCTGTTCAGCTGTTTGTGTAGTTGTAGGTTCGGTTTTTGAGGTTGTAGATTCAGATTGTGTGGTTGTAGGTTCGGTTGTTGAGGTTGTATGTTCAAATTTTGTGGTTGTAGGTTCGGTCGTTGAGGTTGTAGGTTCAGATTGTGTAGTTGTAGATTCGGTTCTTGAGGTTGTAGATTCAGATTGCGTGGTTTTAGGTTCGGTCGTTGAGGTTGTAGGTTCAGATGTTGTGGTTGTAGGTTCGGCTGTTGAGGTTGTGGGTTCAGATTTTGTGATTGTAGGTTCAGTTGTTATCGTTTTAGGTTCAGCTGCTGTGGTTGTAGGTTCAGATGTTGTGGTTATAGGCTCATTTGTTGTAGATTTAGTTGCTGCGGTTGTATATTTAGTTGTTATGGCTGTACGTTCAGTTGTAGTAGGTTTAATGACCTCGGTTGTAGATTCATTTCTTGCGGTTGTTGTAGTTGTAGGTTCAGTCGTTATAGGGGTGGTGTTCTTTGTTGTATATTCAGTTGTTGTGGTTCTTGCTTCAGTTGTTGTAGTTGTAGGGTAAGATGGTGTGGTTCGGGGCTAAGTTCTTACAGTTGTAGGTTCAGTTGTTGTGGTTGTGGGTTCGATTGATGTGGTTGAAGGTTCAGTAGCTGTGGTTGTTGAATGTTCAGTATTTGTGGTTGTGGGTTCAATTTTTGTGGCTTTAAGGTTAGTTGTTGTGGTTGTGTGCTCAGTTTTTGAGGTTGTAGGTTCAGCTGTTGTTGTAGATTCAGCTGTTGCTGTTGTAGGTTCAGACTTTGTGGTTGTAGGTTCGGTTGTTGAGGTTGTAGGTTCAGCTGCAGTAGTTGTCTGTTCAGCTGTTGCGGTTGTATGTTCAGATTTTGTGGTTGTAGGCTCGGTCGTTGAGGTTGTGGGTTCAGATTGTGTGGTTGTAGGTTCGGTTCTTGAGGTTGTAGGTTCAGATTGTGTGGTTTTAGGTTCGGTTATTGAGGTTGTATGTTCAGATTTTGTGGTTGTAGGCTCGGTGGTTGAGGTTGTCGGTTCAGATTTTGTGGTTGTAGGTTCGGCTGTTGAGGATGTCGGTTCAGCTGCAGTAGTTGTCTGTTCAGCTGTTGCGTTTGTAGGTTCAGACTTTGTGGTTGTAGGTTCGGTTGTTGAGGTTGTAGGTTCAGCTGCAGTAGTTGTCTGTTCAGCTGTTGCGTTTGTAGGTTCAGACTTTGTGGTTGTAGGTTCGGTTGTTGAGGTTGTAGGTTCAGCTGCAGTAGTTGTCTGTTCAGCTGTTGCGTTTGTAGGTTCAGACTTTGTGGTTGTAGGTTCGGTTGTTGAGGTTGTAGGTTCAGCTGCAGTGGTTGTCTGTTCAGCTGTTGCGGTTGTGGGTTTAGACTTTGTGGTTGTAGGTTCGGTTGTTGAGGTTGTAGGTTCAGCTGCAGTAGTTGTCTGTTCAGCTGTTGCGGTTGTGGGTTTAGACTTTGTGGTTGTAGGTTCGGTTGTTGAGGTTGTAGGTTTAGCTGCAATAGTTGTCTGTTCAGTTGTTTGTGTAGTTGTAGGTTTGGCTGTTGAGGTTGTAGGTTCAGATTGTCTGGTTGTAGGTTCGGTTATTGAGGTTGTAGGTTCAAATTTTGTGGTTGTAGGTTCAGTTATTGCGGTTGTATGTTCAGATGTTGTGGTTGGAGGTTCAGATGTTGTTTTTGTAGGTTCAATTGTTGCTGTTGTAGGTTCAGCGGTTGAAGGTTCAATTGATGTGGTTGTAGGTTCAGTAATTGCGGTTGCAGGTCCAATTGCTGCAGTTGTAGGTTCAGTAATTGCGGTTGTAAGTCCAATTACTGCAGTTGTAGGTTCAGTAATTGCGGTTATAGGTTCAGTTGTAGAGGCTGTAGCCTCAGTTGATGTGGTTGTAGCTTCAGTTGGTATGGTTGAAAGTTCATTTGTTGTTGTTTGTTCAGTTATTTTTTCAGTTATTGTGGTAGTAGGTTCAGTCGTTGCGATTGTAGATTCAGTTGTTGTCGTGATTATTGGTTCAATCTTCAAATTCTTCGTTTGACTTTTTCCAGCAACTCTCAGATCATCTGAGAAATAAAATAGAACTTTTGATTCGTGCTCATTGGAACTGTAAATTGAGTCAACTCCTGTCAGATGCAAACCGAATGTAATACCAACTGTCGCTGTTATCTGCGGAGGGAACGAAACGGTGATTGAAAGACTGTTATTTGACTGCAAGTGCTGAATCATCAAAATACAAGCCTGATCAACTGTGAAAGAAAAGGACAATTCAGTATCTGGGTAAACGAAGGAGAATGGACCATTGAATACAACCATGGAAAGTATATCAAGCGATGATTGGTACACAATATGGGCATTTGAGTCCTGTTGCAAGATCGCCACTGATGGATTTGCGTGACGTTGCTCAGTTTGAGCTATGGTTACACCTGGGTACATGATATACGCATACGGTTCTACACCATGTTCCATCCACATTGTAGCGACTTTCAGAGTTTTACCATTTGCATGTTTAATATAGGAATCGACATTTGCATCTGCTCCGTGTGGAAAAACATATCCCGCATTGTTGTGGTGAATCCATTTAACATTTGGGACATGTGTTGTCGTGTTTGACCCCACAAATTGCCATGTGTCTGAATTACTATATGCAATGTCACCATTTTGGATTATTTGGTTCAGAGTAGTTATAATTGGTAGCTCGGTCACCTCATTAGTTTCGCGCCTCTCAATATCACTACCCAAGCAGACGACTTCGTCATCAAAGAAAAACCAAGACTTCTTCAGAGTTATGTTGACGGTTGGACGATCGTAGTCCATTGCAGCAGCACCGTACATTCCATTGGAGACACTGCCAACGAAGGCAGCGTTACTTATATGATGAGGAAACCCGTTTGGATTACCGACATTTCTCTCCATACCTTCCCGGGGAACCTGCCCACGATATTCGACTGTCGTACCTAAAAGAACAACTGAATCAGTTAATACGGCAGTGTAAGATACAAATGTCACATCTCAAGTGTCCACATTATAATAATGTGTCACCAAGGTCATAGAAACGATACAACTATAGGTTAAATGCCCATTGAAATTTTCATTCTGGATGACAATACTGAAAGTGCACTAATTAAGTATTGGCATCTTTTAAGCCTCTTTTATTAAATTCAGTCTTCGCGGCTGATGAATCATCAATACGTTGAATTAAATGTCAGATGGATTGTAATCCATAATTGACAATTTAAAGAAGATTAGTGTCTTTTCAGAGTTGTGTAAAATCATCTAGAAGATGAACTAAATGGCAGATGAATTGTATTGTGATTGACAGTTTAAAAACATTTTCAGATTAGTTCGTTCGGGTAATTTTTTTAATAATACAATCCAGTAGTCTAGTAGAGAAAAAGTTCAACAATTGAAGTGTAACATGTTCTAAAACAAGCTTGTCAAATTGATGGTTTAATATTTCTAAATGTTTCAGAAAAATGGAATGTGACATTCTAAACGTTCTAAAGTTTTGTCAAATTGTTGATTTCAAGTAAGCAAATACATCGGCCACTTCTTTTTATTTTCTTGGTTGAGCGTCAATGAGGATTGGCTCCCATAGTGCAACGTCGATATTCTTTCCCATATATGGGGATGTCGTGAAACAAAATTCAATCTCAAACAGCCGCCATTTTCTTCACTTCAACATTTGAATCCTGAACTTTGGTCTTATTTCCTATCGAAAAATTCCAAAACTCACAACAAATGATCGAGATATTGGTTCGAATCTTTTGAACTGTTTATTTTGAATTTATAGTCGAAAATAACGACATTTCGACGTTTCGATCCTGGGAGCCAATCATCCTTGGTTTAGCGTCGTCAGCAGATTCTCCATTGTTTTGTTAAATCTCTCCATTTGACCATTGCCTGCTTGATGATAGGGGCCTGTTAACCCCGTACATGACAAAAATGATTAATTATCCCACTTAATAAGCCGATACAAACTGAATTTTTGTAAGCCAATCAATATTAATTTGACTTCCAATTCTAATAATTGGATATCCCCAGTACCTGGAATCTTTTCCCAGTCATAATATTGAAAAACCTCATTGTATCTTGATCCGAACTCATGGTCATCCTGTAGAAGAGTCACAAATCCATCGCCAGTATAATACCTGGAATATCATATTCGGTGTATTACAAACAATTCTATTTTCAATTGCGGGATTGTACCCTTTTGTCTCGTAATTCCAAGGTGGTCACATAGATAGTTGGACTTAGGGTGAGACAGAGCTAATAAAAACTTGCTCCTTACCCATCGGGGTTGTTTTTCCTTCTGCTGCTGAGCCAAGTTTCAGGTCGGACTGTGCGGCAGGAAAACATACGCACACTCACCATGTAACTTAATCTATGGTGAACTATCATGTCCGAGGCAAAAAATCCCCTGTTGCCAATGAGGGCGTTTGCTATACTAGTAGGACCATGTTTTTTATATCTTGTTATCACATTTTCTAGTTCAGTCCTGCGGTAATTAAGTTGTAACAGCAATCTCGCTACCTGGAATAGAACCATTTGCATAAACAATGCCTTGACAAAGTAGAGTTGTTCAAAATGAGGGCCTGGAAATGAGGTTGAGTCATTTTACAGTCAACAATAAATGCACCATCTTCAATCTGATACAGAATGATTACCCTAATTAAGTCAGTTACTCCATGTAAAGAGTAAGCAGTTCAGCAAGTCACTCGTTTTATATATAGACTCGACAAGCACCTAATAAGTCTAAATATATGCTGGGCCAAATAAACAATACCCAAGTTTTAAGATGAATGATTCAATGATATATGTTAAACCATGCCATGTAGGCTATTATGTATCATCTATTAAAAATCATTTTCTAACAAAAATACACCAACCAATTGAAAAACCTTTGTTTTCTCGTGGAGGTAGAGACTAAAATTGACACCATTGGTGTCGTGGCCGACCAAAAATCAAAAAATGAAAGTTCCCAAATTTCCCTCCAGATTGCAGCCACAGCTGCACTCAATATATATGCTTGACTGGATCATCGTAATACACAACTTATGATTAATTAAAAATATATAAGTATTATTGCTGAAAGTTGCACCATACTTGTATAAATGTACCTCTTTTGAAATTGCCAAAATTCAAATTTCCCTCCATTTTCCACAATTTGGAAATCCACAGTGAATAATTTTTTGGTCGCTCATGACACTCCTGGTGTCAATTTTAGCCTCTACCTCCACAAGAAAAAGGGTTGGAGACTTCAGAAGAGTTTCCCATAGATGACCATTGTAACCTTTTACCCTATATCTTATTAACGGTTAGTATCCAACTCGTGCAACATACCGCAGTGTTCTGGAGAGACTTGCCTAGCCTGCTATAACAAACTTACCATGGGTTGTCCACCGAAAATTTTGAGATAAATAAACTTGAAGACACTAACCACCTCTATCGTGAGATTTCTAAGAAAATTCAGGTAAAATCACCAAGGTCAAAATCACTCCGCCGTCAGCTTAAAATTCATTTCAGATAAATTAGGACCTTATAAATATTGAGTCGCGATTCACTTCCCAAACGCCAGATGGGGCTCCAATGGGGTAGGGAAGAAGAAAAAAGACTTTTTATACAGAAAACCAAATTACAAATCATGGTAACCGCTAGTATCCTAGTAGCGTTGTGCAGAGTTGTTGGGCACTTATAAGACACTCACTTGATTCGTACTAGCCATATGAGACAGATCATCTTAAATCACGTCATACCTTGTAGATCGAGTCCAAAGACGCCCAATAAGTCACTCGCTGGTTATCATCAATATTACGTCCAACTGAGGTGGGCTCGAATGTACGGCCCCGCACCAAATATTGATGACACTCCAAGAACATGTTTATGAACTCTGCCAACACATGCTCTTCCACCTGAAATAAAACGTTTAAATGTAGAAACATTTCAACCGTGAATAAGAATAGTAGTTGGTTGTGTTCTTGTGTGAATAAAAAGGCAGGTATGTTATTGCAAGCTTTTTTAGACAGCTCTTACTAAAAAATTTGAGGTCAAATATCTGGCACAAAAGCAACATGTTTTGATATGGTTAATGTACAAAAAGACTGGGGGATATTACATAATTGATCTCCAAAAATAACAAAGTAAGAAAATGATTCTCTCATAATCCAAAGAGATTATCTCATAAACCATTTGTCATCATGTTATTTTGTTGTTGTTTTTCTTGGAGATAGTGTGATAAAATATTGTTATAAAATAATGTATAAAATACAGAAAAATGCAGAAAACAATCATGTACATGGACATGTATGCACAAGTACCAAAGGAAAGGACCAAAATTTTAAGAGAACACAGCAAGAAAAAGAAAACATCTAGTGTATACCGACCATAAGGAAAAACCAACAAACAGTGATTACCCCCTCCCCCACCATTTAAACACCATCAAAACAACACATGCATTCAGTCTCAAATTAAGTATCGAAGAACATGATAAGCTATACGTTGATTTACCGCATAAGAGGAGTCGTGAAGTGCTAAATAGATGGCGCCAGCTCTCTTGAGAAACACAGCCCCATAACCGCCATTGTACATCATCAGACGTAAATGTGAGTTGTTGTATTTGCCCTCATAGCGTCCTACGTGTAGATTGTGGACGTGAATACAGTAATCGGCTCCTACACCCTCCCCTGCAGAACAGAAACGACAAGTTAATATGGGTTGACAAAATGTGTAACCCAGAATCCTGCATGGATATTGTAAAATATAGTAGTTGGCTCGTACACCCTCCCTGCATGACAGAAACGACAAGTTAATGTGGATTGACAAAAGGTGCATCCCAGAACCTGCATGGATATTGTAAAATATAGTAGTTGGCTCGTACACCCTCCCTGCATGACAGAAACGACAAGTTAATGTGGATTGACAAAAGGTGCATCACAGAACCCTGCTTGGAGATTGTAAAATAAAGTAGTCGGCTCGTGCACCCTCCCTGCATGACAGAAACAACAAGTTAATGTGGATTGACAAAAGGTGCATCCCAGAACCCTGCATGGAGATTGTAAAATATAGTAGTCGGCTCGTACACCATCCCTGCATGACAAAACGACAGGTTAATGTGGATTGACAAAAGGTACATCACAAAAGCCTGCATGGAGGTTGTAAAGAATAGTAGTTGGCTCGTACACCCTCCCTGCACGACTGAAACGACAAGTTAATGTGGACTGACAAAAGCTGCATCCCAGAACCCTGCATGGATATTGTAAAATATAGTAGTTGGCTCGTACACCCTCCCTGCATGACAGAAACGACAAGTTAGTGTGGATTGACAAAAAGGTGCATCCCAGAACCCTGCATGGATATTGTAAAATATAGTAGTTGGCTCGTACACCCTCCCTGCATGACAGAAACGACAAGTTAATGTGGATTGACAGAAGGTGCATCCCAGAGCCCTGCATGGATATTGTAAAATATAGTAGTTGGCACGTACACCCTCCCTGCATGACAGAAACTACAAGTTAATGTGGATTGACAAAAGGTGCATCCCAGAACCCTGCATGGATATTGTAAAATATAGTAGTTGGCTCGTACACCCTCCCTGCATGACAGAAACGACAAGTTAATGTGGATTGACAAAAGGTGCATCCCAGAACCCTGCATGGATATTGTAAAATATAGTAGTTGGCTCGTACACCCTCCCTGCATGACAGAAACGACAAGTTAATGTGGATTGACAAAAGGTGCATTCAAATAGCGGATGAGAATATATTTGTGATTTTAAGTATTAAGCAATAATATCCTGATGAATGAATAATATTTTCAAATTGTGCACAGAGCTTCCAAAATTTGGATTTATAATTGTTTGATCGTATTGTACATTTCTTCCATAGGATCTTGGTTTCTCAAATGTTGGTGTATTCAAGGTGCTAACGCTCACTCTTGCAGATACTGATATCAACTCGTGGATAAAAATAATATCAATCAAAATCATAAGATATTCTATATACATGTTTGGGTATAATATGGGTTTGAAGAACATGGTATTTCGTATGTGATATTAGTTAAAACAAGCCAAGGAACTGCCAAGCAAAGAATCCTGCGGGAATCCTGAGCAAAGAATATAAGCAAAGAGTGTTACGCGGTATATGGCATACATTCATGGTTGCGCGGTATTTGTGATACGGGTGAATATGCCATACTCACCTGCGGTATATGGCATATTCCGCGGGTGAGTATGCGATATTCCGCAGTGAATATGCGATACATTGATTTCAGTGAATACCCGATACTCGACTGCGGAAGGTGTCATACTCACTTGCGGAAAATGCCATATACCGCAGGTGAATATGACATATACCACAGGTGAAAACGTGATACAGAAAGCCTTGATTTGATTGGTTGCGAGAATCGACTCTAAATGTAAAACTACGCTGGATTACTGAATATATAGTTAGTGCGTCGAGTACTAATATATGAATCCTGGATTGATTGAGTAAGTTTATTACGCAAGATTGGTGACTGATACTTCTGCTAAGTTAATATATTCGATACACAGTACTGTTGATTCAGTAATCATTATAATAATTTATAACGTTTTACTTGTTCGTTCAATCGATGCAATTGACAATTGTGTACTTCCGTATCACGTTCTCATTGGTTCAGTGTGTATGCCATATACCGCAGGTGAATCTATCATACACCGCAAGTGAATATGCCATATTCGTTGCGGAATATGACATATTTTTGTATCGTGTTTACCGCGTAACAAAGAGCATGGATTTGAATAAATGATGACTGAAAAAACTTAGCACCTTAGCTGACTAAGATAATCTTCTATTTCTAATTTCATTTAATGATAACTCTGTCAAGAATTTAAAAAACCTATAGCAGAGTTGATCACTGCTTATTATTACGATAAGAAACATTTTAAGGTATCTTACCTTGGTACGTCGTTTTATTTACGATTTCCATAGTCAAGTACTCGAGGATCTGGTTTCGTCTGACTTCAAAAATAGTTCTGTTTTTGTAATAAGTCTCGAACAACCCAAGGAAGCCTCTATTTGCCAGATTTGACGCCGATATGTATCCATCTTTCTTTCGTTCGTAATCCCAAACCGTACGGTCCGTCCAGTATCTTTTAATCAAATCGTCGTATAGCGTGTCATTGATTAAACCCCTCGAGAGGAAGAGACCAGCCCAGAAGGACCGCGGGACGCCAATTTGATAACCCCACCAGTTCCAATCTGTGTTGTCAGGTACGCTATACGCAAGAAATTCCCAAGATTTCACGACCCATTCCCACGTCGTGGCATTTTGGTAGAAATAGTTCTGGTTACGGTTTAAAAAATACGACTGAATGATTTTAGTCAATCTGTCACCGTGTTTTGTAAAAGGCTTTGACATTTTGTAGGTATTGTCGCCATAAGTTATATCTGTGAAACTGCCATCTGTCTTAATCTTGTTGGGTTGAACGTTGCGTTTCGATAATCTAATTGAATATCGTTCTCCGGCTGCGTCCTCTGGCATCGCAAGAAATCTGAAGTTTGCATCAAGTTCTGTAAGGCTGTATGCCAAACGAAATTCTACCATAATGATCATCGCCAACCAGAGAAAATGCATGCTGAGTCTCATCGTCTTCAGGTTCAATTCTTCTACGATCATAAACTGACTCGCAAGAGTAAATTAGTGAGGATGCCCTCATACTTACTTACTTATATACTATTTTTTAGTTGCGAAGATCGATGACCTACAATATGGAACACAGAAAAATTGGGTGAGCAAAAGTGACGTTAATGAAAAAATCGTTATAATGTTTGCGTTTTAATGAATTGAAATATTCCGAAATAAGGTATTCTCGAATATGATTAACATCAAATATGCGGAATTACATATTTGATGTAGGATGGAATATTTCAAAGAATGCTCGCATTAGTAAAGATACTACCAACGCAATTTAACGTGTCAAACCACAACATTTCTGATATCAATTTAAAAATAACATGATATAGTCATTTGCCATTAAAGACAAATTGTGGGCAATTTCTTGTAAATTTTTGGAAGTTTAGTTCTTGATTTTTGTGGTGCAAAATTTGGGACTATCTTTAGATACAATTAAAGTCCACCATCTTTGGATATGTCTGTTAGTTTGGTTTGGTTTGGCGTGATGGTCTCTTGGATCAACCGGACGGAAAAGGTCGGAAGTCGAAGATGGGCCCAGTGAAGGACGCCGGGGTTTGATCGAGGAACTTGGATAGATCCTTGTTTTTGATTGACCTATTTATGAGATAAGGATGGAGTTGAATAATTTCGACATTCCTCGATAAAGATGTGAAAATAGAATATTTGAGTAATCCTAATACAAGGTGCTTAGATGTCAAAAAGACATAAGAGAAAGTTTGACTGTTGATATGAAATCAACGCTATATGCGATACCACGCGGTCCTAACTTCGACCGTTAATTTGAATTTTTGAAAATCAAGGATTTACTAGTCTCATACTGCACCGTTTTTCTTCAAACTTGTTCCATTCAAAGCATTACACAAATCCCTTTCTGATGGTACATTATTCTCTTCAACAGAGTCCCTACTTCCAGCGGCATTTTGGTCCCCAGCTGTAATAAGGCCTTCTAACAGCTGGGGACCAAAAACGCTGCTAGAACGAGGGACTCTTTACAATAAAGTAAATGCACCGACAGAAAGGCAATTTTGTTCTGCTTTTAATGGTATAAGTTTGAAGAAGAACGGTGCAGTATGAGACTCGCAATCCTTGACTTTCAAGCACCTGGTAGGTCAAAAATTCAAATTAACGGTCGAAGTTAGGACCGCGTGGATACGTGCAAACCCCACAATAATTGTAGACAATGAATTAAATCAAAACATTGCTACGATATAATTCCAGGTATGTTGATCGAACGCATTCCATGAGGCAAAACGTCTTAAAAGAACATTGTTCATATTAAACAATTAAGTAAAAATGTCAATGTTTTGAAAAGGCTGACAATTAGCGCAAATTTTATGCCCACGAGTATTCGTTCTTGATAGAATCTACATTATATGTAAATTATTTGTAATAATGAAACCAAACAAGTGTATTGCAAATGTCAGAATAGAATTATTAAGTTTTCTATTAATTCTTTTTATTTGATGTTTATTGTGAAATAGTTGAGATATCTCGTTCAGAAATACGATGATTATATAGACAAACATTCCAGGTATCTTAATTAGTTGAGAATAAGGTGAATGATCTGACTTATTCAAACAAGATATAGGTTGAATACGTATATCTAACTAATCGTTTGAGCCGAAGTTCTCTATTAGGACAGATGTATAACAAAATTGTCAGGAAATTAGCTGAACAAACGAACTCCATTCCATTGAAAAATAAATAACCCAATTTGTCCTGAAATTCCACGTACTATTTGAAGGGGAAGGGCATTAGCTTTAAAGATTTGGCATAGTGGATTCACTAGTTAAAGGGGGGATAACCCCGGGCTTCAAAGAAGACATATAGCGAGATCAATAGTGCAAGAAAACAGGCAAACAGTTCATTCATGGAACGAAGCATGAAACCTTCCACATATCATCAGAATACCATTCCCTTTGATTTAAGAGCCAGAGCCATTTTTGTGGTCCACTAGAATGGTCAAAAAAATAGTAAGAACCCCCTCCCACCAAAGCCCATGGGGGTGGGGAGATATAGGAACATTTTTTTCATAAAAAAAATTCTTTGAATATGGTCATACTACAGTTTTAGTGTGCTATTTTCATGGTAAAGAAATTTTGCAAACAAAACAAGATGATTTATCATTGATTTCCATCATCGTTAAAGACTAATCATGGGCGACGCCCACTTTTCGTACCTTGAACATTTAGGTTATTAAATCTCTATCATGGGTTGAACAAATGAATGCAATTCAGTTTTCTGGATAACACCAGATACCTTTTTGATGCTAGGTGCTATAATTAATCGTAGCATTTGACATTTTTAAAAGGCTTACACCATATCACAACCCTGTTTAGAAGAAGAAAGCAAGCAACAAACGTCCCAGATCTACAACATGTATCCACTATTCTATGTACATGTATGTTGAGTCTCTATACTCTCCTGAAGAGAACCTATGCTACAGAGACAACTTTCCAGAATTTAGATGATGATGTGCTTAAACAGTTTGATGAATGGTGTGCTGACCCGGTGCCTAAACAGTTTGATGAATGGTGTGCTGACCAACAGAATGTACCAGTACCAGTGAACATTTAGGCTATTAAACCTCTTTCATGGTTTGAACCAGTACCAGAAGGGCCGCCACAGTCACAGCCTGCAGTCTCTAAATTCTCAAGAGAGCCTATACTACATACACAGCTGTCCAGAATCTAGATAATGAAGTGATAAACAGTTTGATAAATGGTGTGCTGACCAACAGAATGTACGAGTCTTTAAGTTTTGGTTTCCCATTATTTGAATTGAAATACTGTGCCTTAACTAAGTGTGGGCTATCAGAGAGGGAAATTTCCCTCTTTATCTCTAGTCAATGAGCAATCTTATCTCCTGGTTTTTTGTTTTTTGACCTTGTCAATATGTTTGCTGAGTACCAGTTCAGTATATCATCAGAACTCAAAGTTCAAAAATGGATAGCTTTTGGAAAAGTAAAAAATTAGAGATATCTCACTTCCCATGAAATTGCAGCTGCCCTTTGACATGGTAGGACTATGTGTCTCCCCTTATTTCATGCCCCAACAGGTTCAGACACTATATCTGGATTCCAATCATTGAACATTTTGTTGAGATTTTATACAATAGAGACAACAATGAAATAACTGTAAATGCTGCAAGACAAGAAATGTTCACAAAGAAAACAACTCAAATTGAGAACATCCCACCATAAGTTGCATAAGTTGGTTCCAGACAATTATACCTATGTCAGTCCTCGCTTCACCCTCACAATTGAGTTGGGAATCCATAACCACAAAGGCTGGGAAAATAATTTGGGTGCCAGTGTGGAAAACATTGCCCAAGCCCCAGATGCATGCCAAATGCTAGTAAAATGCAGCTGCAAACAAAAGTGCTCAACAAAAAGATGCAAGTGCTTTTTTGTCATTCTAGTGAACCACAAAAATGGCTCTGGCTCTTAAATCAAAGGGAATGGTGTCCTGGTGATATCTGAAAAATTGCAAATGCCCCCTCCAATCAAATCCTGGGGGGAGGGGAGGGAAGTATTTCTTGTTGATTTTTTTTTAATATGATCTATATTCATTTTTAGTATGTTATTTTCAGTGTATAAAAACAATTTTCAAGATTGCATCCATATTTCTCATGGATATTCATTGTTAAAGCCTGACCAAGGGCGACGGCCACTTTATCAACATGTTAATATACAAGTTAATGAGTCTTCTATTGTGAATAGAAAAATTACCTAATAAGGCTGAATAAAATTGATAAGATTAAGTCAGTTATTTATGTTAAGATGATAATTTCTTTAAGTAAGTCAATTGAAAGGCCACATCCCTTTTAGATATAAAGATATAATAATATATAATTCATAATTAATGATATATTATTTTGGCTTTTAATGAGAGCACTTTGACTAATTGATACAAGTTACCTTATTAGGTATCTTAACTGCAGTTCAAATATCCTATTTTGTGCATTTAAGCACTTCAACACTCTATTATTATTATCACTGAGCTAGGTGTCATGTCCATTACAATCCTGCATTTTACTAGCGTTTGGCTTGCATCTGAAGCTTGGGGCAATGTTTTCTCCACTGGCACCAAAATCATTTTTCCAGCCTTTGCTGGTGTAGTGTCTGAACCTGTGGGAGCATGAAATAAGGGGAGAACATAGTCCTATCATGTCGTATCAAGGGCAGCTGCAATTTCATGGGAAGTGAGATATTTCTAATTTTTTTTCCAAAAGCTATCCATTTTTGAACTTTGAGTTCTGATGATATACTGAACTGGTACTCAGCAAGCATATTGACAAAGTCAAAAAACGAAAAACCAGGTGACAAGCTTGCTAATTGACTCAAAGAGGGAAATTTCCCTCTCTAATAGCCTACACTTAGTTAAGGCACAGTATTTGGATTCAAATAATCTGAAACCAAAACTTAAAGACTGGTACATTCTGTTGGTCAGCACACCTTTCATCAAACTGTTTATCACTTCATTATCTAGATTCTGGACAGCTGTATATGTAGTATAGGCTCTCTTGAGAATGTAGAGACTGCAGGCTGTGACTGTGGCGGCCCTTCTGGTTCTAGTTCAACCCATGAAAGAGGTTTGATAGCCTAAATGTTCAGCATATGAAAAGTGGGCGTCGCCCATAACTAGTCTTTAACAACTTTGAAAATCAAAGAGAAACCATCTGGAAATAAAGAGGAAAATTCTCCTGTCCTATAGCCCTCACATAGTCAAGGCACAGTATTTCAATTTGAATAAGCAGAAACCAAAGCTTGAAGACTGGTACATTCTGTTGGTCAGCATGGCATTCATCAAACTGTTTAGGCACTTGGTCAGCACACCATTCATCAAACTGTTTTAGCACATCATCATCTAAATTCTGGACAGTTGTGTCTGTAGCATAGGTTCTCTTTAGGAGAGTATAGAGACTCATACATGTACATAGAATAGTGGATACATGTTGTAGATCTGGGACATTTGTTGCTTGCTTTCTTCTTCTAAACAGGGTTGTGATATGATGTAAGCCTTTAAGAAGTCAAATGCAAAGATTAATTATAGCACCTAACATCAAAAAGGTATCTGGTGTCATCCAGAAAACTGAATTACATTCATTTGTTCAACCCATGATTGAGATTTAATAACCTAAATGTTCAAGGTATGAAAAGTGGGCGTCGCCCATGATTAGTCTTTAACAATGATGAAAATCGATGATAAATCATCTTGTTATGTTTGCAAAATTTCTTTACCATGAAAATAGCACTCTAAAACTGTAGTATGACCATATTCAAAGAATTTTTTTTATGAAAAAAATATTCCTATATCTCCCCACCCCCATGGGATTTGGTGGGAGGGGGTACTTACTATTTTTTGATCATTCTAGTGGACCACAAAAATGGCTCTGGCTCTTAAATCAAAGGGAATGGTATTCTGATGGTATGTGGAAAGTTTCACGCTTCGTTCCATGAATGAACTATTTTTGCACTATTGATCTCGCTAATATAATGTCTATAATGTTAATCTGTATTGAGAAGACATGTCGCCCCGATTGGTCAAATCGACAGACAAGCAATGGCGGTTTCAAAATTTTCTAAACTCGCTTCCAATAATATTATGTTAATTTCTGCCGTGATAAATTTAATCATAGCTTGTTATTTTACATCAAGATGTAAACTAGTCAGTGAAAATTCTGACAAACGAATTTGGTAAGCAAGAGAAGAAAATAAGTATGTTACATTTAGACAAACATGCAAGACATCTCAACGCATACATTTGACCCGTGACTGTAAATAAAACATTTTGATTTGTTAATATTATCTGTTTATTGAAACTCTTCGAGTTCTCATTTTTACAAGAAATGTTCGATTTTATTTGCTGTGGTCGTTGACGGTTCGGATGTGATTATGTGGTTGTAGCTTCAGTTGGTATGGTTGAAAGTTCAATTGTTGCTGTTGTTTGTTCAGTTATTTTTTCAGTTATTGTGGTAGTAGCTTCAGTCGTTGCGATTATAGATTCAGTTGTTGTCGTGATTATTGGTTCAATCTTCAAATTCTTCGTTTGACTTTTTCCAGCAACTCTCAGATCATGTGCGAAATGAAACAGAACTTTGGATTCCTGCTCACTGGAATTGTAAGTTGAGTCATCTCCTGTCAAATGCAAACCAAATGTAATACCAACTGTCGCTGTTATCTGCGGAGGGAACGAAACGGTGATTGAAAGACTGTTATTTGACTGCAAGTGCCGAATCATCAAAATACAAGCCTGATCGACTGTGAAAGAAAAGGACAATTCAGTATCTGGGTAAACGAAGGAGAATGGACCGGTGAACACGACCATCGAGAGTATATCAAGTGTTGATTGGTACACGATGTGGGCATTTGAGTCCTGTTGCAAGATCGCCACTGATGGATTTGCGTGACGTTGCTCAGTTTGAGCTATGGTTACACCTGGGTACATGATGTACGCATACGGTTTAACACCATGTTCCATCCACATGGTTGCGACTTCCAGAGTTTTACCATTTGCCGTCTTAACATAGGATTCGATATTTGCATCTGCCCCGTTTGGAAACACATATCCCGCGTTGTTGTGGTGAATCCATTTAGCATTTGGAACATCTGTTATCGTGTTTGAGCCTACATATTGCCATGTTTCTGAATTACTATATGCAATGTCACCATTTTGGACGTTTTGGTTCAGCGTAGTAATAATCGGTAGCTCGGTCACCTCATTAGTTTCGCGCCTCTCAATATCACTACCCAAGCAGACGACTTCATCATCAAAGAAAAACCAAGACTTCTTCAGAGTTATATTGACTGTTGGACGATCGTAGTCCATTGCAGCAGCACCGTACATTCCATCGGAGACACTGCCAACGAAGGCAGCGTTACTTATATGATGAGGAAACCCGTTTGGATTACCGACATTTCTCTCCATACCTTCCCGGGGAACCTGTCCACGATATTCGACGGTCGTACCTAGAGATTTATTCATTCAGTTTATTTAAAAATTACATGAGTACGGTCAAGAAAACAAATTGGAAAATATGACATTCTAAGCATGCTGTAACATCCTAAAAGTCTTGATGGTCAAATAAAGATACAAATACAACTAGATAAGCTGATAGAATATTGACGATTGTTTAGCAATTAATATGCATTTGACTTATTTGTAATACTATGATATCGTCATTACCTGGAATCTTTTCCCAATCATAATACTGGAAAACCTCGTTGAATCTGGATCCGAACTCGTGGTCATCCTGTAGAAGAGCCACAAATCCATCGCCCGTGTAATACCTGGAATATCATATTCGGTGCATTACATACTATTCACAACTTACTTACAATTGCGTACTTGTACCCCGGGATTATACCCTTTTGTCTCGTAAATCCAAGGTGGTCACATAGTTAGTTGGACTTAGGGTGAGACAGAGCTAATAAGAACTTGGTCCTTACCCATCGGGGTTGTTTTTCCTTCTGCTGCTGATCCAAGTTTCAGGTCGGACTGTGCGGCAGGAAAACATACGCACACTCACCATGTAACTTAATCTATGGTGAACCATCATGTCCGAGGCGAAAAATCCCCTGTTGCCAATGAGGGCGTTTGCTTTACTAGTAGGACCATGTTTTTTATATCTTGTAATCACATTTTCTAGTTCGGTCTTACGGTAGTTCAGTTGTGACAGCAATCTCGCTACCTGGAACAGAAGCCTAAGCATTAGCAATACCTCGATAAAATGGAGTGATTCAAAATTAAAGCCGCTGGATAATTGAGGAGTTTGACCCATTTTAGAGTCCCAAACCAAGCCACCGCCAAGAAACTCCAAATTCGCCTAAAAATTGAGAGAAAACAGCTAAAATACATAATGTTTAATCAGAACGCATCTGGAACCAGCCAAAAGTGTTTGGATTAGCAGGTGTTCACATTTCAAGGTTTTTGCAACATTTAGGGTAAATTGGGACCAAGGAAAGTTTTCATATTGAGAGATTTTCGGATTATATACAATTGGTGCCCAATAAGTCACTCACTTTATATACAATTGGTGCCCAATAAGTCACTCGCGTTATATACAATTGTCGCCTTATAGGTCACTCACTTTATATACAATTTGGTGCCCAATAAGTCACTCGCGTTATAAACAATTGTTATGCCCAATTGTTGTTCTCTGAAGATAGTCATGTTAGATCGTCTAAGATACATATACATCGTACCTTGTAAACGGAGTCTAAAGATGCCCAATAAGTCACTCGCTGGTTATCATCTATATTACGCCCAACTGATGTCGGCTCGAATGTCCGACCGCGCACCAAATACTGATGACATTCCAAGAAGACATTTATGAACTCGGACAAAACATGCTCTTCCACCTGAAACAAAACGTTTAGATGTTAGAATATTTCAACTGTAATTGAATAAAGATGGTAGTTCCTCGTGGCTTGTGTTTGATCAGAATAAACTAATTTTAACTCTACACTCACATCGTCGTTTTCAAAACTGTTACAGTCATGTGGATGGTCAAATTTGAAACGAAGACTGATAAAACGAAGGTGATAACGAAATTATGTGTAGAAGAACGTGGTAAGCTATCCTGGTAAGCTGTACGTGGATTTACCGCATAAGAAGAGTCGTGAAGTGCCAAATAGATGGCGCCAGATCTCTTGAGAAACTCCGCTCCATATCCGCCATTATACATCATCAAACGTAAATGGGAGTTAGTATAATGTCCCTCATAGAAGCCCACGTGGAGATTGTGTACGTGAATACAGTAGTCGGCCCCTACACCCTCCCCTGCATTATAAAAACAAAATCAAGTTAGTATAATGTCCCTCATAGAACCCTGTGTGGAGATTGTGTACGGTGAATACAGTAGTCAGCCCCTACACCCTCCCCTGCATTATAAAAACAAAATCAAGTTAGTATAATGTCCCTCATAGAAGCCCACGTGGAGATTGTGTACGTGAATACAGTTGTCAGCCCCTACACCCTCCCCTGCATTATAAAAACGTCAAGTTAATGAGAGTTGACAACACAAGGTGCATCCAAGAACGCTGCGTGGAGATTGTGTATGAAAATATTTGTTATTTTAAAGTCATGAAAATAATGTCGATGAATAAACAATATTTTCAAACTTTTCGTGGCTTTAAAAATTTTGATTTGAAAATTAAAGAAATTTACCATTTCTTACTTTAGTGTCATCAAGAAACTGCCTGAGAAATAACAAGCAAGTCATGAAAACGTCAAGCGGGATATGAGCAACGACCATAAAATACGAAATGATGATTGAAAAGCCAGCATCTTAGCTTTCTCTGAGATGATATTCTTTTCTATTTAAAGTTGATAATTACTTTGTAATGAATTTAAAAACGAAGAATTGAAACAAAGAATACTGTTAATTATTTCATTAAGAATTATTTTAGGTCTCGCTCTAACCTTGGTACGTCGTTTTATTCACCATTTCTTCACTCAAGTACTCGAGGACCTGATTTCGTCTGGTTTCAAAAATAGTTTGATTTTTGTAATACGCCTCGAACAACCCATGGAAACCTCTATTTGCCAGATTTGATGCCGATATGTACCCATCCTTCTTTCGTTCGTAATCCCAAACCGTACGGTCCGTCCAGTATCTTTGAATCAAATCGTCGTAGAGCGTGTCATTGATTAGACCCCTCGAGAGGAAGAGACCAGCCCAGAAGGACCGCGGGACGCCAATTTGATAGCCCCACCAGTTCCAATCTGTGTTGTCAGGTACGCTATACGCAAGAAATCCCCAAGATTTCACGACCCATTCCCACGTCGTGGCATTCTGGTAGAAATAGTTCCCGGAGTGGTCTAAAAAATACGACTGAATGATTTTAGTCAATCTATCACCGTGTGTTCTAAATGGCTTTGACATTTTGTAGGTATTGTCGGTATAGGTGATATCTGTGAAACTGCCATCGGTGTTGATCTTGTTAGGTTGGACGTAGCGTTTCGATAATCTAATTGAATATCGCTCTCCGGCTGCGTCCTCTGGCATCGCAAGAAATCTGAAGTTTGCATCAAGTTCTGTAAGGCTGTCCGCCAAACGGAATTCCATCATCATCATCATCATCATCGTCACCCACCAGAGAAAGTGCATGTTGCGTCTCATCGTCTCCGTCTTCAATTCTTCTACGATCAGCAGACTCAACAGAGTGGAGTAGTGGGGATGCCTCCATTCTTGCTTGCTTTTATACTATTTTAGTTGCGAAAGTTATGGGCCTACCAAGATGGAATAAATGCAGAAGAATTATCAGATGAGCAAACATGACGTTATCGAAAAGTCGTGTCAAACTGACTTTTACTTAACGAATGGAATTTGAAATTAAATAATAATTCGCGAAATTGATTACCATCAATTGTACGAAATTACATATTTGAGAAAATTAATATCTTCAAGGTGAAACATTTCAAATGATGATTGTATTGTGACACAAAGCAATTTAGTGCTAGGGTGTCGATTGTCGAATGAAGAAATCAAAGAAATAACAATTTCCTATTCACATTGTGGGACCATCTTTAAATAATACTGTATCTCTAATATCTTTGGATATAGTTGATAGTTTGGTTTGTTGGCCCCTATGATCAAGAGGACAGAAAAATGACGTATTCCGGGTGAACCAGTCAAGGGCGCAGGGGTTAATAGACTCACTTGGCTGGATCGTGATTCTTGTTTTTGATTGTCTTGTTCATTATTAAGTAAATGTGGAGTTGAATAATTTTGACATTCCTCGATAAAGATGTGAAAACAGAATATTTGATCAATCCCCTATGGTGGGCGTTGACATTACGTCAAAGGTATGCAATACAACTGTGCGTGCAAAATGCCACATTTGTAGACAATTTATAATCAAGTCATTGTTACGTGATAATTTCAGGTATGTTAGTTAAGTATGTTAGAAAAATAGTAAATAAAACGCATTCCATGTGGCAAGAGTTCTTTTAAAGAACGTTCACATTCAATAATTAAGTAAAAATGTTAATGTTTTGACAAGGCCTCCAATTTAGCGAAATTTTTTACCCACCAGTACCACGTTTTTAATAAATTCTACATTACATAAGAATTATTTGAAATAATGAAGCCAAACAATATAACAAATGTCGGTAAAGAATTATTTAGTTTTCCATCAATTCCAGGAATTCATTTATTTGATGTTTATTGAGAAATAGTTGAGATATTTCATGCATAAATCGATGATTATATAGACAAACAACTACGGTATCTAAATTAAGTTGTTTCCCGAAGAAATGATGAGGTGAATGTTCGGATTTATTCAGACAAGATGAATGACTTAACTGAGGAGCACCATTCCACATCTTTTGGGACCAAAGTAAGTCCTCCACTTGGTAGGACAGATATGTATAGCAAAGCTGTCGGGAAATTAGATGGACAAACGAAGTCCATTACCATAAGAATGCTTAATTGTAATACACAAGGACGCTGGGTGATTAAGATTCCATTTTACGGAAATAATCAAATATTTTGAACAAAATGGAAATGGTGAGCTTGTTTTATGAGAGAGACGGGGACACTCTCGTTAAGGTGAACACTCTTTGTGCGAATAACATCAATGTGATTTATAATGGAACCCCCCCCCCCACCAAACAAAAACAACATCGCAACCATTTGGCCGTCTCTCAGTATTTTATTCTCAGATTGTATTGTATTTTTTTCGTTCGATTTAGAAGAAAATATAAAGGTTTCAGCTCCAATTAAAGTTATTCAATCATAATTTTGATGTGAAATCATAAGCAATAAAAGTTCATGGAAATTAAATAAGATATAGTTTTCATAGGTAGATCATTATGTGATATTTGAAAGTACTTTAAGTTCATAGTGACACAACTTAAATCGTTCAATATCATGGTCAAACTCTTGTTTCTCCCGGGTTATTTTCTGGTCATGAATTAAATATAAAAGGAGTTTATACCTTTCCATTGTCAGATGTGATATTTTGCTCGGTCTCTTTTGAACCCTTGGGATATTCTGAAGACGTCATTGTTGAACCGATGCAAGTACTTATACTTGTCACTTACAAGAGATCCAATATTTTGAAAATGTATTAAACTAAGGTCCTTATCCATAGTTTTTCAGGGTGTCATGACTGCCTGAAATCTTTCTCCACACGATGTCCGGCCCCTTCAAAATCCAACCAGTCCATAGACGGTAAGACACACAGTAACAATTTGTTTTGTGATTTATACATTCCATTCAACATATCTTCAAAATGTGATAAGGTTTAGGGAATTGCAAACCAGTCTTCACCCATGCATGGAGATACCCAGAAATGGGGCAAATGAGGCACCACTTTTTACTGTGGAAATGACGCCCCAAAGTACAGCCTATGCAGACTGTGCTATACGAAAACAAGCGGTGTAGATATTATGTGCGCACGGTGCCGATATTATCGGTAAATTTTTAATTTAAATATTTGATATTTCCCAAACTGAGGCAATTATATTCATACATACACACAAATCCAATGCAAATAATTTGAAATTGGAGCTGGTACACAGCATAAACAGGATTCATTCAATATTGGTAATCGAGATGACCAATCAATTCAAATTATTTTTGCATTTTGAAAGTTGGAGGTTTCTGTATGATTTTATCCAACATTAATTAAAAATGTGTTACTTCTAAACAAGCGCAGATGTCCGCAAAGTGACGATATCCGCACCGCTTGTTTAGAGGTAGCAGATATCCGATGTTTTCAATTTTTTAAATCCACACAGAAAGTTTATGACTTTCAAAAAGCAAAAATGATTTGTATTGTATCGATGGGTCATCTGGATCAGCAATATTAGGTATCCTCTACAAATGGGTGAATATAATTGAGTATCCAACATGCCTTAGTTTATGAAATATCACAAATTCAAATTCAAAAATGACCGTTAAAATCACACCCCATTCTCCTATACGTCGTAACACCGGATGTTTACGACGTTATACAAGTATTTTCGGCGGGAGATTTATAAGTACTCATTTATTTTGACGTTTTGACATATGGTTCTTTCCCTCTCCTAGACACATTGACCATACTATGTAGATAAACCTCTTGTAATATCACTGCGTCTCAACATGTCGTCTGAACACGGTCTAGAACATCTCAAACCTTCTGGCAAGCACGACAAATTTTGGAAAGTAATTATCATTTTTTCACAAAAATTGATCATAATTTCTATAAATCTAACCCTAACATCTTGAAATATTGATTAGATTAACAATGGAATTTTTATACATCATCCAGACACTTCAGTTTCCCAAATCAATGAAAGAATTCCGACAAATTATTTTTTCTTTGAAGGTAAACGACGTTAAGGAGGTTTACGACGTTTGCCATGTGACATTGTTTCTTTATACTGTCTTGACCTTACCTCACTAAACACGTATTAAATAAGATTTCCGTTGATTTAACATTAAACGTATTTATGAGTTCATGGTAATTTTTTATTTCATTTTAGTTTCCAGGCCATGGAGGCTAAAATTGTCCCTCGGAGCAAAAAGAAAAAAAAGAATAGCAAGTCTAAAGATCACTCACTATAAATTACTATAAATTGGCTGGAGATCACATGAGTGCATTGATTATGAAGAAGATGTTTCAACAATGGAGCACAAATGGCTTCATTTTGGAAACACATACAATCAAATCAAAATTTGAGCAGTGTTTGATTCAAGGAAACAAACATTATTATTTTCGGTCGGGGCTCACGTCATAAATTGTTTTTCCTCATCGCTATTACTATTCTTGCCAATTTTTGCGCCCTACATATTTAAAGAGCACATTCTGCAAGTGATTGGAAATTCAAAATAACTGTATAACATAACCTAACCTTGAATTGGACGGTTCTACAGTATATATATCTGTATTAATTTCTGAATTAAAGTTTGTGCTCTGTTATGGTCTTGAGCTATCTATTTTGCTGACTTAATTTTTTAGGGTGGTTGAAACGTAAAATTTATTTAGCGATTTACTCGTAAATGGACCTTTGAAAAGAATGGGCCAAATTAGAGAAATATAAATTACTAGTATTCCCATAAATGTTCCAAATGAGCAAAATTGCTCAATATTTGGGATATTTGACCACATTTAAGCAAATTAGACCAGAGTTAAGCAAATTTGGCAACATTTAAGTAAAAGCAAGTTTTAAGCAAAGGAGTGGTATCGAAATGGTGAACTTTTTGAACACACGTTTCTCTTAGACCAGTCATCAAAACATTCTGAAAATTTTACACATCGTCAATTTAATAGTCATTTTTGATGTTAGCATGATAATTTGAATTATATATATTTTTTCTTCTCTATATTGTTTTAGAAAACACATCAGACACTTTTTTCGTTCTTGGTATCATGTTCGGAATGAAACATCTATCCGAACCTCATTGGAACAAAACGGCGACATAAACACAACGTGTTTAGGTCTCTCAATATTGTAATTGTACAAAGGAAAGTTTGGTTGATTTTAAAAAAGTATCTTGTTAATGAAATAAAAGGTTTATCTTGATTTTTATCTATTTCAGGGTGATTTTGTTTTAATTTTTTAATACTTTTTTAAAATCAACCCAAAATTCCTTTGTATAACTATATAATATTGAGAGGTCTAAAAACATGTTGTATATGCTATTTTGTTCCAACAACGTTCGGAAAGACATTTTGTTTCATTCTCAAGAATTGGTAGAAAGGAGCAAAAACAATTGCACTAAAAAAGCAAAAACAGTTATATAAAATATTTCTAAATAATTTTCGCATTAAATTGTTGTCAATCAGTCAACATTACATAAAATACCATGTTTTTTTACAGAATGTTTTTAATGATTGGTTTAAGAGAAAAACATTGTTAAATTCAGTTCTCCATATCAATACCACTCCTTTGCCTCACCTAGTTTTGCCTCATCTATCTTAGACCCCGGAGTAAAAGGGTAGGAGGTCCTATCAAATTATGGTCCTACTTTCCATTGATTTATATGGTGACCTAAATACAACTCTTTCCATTCTTATTGTATCCACAATCAGGGCCAGTAAGGGCCTTAAAGAAAGGGGACCATAATCCCCAGGGGACCGTAATTTCTTTTACACCGGCTATGTCCCTACATAATATTCAATTGAATCCTGTATCATACAAAAAAACAACAAATATTTCATGAAAATATTGATCATTTATTAATATCACTAAGGTAATAATGGAAGCATTTTGATCCCATAATGCACCAATGAGAGAAGGTTTATCCCATGATGCAAAACAACAAGAAATCAAAATATTGTACACATATTTGATACCTAATGTATCTACAATAATTATTAACATGCATGCTTTCAAATAAAGCATATTGAAGCTTTGATTATCTATACCAGCTATCAAAATGCTAAATGAATTATACAATTAAGGTTATCATTCCTAGCATTGGAAATTGATTTCTAATTTCTAAAATATTACTATGGGAGAGAGGGCACTTTTCCAAATAACATTTACAGTAAAACCTGTGTGTATTGAACATTTTTTTGCTGAGAAAAGGGCTCGGTATTGGTAGGTGTTCACTACAGAGAGGGAAATTCATACAGAAATCAGTGGAGTATGTGCGGAGGAAGGGTGTCCAGCATTTAATTAGATACCATATTTTTCACAAAAAATATTTGGGAAATTAAAACTGGTTAATTAATTGGAAATAACTACTCCCTCTCCTTTCTTAGACTGATTTAGACTGATTCTATCTATAGTAAACACAATACTATAAATAATAAAAACTGATTTTCCTGAAGTTGGACTGGAAATCAAAATAATATTCCAAAATGCTTCTTAATTACAGAGCTCAAATTTAAATCCTCTATAAAAGGCTTTTTAGTTCTGCTTAATGAAAATATAGTCATTTTGACCACTTAAATGACTGCATCTTTTTATTAACATATTACATACTGTAAACCTGGTCATTTTGATGAACTCTATACAATACAATAGAGAAGCTTAATTTTTCTACAGGGTGAGAAAAATACAATCTTAGTTTCTGCCAAGTAAATATTTGACCAAAATGCTTTGAATCTGACCCTTCTCATGTGGGCAAATATTTACAAACTTAATAAATGGAAGGTGCATTGCAGGTGCATTTTCTTGCTCACCCTGTATATTCTGACATTGCGAGAGAAACTGGTCAGGATGTACCACAGTGTTCTCCTGAGGATCATTTTCTCAGGTGGAAACATTCCTATTTTCACGATTATGTCCAAATTTGATCAAAATATGCTAATGTACTGTAGTGTAGCGAGCCAGATACTAGACTCGAAAGAGAGTGTGCTAAATTCAATGCCCCGTACAGGAATCGAACCCAGGACCTTCCACTCTCGAGTCAGACGCTACAGCTGAGACTGTAGTAGCGACTTGCTATCGAAGGTCTCATTACAGTAATTTTTATATGCTTTTTTCTTTGTTTTCATGTTGTTCATTGTCAATACCTCAAGTGGGTGCAATACCCTCTTGCTTCAATGTTGGGAGATCACAGTATCATATTTTTGCATTTGGCATTTTGATGTATGTTATAAATATCATAAAATACCAGGTTTAGAGCATTTATATCACAGTTTTGTTTTATATTTGTTCTATGCACTTCTATGTGACACGATATAACATGATAAAAACGTAGTCTAGATCTACTAAAACATGATTTTGGCCAAGGCCTGTAAAAGTACAGACCAACTGTCTTTTCGCAGTACATTCATAATAATTATGTTTGAAGATGGACTGAATCTTTAAGATCACCCAGACTCCAGTTTTTTTTTCAATAAACACACATTTTAAAAAGTAATAATTCAGATATATGTGTGTTATACTAATATTCATAGTCTTTAATATTATTTTGCATATTGTGAACTGTTTTTCATTATAACAAGAATAAAGTACATTCACAAATGATGGGAATGGAAAACATAAATCAATTGTTAATATGACCTGTTGGGATAAAAGTTATAGGAAAATTATTAATCCTGTTACAGAGGTGTAAATTGGAATAACAAAGACATGAAAGTATACTGATATAACAAAATATATCCTATTCTTAGAAAAACAGCAAATTAATCTCCATAGAAACAAAGAAATATGTAATACAATGACAAGGCAAAGCTTGTGTGATACATTTACAAATTACTCTTTTGAATTTGCACTTAATAGTATATAACGCTTTAAACCCTTCATTTTAGTAAGATGATTTTTTCTCAAAACAAAATTTTTATATGTTTTCCTTATTAGTGATTGTTGTACATGTCTCTCAGTTTTTTTTGATCCAGTAGCATAATATTAAATTTAAGACATTGAACATTATATGAAATTGATTGTCCTAAAAAGTTCAATTCTAAACAACAATTGAGGTTTTGACACAAACTAATCAGTCAGTAGTCTTACATAATAAATCAAACCATTGCTGGTCAAACTTTTGTATAAAAATATACCTAACGCTACAATTACAAATAAGACTAATTGTCATTTAAGACAAGATTACTAGAATGAATTATTGATCTAAAAATGATGATTTACAATATAATCCCTAACAACATTCCCAAAGAACAACATCTACAAGTATGAAGTCTAAATAATTCTGATCGACAACAATCATACAATTTCCAATACAATAAAATGTTCTTATCAATATCTTTTACCACAATCATCTTTCACCATAATCATCTTTCACAATAAATTAAACGTTGGTTCCTTTGATCTATAATCTGCGTTTGAATGGCAATCCTCTTTTGCTCTTGGCAATGAAATTGAAAAAATATCTATAAATCAAAGATGGACTATTCACTATTCTGCAGACCATTTCTCAAAAATATTGTAAATTGTGATTCCTTTTGGATTATATTTCACAATGTTACTATGGCAATATTGAATTCTAAGGAGTTTGGAGAAACTAGTAACAGAACAAGGAATAGCCCATCTGTGATTCCTATTCAGTTATATAGTTGCATAATTTATAATATACCAGATATAAACATTATTTACCAAAAATATCCTTCCTGATATCTTCATATTTTTGTGTTGTAGTAAAGGCACAATGTGATCTTGTGCTGGTATCTTTATGATAATTCATTCTATCATTTTAAGATTGTTTTTTACATACATTTGACCCCAATTGATAGATCTACACGCGCATTGAGATCCAAAAAGCACTCTATAGTCCTTTCTTTAGCATTGGATTTCAAGGATCATGTATCAGTGTACATGTACTTCAACATTTTTGTCAGAATACTGTCTCAATTTGCTGTGTCAATGTACAACTAACTGTTCATAGCAAACAGCATCAATAATCATGTGAGCTGTATTACTCTATCATCAATGATCAAGTGATCTAGATTAGCCAATCATCAATGATCATGTGATCTGGACTAGCCAATCACTGATCAGCATGTCATCTGAATTAGCCAATCAGCTGGAAAAACCCTTCAGTTGTATAAAAATGGAGAAAGTACTATCAACATAAACAAAATGGTCCAAAACACTTTAAGGTTCCATGATTGCTTATTTTACCTTCGCAAATAAAGCCTATTTTTTATCCTTCTTATAGCACTATTTAAAATGTTTCAGTGATCACAGCTGAATACTCCAATAAACTCTCCAACAAATCTCACTTTTTTGTCCACTATCTTTGTTATTGGTCTGTTCCTCTAGTTTGAACATAAACCATTAATTTTCAAAAAAGCATAAACTGCTACTCTGGTATCTTTGAGCTACATCTTGTATTTGATGCTCCATCTATTTTTCAAAGTACATGTGTTACCTTAAAAATACTGCATCTGAGTTACTTTTGGTAGTTTTTGAAGTTCCATCAGTCTGATGTTTGATGCTACATGTAATATTTAATGTAACTTCAATTGATTTATCACTTTATTTGGTATTTGATGCAACATCTTGTATCTAAGGCTACCTCTGGTCCATGACTACTTGTTCAAAGGCCCCTGCTGTCATACGATGTTTGATATCTTGACTCCCTAGGGCAGTAGTGCCATCTTTAGCAACATATAGTTGGAGCCCAGATGCTGAAAATACAATAAAATAATATTCCTTCATACACAATTGCCTTTCAATACCAATTCTTTTTTCTTTTTTTTATTACTTTGTTATTCATAGAAAACATTTGAAAGCAGTTACATTAACATATACAATATTCATAATATCATTCTTGAAAGGGTTTTAAAATACAAGTATTTTTCAATTAGGTGAAGTTGTAGAAAATGGTGTTTCCTGAACTCAATTATAATTAATTTTACCAAGCTAGATTAATACTGTTAAACACAGCATGAAATACAACATACATAAATGTTTTGTTTTATAATATACAAGGGTAGTTCAAAAAGTTTTGCACAAATATATCTAATTGTGAAAATAATGGACCAATCTTGAATTTTTGCGCTAAATCAGGAATTTTCTTGTTTTTGCGCTTTTTGCGCTAAATCGGGAATTTTGCGATCAACACCTGATTTAGCGGAATCGCAATACGATCGCAGAAACGCAGATTTCTAAGGGGACAGAGTATTAGAAAAGTATGGGTGACCAACTCCAGGTTGCCACATGTGGGGGGGGGGCTTGAAACTCACTTTCAGCTGATTCGTCAATATGGAAGTCAGTTTCTTTGATAAGTTCATCTATAATCTCATCTGCATCAACTCTGGTTGAAGTGGACTCAGCCCTCCTGTTGTTCAGTTCTTCTGTACCCTTCTGCAATACAATTATACTGATTTAATACATTTTTATTCTTTTTTATTTAAAAACATATTTGCTGGAATTACACCACAAAATCCGCTAAAATGTTTTAGTGGAAGGCGTCTTACAAAATCGCCATTCTGATTACACCAACATTTCTAAAGCGTCTTAGGAATTATGTTTTGGAATTACACCTGTTTTTTCTAAAACGCCTTTTGTGCACTTTTAACGATGTAGTTATGGGTAATATCCAGCATACATGTATATGTACATCTCCTGTAAATGTATTCTTTTTGCATCTAAGACAAAACTGATCTTCCATAATTTGATTAAAAATGCATGACATTGCATAATTTTTATTTATCTTTTATTAATTATGAGAAAACATAATAAAAAGGTAAAAGAAAAATATGTACATATTCTCTGAAGATAACACTTGATTTCGATGTGACCTGGCGACCATCATCCATTTTTCAATTTAGATATAGTAGCCAGATAGCAGCGTGACCGGATGTCTCATCATGTATCAAATGTTTCAAATGTATCAAATATTTCGTTTAGGGCAAATGTTAAAAACTAGTAAAAACCCGGGTAAGGCGTCTTACAAAAACCGATCGGTATTACACCGCACACTTAAAACGCCTAACGACTTATGCCATTTACTAGTGACAAGGGTTCTTGGAGTTTTAGAAAAGCGCTTTTGTAAAACCGCAATCGTGATTACACCTAATTCTTAAACCTGGTTAAAACCGAAGACGCTTTTGTAAAACGCCATGTGTAATTCCAGCAATTGACTTCTGTAATATAATCTTACAAAGTATATTTTACACATTCACTCCATTTCACACACATCCTTCTTCATTCATTCCATATCTTATTATCATTTTGATTTAATACATACATACCATCAACTCCTCAACAATTTATCAATTGAGTGATAAATAGTGATTTATCAGGAACTTTGTTCGTACTTAAAAACACATCTGTTACACAATTCTGTTGAGTATTTTTGATGTTTCACATTGGTGTCATCAGACTCTATTAAATTCCAAAATCCAAAAGCTTACTCTAATATTACAAATATACCACTTCTTTGTATACAGTAGAACATACTAAGTGGAACACCTCTGTAAGTGGAACACCTCACAAGTGGAACAGTGCTTTTAAAATCCCACTACCTATCTACTCCATGTTAATGAACCTCTGTAAGTGGAACACCTTCCAAGTGGAACACTTTTTGTGGTCACAAGGATGTTCCACTTATAGAGGTTCATACTACTTGTACTGGTTTCCCATATTATATATATTTAGTAAGCATGGCTCAGTGGCAGAGAGAGTCAAGGTTACCAATATCGCTTTGGCCCCGGGTTCGATTCCCGGTTCAGACAAGTTTGTTTGTGCGTTATGTAATTCTGGGTGTTTGACTGAGTGGTTCACGACTCGTATAAAAGGCTGTGGTGTGTACCTGTATGTCTGTGTACCTGTGCACATAAAAGAACACAGGGCTCCTCCAAGGAGGGGTCTCTGGCTCTATCTTCGAGTGTAAAAATACGTAAAATACGGAATATACCTATGAGGTATTGCTCGCCAGATATGGCGGTAACCAAGATATAATAATAATAATAATAATAGGAGAAAGGAACTTACCCGCCGTCTTTCTAAGGACCGGCCTATATTTTCACTTCCCGAGCTTGGACTCCTAAAAAATTTTTATTCCTGTTAATATTAGAAAAGAATAAAAAATTACAGATTCACTATTTGTTTAATCTTTTAAAATCCAACTTGAATTATAATCAATCAGATACTTTCTCTAACTCGCTTCTCTCTTTGGTTAATGAAAACACAGAATGATATTCTGTGCTAAGGGCTGATGTGAAAAAGTAAGTCTAACCAAGTGAGGATCGAACCCTCTATTTTGAGTTCATACCTTAAATGTCCAGTATGCTCATGGTTCGTGAGACTAGACTGTCTACTATGTGTGTGTATACTGCTATAGCCAGAAACTTTGGACAGCTGGCTACCATTACTGGCATTCCTATTATGACCAAGTTCTCCACCTATTGCCAAGTGACTCTCGGAATCGTCAGGTTCTGATGGCTCGGATTGTGCTGGAAACATTTTGATCATTATAAGTCCATGTGTTACCTTCAGATGAATTTACTTGGGGTTAATAAGGCTTTTAATTGGTCAATACAGCGTCACCTGATCCTTGATACTGTCAGTTTATTTTTTGATCAGTCACACAATCCTTCATATTGTAACTTAGTGTACTTATTGTAACGTATTGTAAATATGGTATAACAGTCAGTTATATGATTTATATTCAAGTATTTTGACAAAATCTCAAAGTTGACTTACTGGATAATTTATTTTTCCTAGGGAGGCTACCAAAGCCAGTACTGCCTGATGTGACACTGTCCTCTGAGTTGTCTCCCTTGTTCTCCTCATGGAGTTCTTCTATTGGTTCCCCTGGGATGTAGAATCGCGACTTACGCTGCTTATTCTCTGGCCTGAAAAATCAAATTAAATCTAGAAAACTGGCAATATTCAGGGGACTCATATGGTGAAAATAAGGCATTAACATGAAAAATGTCACCACCTACCATTGGTTACAGATATCGACTGCCTAACCCCAACAGCTGAAACAGCGACAACCAAACACCATTCACAAAAAATGGAGACTAAATGTCAACACTTCTGGTGGTGACATAAAAAGTAGATTTCACCAAAGCAAGGTAAACTAGAAAAACAGGAACTCTAGGGAGTAGCAAATCCCACCGAACAAAACATATTTTGCTTCAGATTTCATTCCTTTCTTACGAAAGGCCATTTTGAAATCCAGCCGCCATTTTGAAAATCTTTCTCAAACAGAGCTACTGTGTCTCTAGGCATAAGCATATAAAATTTTTAAAAAATCCATTCAGTGCTATTTGAGTTATCAAAGATTACACCTTTTTAAGAAAAATGCCCTCCATTTTGATATTTAGCAGCCATTTTGAAAATCTCTTCTTCAGGGTAGTTTTTTTTATCCTTTGGCATTAGCATAAAAAATTTGAACCAAATCCGTCGTCAACTTATATTTAAGTCAGCAAAATTTTAGTTTTTTATGAAAAATGGCGGCCATTTTGAAATTCAGCCTCCATCTTGAAAATATTTTGTGAAAAAATCTACTTTGTCCCTAGGCATCACCATATAAAAGAACGAACTCCATTCACTGGTATTTGAGTTATCAAAGATTACTTTTTTTATGAAAAATGGCCGCCATATTGATATTTCATAGCTATTTTGAAAATCTCTTCTTCAGGGTAGCTCCTTTGTCCCTAGGCATCAGCATATAAAATTTGAACCAAATCCTACAACAAAAATTTGAGTTATCAAAGATTATGTTTTTATGAAAAATGGCAGCCATTTTGGAATTCAGCCGCTATCTTGCAAATTCTTTTGTGAACAAATCTACTTTGTCCCTAGGCCTGATATGTCATAGCTATTTCATAGCTATTTTGAGCTATTTCTCTTCTTCAGGGTAGCTCCTTTCAGGCATCAGCGTACAAAATTTGAACCAAATTGGTCAACTAGTATTCGAGTAATCAAAGATCACATTTTTTAAGAAAATGGCGGCCATTTTGAATTAAGTGGCCATATTGAAAATTCCTTCTCGAGCAGAGGTTTTATCACCATAAGGCATAAGCCTATAACATTTGAATCAAATCCGTCAACTGGTATTTGAGTTATCGCCTGGACAAACGGACGGACAGACGATTGGATGGACGGATGAATAGCTTTCCTATATCCCCCTCGAACTTCGTTCGTTGGGATAAATAGAAGCTAGGACCATTGGTTAAGACTACAAGTATGGATATGAAAATTAGTTCAGATAAATAGTATTTTTCATTTGTTGAAAAACTGTTAATGAATAGATGGACAGACAGACAGACAGATGTGAGACAAAAAATGACAATGTTCAGTACCTGCAATAAGAAAAGTTTTTCAAAATTCATTTTGCTAATATTGATTTTTTGCAATTTGGTAATGAGACAAATGTATGGATTGTGGTTAAAACAACAGCATCGGATCTCAGACCTGAGGATGAAATATCAATTTACCATTATATTATATTCCGATTGGAGTTTTCTTGGCCAAGCTCTATCAAATATTAAAACTGCACACTTAATTCAAGTGATAAGGTAGTACATAGCACTCATTATTTTATTCTATTTCATACCATACTTTACATTGCTCTGAAAAGTTAAAAGTTTGGGAAGTTCCGATAGGGTTATTCTTTTCAGATTTTTTCAAGCATTACATACAGAGGATTAATTTGACGAGGAAGTTACAAATTCAACGAAACTACCCATTTTACATATTTTTATAGATAGACCTTGGTCATTGGTTACTTTTTCAACCAGGAAGTTAAATTTAAATATATGTGCAGTGTGGGCCGAAAACCAATACAGTGTCATTGTAGACAGATATGGAGTCATTATGATTGAAACAATTCAAGTTTTTTCATGACAAATCAGTGTTAAACTTTCAAATATTTGAGCAATTATGTATGAAACATGTAATATTTTATGAAAAGTGTTCAGATTAGACAGGTCTATTTTTCAAATATGAATGTTCACTGTTCAAATTAGGAGATTATCAAATTTCAAGGTTTTTTAACATGGGACTCAATGAGAGGAAAAATGTGATCAAGTGTTCAGCTTGAGAAGTGTTCGCATTTGCCAGGAGTTTGGATACTGTTTGGTTTTACTGTATATATAAAGCAGTAGTGTGATAATAGTTCTGTATACTATATACCTGTATTTAAAAGAACTTAGATATTTTATGTCACATATTTTTTATATCAAATTCATGAAATACCATCTGAAATATTCTGTAATGTATGTCAAAATCAGTATTTAACATGGACATGGGGATAGTGAGAACAGTGTCATTCCTTAATTTAAAATATATAGCAACCTATTTCTTTTGAATTTTTGAAAGCTTGTTGTTTATGCGAGTATGAAGGTCTAAATCTAACCAATGTAAAATGGGTATGTACACATCATTAAAGTAAAAATGAAGAATGTACTTTCAAAGCAGCTTGAAAAACGCAAAATCTACAAAAGTAACACCTTCACATATTCTTACTGAATGGCGAGATGACAACACGGAGAGATTGATATACAAGTATTGTAGGCACGAGTTCAAGGTACATTGCATTAGACTGTTACAGGAGTAGATAACTATAAACAAGAATGGCACATGGCCACTGTTTACGTGTGGGACTAACTTTCATTATCATATTGGGATTAATATTTGCTATAGGGGGAGTGACACTGCTGATGCTAGTCCGTACTGTTTATGCTGGAATTGTTACCATCATCATTTTGGGATTGATTTTAGTTATAATGGGTGTTGTACTTTGGATAAAGAGACATCGACAGAGAAAACAAACAAATCAACAGTCTTGTCGAGCAGGATGGACTCATTCAGACAACACAATCGATGAGCCAACTGGGAATTCCCAGCTTACCTCGCCGGCTCCACCTTATGGTGTCAAGTCCACTTTTGAACCACCACCATATTCTTACGAAGTGGACATGAACCCAACGGAAATAGCAACAATAAATTCCTCTTTGAGGTCAACTGAGGATACTGGACTGACCAACATAGGATTCTCAGCTCATGAGGCACACCAGCTTTTCTTGCCTCCACCTTATGGTTCCCAGTCCACTTTTGAACAACCACCATATTCTCATGAAGTGGACATGAACCCAACAGATATAGCAACAATAAATTCCTCTTTGAGGTCAACTGAGGATACTGGACTGACCAACATAGGATTCTCAGCTCATGAGGCACACCAGCTTTTCTTGCCTCCACCTTATGGTTCCCAGTCCACTTTTGAACAACCACCATATTCTCATGAAGTGGACATGAACCCAACAGAATAACCAACCATAAATCCCTCTACGAGGTCAACTGAGGATACTGGACTGACCAACATAGGATTCTCAGCTCATGAGGCAAAACAGCTTTCCTCGCCTCTACCTTATGGTGCCCTTTTTAAACAACGACCATATTCACATGAACTCGATATGAGCCTAGAGGAAGAGGATACTGGACCATACCCGGATAAACTGGACATAAAAGCAACAGAAATAGCAACCATAAATCCATCTATGAGGTCAACTGAGGAAACAACTATCTGTGGATACAACCATCATATGACTGTGATGTATTTAACAAACTAAAGTTTTACATCAAAGTACACACTAACAAATAAATTCAACAACATCATTTTATAGATGGCAGAAGTGACAGTACCTGCTTCCAGCATCCACCGATCACAGGGCTTCAAAATCCAGAATATATTCTTTCTTTTTACCCCCTGCGATAAGCGGTTAGCATTTCCCTGATAAAGAACTCGCAATCTGATTGGCTGTTGCAACACTGCGACAGAAATCATGTATAAATTATTGCGCATAATTAGATCACATGATTCAGTTTAATCGGGCGCTTCCAAATTGGTTATAGCAGGGGGAAGAAGGAGGTACGGATTCTGGATACCTGCTTAGGAGGATGGCTTCCAGATATACTAGATAGTTTTGAGGTTATTTGATAAGCGTAAAAATGAAGGAATAATATGGATCAAATTCTGAGAAACAACATGATATTGACAGGCTTAAGCTGGAGTGTCAATTTGATATTCTATGATGTTAATGTGATATTGTCTAGAGGATAAAATCCACATTCCTTCCAGAATATCAATAATCTATTCATTCCACAGCATATACAGGGTGGGCCAAAAAAATGTTACTGATTTTAAAGTGAAGTAACTCATTCATTATTCACTGGTGATCCGCTCGATTACGCTGGTTATTTGGGTTACAAAATGTCGGTATAAGGTATGATTTTTCTTTTTTCCTTATTTCACGCGTCGTAGGTAGAATCCCCACAACATTTTTCCTCACAAACGTGTATCAGTATCATATGTTTTAGAAAATGTACATGTTTCCAAAAAATAGCTATTTAAGTTACATAAACGGTAGGGGCTAAAAGTGCAGATCTTAACTGTTTTTCGAAGTACCGTTTATGTAACTTAAGTGAGGAATTAAATAAATGATTCTGTCATCTTCTGAACAATTTGTTCGCAAATGTGTACATTTTCTTAAACATATGATACTTATACACGTTTGTGATAAAAACGTCGTGGGAATTCTGCCTACAACGTGTGAAATAAGGAAAAAAGAAAAGCCGTACCTTTGACGTTCCGACATTTTGTTAGTTCCAGTGTAATCAAGTGGATCACCAGTGTTATTGGCATGATTGGTTTTAAACTTTCTGAGATGATTAAGAATTGATGCAATTTTTGCTCCATATTAGTGGTTTTTATGAACGTCTCTACGTTTTTGGCGGCTGCCAATCAAATCATCATGTCCATATGTCATGTACATATCAGAAGAAAGTGTCTTTACAATATCTTATTTACTTGAGAAAAATTATTATTTTTGCATTTCTATAATATCAGCACATGAATAATGTATTATGAACATTTGGATAAAATACCTAGTATAGCATGAAACAAAGGATATGAGCAACAAAACAGCAAAGTGTGAAATCTTCCAAATTACAATACTTGTATAGCATTATAAATACAGCAACCATTTAACTGTGTTGAGGCAAAATATCTAACATTGTAAACTATGAAATTATAGATACATATATCAAATATTATATATTTTATATAATGCATGTATAGCAAAATTATGTTTATTTGTGTTTGTAAATTATAAAGGATCTGTTACTCTGTGTTTATGAGGGGGGGGGGTTGATTTATCAGATTCCTTAAAGTGGGGGAAGAGAGGGCAAATGACAACCTCAATTTCCATTAACAAGAGTTCAGGAAGTAGGACAGGGTATTTAAAAAAATAAATTGCCTATTATTTATCAAATATCTATTTCTTTATCAGTTTCCCAACTTTTATTTGATAAAAGTGGGGTAGATGTAAACAGGGGTTAAGCTAAGGTTCTGGGAGCAATTGGTCAAAATGGCATTATGGACCAGTTGCCATGTTATTTTCCTATACCTACTGACAAAATCAACTGGTCCTTATCAAAAGTGCTTAGCTCAAGCCTAGGTGTAAATAGGAACATGTCACAGGGGTGTACTCAGGATCAGTAAAAAGTTGAGACTTCAAAGAGATTTCAAAGCAATTCAACAAAAGATATGTTGCTTTTCCTATTCAGTGCTTGGCTATATGCTTCTGTGTCATTATATGGCACCCATACTCCATAGTTCCAAAACTGTAAAGAGTCTAACAAAAGTAGTGATTAGGTAAGACTTACACTTTAAATAATGGATCACCAGATAGAAGAGTCATATTGATGCTAACAGTCAAGATTGAATTGTCTTGTCTGTGTTTGGAGTCGTACCCTTCTAAAAGACATCGTCGTGACGTCACTCCAGCTCCGGCAAATTCAGAGAGGTTAACATCAACGAACCCAAGTTTCTGGTATGACTTTCCGCCTTTTAATTCCTGAAAGTTAATAAAAATATACAGGTATTTACAAACAAACAAGTGGTTATCAAGATTAAATCTGTTAGTAATTCTCAAATTCATCCTACATAACAACATAAGACAATAAAATCCAAGAGAGACTCTGAACTTGTGAAGATTGTGAAATTGTTCTTTCCTTGAAATTCTTGACAAAACAGTCTTATAAAATCTGTCAAAAACTCCTTTCAAATAAAAATGATTGTTATTAAAACCTCTCAAGTAAATTGATATTAGATAGCCAAGATTGATTTGTAAAGTAATTCTTTCTATATATTTGTTTTTATTAAGAGAAATTATGATAGAAACAATCAATTTCAGTCTAAATTCTGCTTTTAAATAGTCTTAGAGAGTGACCAGATCAGCTTGACCTTGGAGTTTAACACAAGCCATCAATTTCATTTCCAAAAATAGAACTGTCAATCAAAATATTGAACTGTATGAAAGAAAACCTAAAAGCTTGGCTGCTGATCAGATTTAGATTTGTCAGAGAAATTAAGATTCATAACAGTTATGCTCAAAATTTAATATGTATACATGATCAGATTAAAAAATTTATTTGATGAATATATAAGGTCAGTATGACCTATATCTAACAAAAATTGAAATTCATACCTTTTTTAAGCACAGTGAAAGAAAATATATCAACTAGATAAATTGATGCAATGTCATATAAAATTCATTGTTGATTGTTGAAATAATCTATAACAGTCTATGAAAAATTGATGAGCGATCGCAGTTGACTTTTCCTAGATAGCAAAGTGAAAATCATATTGATCATATGTCGCTATTTTTAATGCAAATCTGACAGAATCAAAAGACTTTTTAAATGTGTTTCATGCTGCTCATTGATTGGTTGAGGAAATGTCAACATAGTTAGTTTGAATTATCCATTTCCTGGCTTAGATGGGCCATGGCCACTAAATTGTATTTATTGTTCAGAGGTTACTTCTAACTAGCATTTGCGCTCAGGGTTAGAAGAATGGCTGGAATTTTCAAATCAGTGTTTTGGGGAGCATTCATTTAATACTTACCTTGCGTACAGACACTCTGCAATAGCACAACTCTAGAACACCTTTGTTCTGGGGAGCATTCATTTTGCACTTACCTTGCGTACAAACACTCTGCAATAGCACGACTCTAGAACACCTGTGTTCTGGGGAGCATTCATTTTGCACTTACCTTGCATAGAGACACTCTGCAATAGCACAACTCTAGAACACCTGTGTTCTGGGGAGCATTCATTTTGCACTTACCTTGCGTACAAACACTCTGCAATAGCACGACTCTAGAACACCTGTGTTCTGGGGAGCATTCATTTTGCACTTACCTTGCATACAGACACTCTGCAATAGCACAACTCTAGAACACCAGTGTTCTGGGAAGCATTCATTTTGCACTTACCTTGCGTACAGACACTCTGCAATAGCACGACTCTAGAACACATGTGTTCTGGGGAGCATCCATTTTGCACTTACCTTGTGTACAGACACTCTGCAATAGCACGATTCTAGAACACCTGTGTTCTGGGGAGCATCCATTTTGCACTTACCTTGCGTACAGACACTCTGCAATAGCACGACTCTAGAACACCTGTGTTCTGGGGAGCATTCATTTTGCACACAAAGGAAAACTTGCTTCGCCATTTCACACAGTGGTTAGACAGTTCTTCCCTGAAAAACAAATTACTGATTTGTAACATTGTAACTATAGAATATTTAACCACTATTTCGACAACAATGTTGAATACTGATGCTGCATTTAGACAATGGCAAAACTATGTCTAAATAGTACCAAGAAAAATATTTTATATTTTCAAAAAGTGACAAGAAAGTTCCAGTTATAATAAAAATGCTGGCTACCTTGTACTTTTAATGATAACAAGTTGAGATGTTTTTTTTGGTTTTAGGCTATCAGCTTTGGCTCTGTAGTAGATGAATGAACAAGAATGAAAGTAGAGGGATACTCTCATACTTCACATTTTAATTAAAATACTATCATTATAATTGCTTGGAGCCATGGTATATAATGTCTTGCTAATTGTTTGTTTGCATTACCATGTCTGGTATTTCAAACAAAGTCCCGCATGACTGGTAGAATGTTGCTCAAACTATAGACTATCAGGTGCAATTAAGGCTGATTTGGCAGTGTATGTCAGTAGCCAAAAACTGTATTATACCAAGGTAAAGAATCAAAACGATGGCATAGCTGCGGACTGTGACTCGCCTTATTCAAAACAAAGTTTACAGCGCATTATTGCTGTACAATGGCGGTAAATCCAAACTTAATTTTGAGGATATGTAGGATCAGTGTTCGCGTTGACGCCGTTTTTTGCCATTTTTACGGAAATTTCAGAAGGTTGGACGTAAAAATCAAAATCAACTTACGTCCCTAGGACGCAAAAATTATAAACTGCTTCAAGATAACTTTTTCTGCAGCACAGTAGCGGTGAAACATGATTTTCATCAAGATTTTCAAACTCACTACCTTGATATACGAGCAATAATCCAGGTATATTTATATCGACAAATCTGATTGGCTATCATGACTACCAAAGATTAACAGAGTTTCCAGTATGAGACATGGATTTTGATTGGTTCCGATATATTCCAGAAAATGCCGCAATCGAAATGGAAGATCAAAACATACAATATTGCAGAAATCCCCTGTGGTTCCCCACAAATTGAAACGATTGTTTTTCACGATTATCTTTATTATTTCCACTAAAAACCATTATATATTGATCTAATGTTATACATCAAGATAATTGTTTAATGATAGATCGAGGTTTTTCATCTAAAAGTCTTCAGAATAAGGAGAAATGTTAATAAAAAGAAGTAAAAGTTCACGACCTTGACATGACCTTCAAGATCGCAAGTTTGTAAAATGTGAAAACAAAACTCTTAATTTGAGCATTTCCTTTATTCATTTCGGACTATTTTGGTATAACATTACTTAAAAATTGGGTGAAAAGGACCCTGTGATAGATATTTATCGGGAGGATGCATCAAATTACAATATATGTCATTTTTATCCCATTTTAGTGTAAGCACTCTATTATCGCCCACTTTATTTTCACTTTCACAACATTTTCTTGAACTTTGTGAAGAAATAAGAGGGACGCAAAAAAATTAGATGGGGACTCAAATTTTTCAAATGGGTTGCGTCCCTGGGACTCAGAAATTTTAATGGCTAGCGCGAACACTGAGGATGTTTACTACACTTGGTCCACTGTGAATGCGCAGTTTGATTCTAATTTTCTTCTCATAAACACATTCTATTATCACATCATTCTCATCGTACTCATACTTGGAGTTTCAATCAAGCTATAGATATTCAAAAACTTGTTGAAAATATTCTCAAATGTATGGTTAAGTTGAATTATATGTACAGGTTTTACAAGTAAAACAGACTGAATTGCGTTGAACAGTTAAGCGAGTCGTTGCCATTTTTAAATGAGTGGCCATTTTGAAAATATGCTTTCCAGTGTACAAAATATGAACAAAATCGAGCCTACAGTATTTGAGTTATTGCCTGGATGGACGGACGTATGTACGGACAGACGGAGGCGTTCCCTATATCCCTCCGAACTTTGTTCGATAGGATAAATATGCTATGTTGGACTAAAGTTGGCAATACCCCAGACTTTGAAGGTAAATTCAACTTCTACAATGGGGGGCAAAATACGAAAAATCACTCATTTCCAGAAATGGGCTTAATTATGGTCTTAGCCTTCAAAAAGAATTAATTTCAAATCTCCCTATGATTAGCCTGCCTGTGTTTCTAATCACACTCAGAAATAGCTACAAGTACAGATATGTCATGATAATAATGCTTAAATCTTTCTTAACTCCCTATTAGAGAGATATATAGATAAGTAAGTATATGGTATACATACATAAATACAGTGAAACATGAAAGTAGAACACCACTTTCTACAAAACACATCTACCTATTGACCATCTTTCAAGTCCAATTATATAAACTGATGGAATTGAGTTAAGTTATGACTTTTGTATGTAGCTCAAGTAGAATATCATTTTGCTATGTCAATTATGTATCTTATACCAGTTTTACTGTATATGGAACTTAGACCAAATTCTCTGAATTTATGTTAAAATAAAATGAATATCTGAATTAATTGATTGACACGCATTTAATCGAATAACATTCTTATTACTCAATTAACTGATTCTCAAAAACTTAATCTTCAATATCCCGCCGCGAGGTCACTGACTGATTGAGCAGTGAATGTCAGATTCTGAATACATCCTTGTGGTAGATCAGAAGGGATACCCTATGGATTCCATAAGCTTACTGTGTGAGGCAAAAATGACAAAATTACTTCCCCACCTTTATTATCAACAATCACAGTTTTAAAGCTTGTTATAGGTGTCCTATATGATTGTCTGTAGCCTCAGTCATATATCAAAAATGACAAGAGAATGCGTGTTCCCCTACTTTACTGATAAGCCACCGTCAAACAAAACATAACCATAGTGATATTTCAAAACAGAAAATAGAGTAAAAATAAAGAAATTCAAGGTCACCATATTCTACAGGCATTAGGTCAAAGCTCTGAATTATAGAGAATCAAGAAAATGATGAGTACTATAGAGGATTGAGAGAGAAATGAGATGAATGATCAAAATAATTTTGAAAATTTTGGGTGGGAAGTCAGTCTTGGCATTTCACAGCATTCTTCAGGTGCATATTTTCACAAAACATGTCCATTAATATGAATACTACAGTACATGTATACAGAGAAACATATGGTGCACTTTCTCAAGAGTTAGGAGACAGCACTAATTTCACCCTTGGTATACGCAGCTAACGAAAATTGACCGGTATGGGTCAAAAGCTGGACTGGTACGGGTTAACGGTTTTATTTGAATTTAAAATAGCCATAACTTGCTCAATATTGACTTCCTCGTGTCTAATTTGAAATATATGATGCCTCCCGATGCTTTTAAGTACCCCAATTTTTTACAGATTTTTAAACGGACCAAAACTCTCTAAATGCGCATTTATGCTCTTTTCTCTCGAGAATGACTGTCTCATATTCACGATAACTTTTATTTAGTACTTCTAACATATAAGATCTATTTTTCCCCACCAAGGTATGATGTAAATGACATGCTATTTACATCTTGTCAATTTCAATGACGCGCGTTTGATTTTATAAAAAAATGCCAAACTTTGTGACAAAGAATTTCATCCTGCTTGCCGCGAGAAGACGGACCGGTTCGGGGCAATCTGCTTGCAGTGAGAAGACGGACCGGTTCGGGGCAATAGCTGATGAAATTCTTTGTCACAAAGTTTGGCATTTTTTATAAAATCAAACGCGCGTCATTGAAACTCACAAGATGTAAATAGCATGTCATTTACATCATACCTTGATGGGGAAAAATAGATCTTATATGTTACAAGTACTAAATAAAAGTTATCGTGAAAATGAGACAGTCGTTCTCGAGAGAAAATAGCATAAATGCGCATTTAGAGAGTTTTGGTCCGTTTAAAAATCTGTAAAAAATTGGGGTACTTAAAAGCATCGGGAGGCATAATATATTTCAAATTAGACACGAGGAAGTCAATATTGAGCAAGTTATGGCTGTTTTAAATTCAAATAAAACCGTTAACCCGTACCGGTCCAGCTTTTGACCCGTACCCGTCAATTTTCGTTAGCTGCGTATATCAAGGGTGAATTTAAAGCAAAAATCTGGTTCTTTTTAAAAAAATGTTGAACTTTTTTCATTAACATGTGTTATGGGAATTTATCATATATATACAATGATTTAAATTGACATTAAAATCCCTTGAAAAATTGTTGTTCTTTATTGATTTATATGTTTTATATAAAGTCAATAGTGTTATCATACATGATTGAAATTGACATAAAACATAAAAAGTTTTTGCCTCTGTTCTGGTCTGAAATTGCTCAGTTTATTTGAACATAGCCTGATTTTGTACTCTTTCATATATGTTAAATTACGAGTATCCCCCACCCAAAAATGTCATCTACATCTTTTATGATTAATCAAAAATTCTTAACTAGGTTTAAAGGTAATTCTCGATTTCTGGCAATTTTAGCACGCTTGGTCTTCACTGCGTTCAGTCAACTAACAGGAGCCGAGTGAACGAAGATGCAATTCTGAAGAAATAACTTGAAAATATCTTAGCTGAATAAATAAGCCGAGCTTTCGAATTCTTACACTAGAAGTATCATGGACTTGAAAAGGAAGAATCATACCCTTTATAACATTACTATACAGGGAGTAGCCAGCTTTCAGTCAGGGGGTGGTGCGAAAGCCAAAAAGTTTCAGTTTTCAGAACCTTCAAATAAAAAGCATTTTAAAGCTCTTTTCTTCTATTATTTTAGGGTTTGGTCATACTGATTATGGGGGGGGGGTGGTGCGATCACACCCATCGCACCCCATGGCTACGCCTATGCTATAGTTTCATTTTGGTTCATTTTGGTATCATCTATACAAGGTTCTGACACCCAGAGTAGAAGAATCATGACATTGAAACATGATTCTGAGTATTATATGCAATGATTGTTTCACTGTATAGTAGTAGGTCATGATAACAGGCTTACGGACAGAACAATAGTGAATAATGCCAAATAATTGGTACACTAAGTACTGATACTGAGTTAGTTACTGTTGATAAAAGCTGACCACTTAACCCCCCCCCCCACCCTCATACTTCAATTCTTACCATATTTTGCCAAACCAGACACAACATTCATGACTGACTGAAGGAAATTATGTAACACCAATGCAGGAGGTACATATAAGGGTCAGATTTCTACATAGCATATCACAGTATCAATGGTCAATTGCCATTCTGATACTCTGTGCCTTTGTGGTAATCTGCCTTTCAAGGAAAGATAGATGTGGCATGTCATGATGGGATAATGTTCATCATATAATTAAGCATACATAAGGGTTATGTACTGGGAGGTTTTGGATACAGGTTTTATCCCGGGGGAAATATGCGTATATCCCGAGGGACCGCAGGGACCGAGGGATATACACATATTTTCCGAGGGATAAACCCTGTATCCAAAACCGACCGTACATAACAGATGTATTTCATACCTACTGATGTTCTAGGTACGTCATATACCTTATAAAGTTCCAAAATTCAAAAATATACTTAAGATACGCATTTTATTGGTGTTATAAAGTGGTTTTTTAAGTTTCTGAGATTTTCAAACTCATATACATGTAACTCATATTTTGAAAAATAAAATTTGAAAAAAAAATTGAAAAAAATGTGAAAAAAAATTTCAGGAGCGGGACCGGGATGGATACAGCGTGTATCCATCCCGCCCCGGGCCTTGGCTAGATACAGTATATATTCCCGCTCGTTATGTACCTAGAACCTCAGTAGGTATGAAATACAAGTTGATATATCCAATACATTGTACTGTATATTCGCCAGTAGGGCAGCAACGTTTGTAAGCATAACTGAAATTTGGCCAACATTTGTAATTTGAATATCAAAATTAAAAATGTGAGCATACAAAAAGCGAGGTTGAGAAGACAGGAATCTCATAGCAGACCAATGTGAAACATACTGACAGGGCATAGGTAGGCCGACAAAAATCAAATTGAGAAGACAGGAATTTCATAGGAGACCAACATGAAATATACTGACAGGGCATAGGTGGGAAATATACTGACAGGGCATAGGTGGGTCGATTAATCAGGATGTTTACTAATGTGGTCAACCGTGCCAAGCTTCTGGTATTTAATTAACCCCACTATCATGTTCACCAAAGAGGCCTTTAGCACTATCAGCTATAGTTTCAACACCACCCTCACTAAATCATTTTAACAGACTTTCATAACAATTCAATACTTTCCTCAACAATGTATATAGCTTTGATTTTTAAAGTGGTAATTAAAACCTGATGAGCTTAAAACATTTGCATTTCTAGAACAGATGTCTGAAAGTTCTTGCCTATTCTTCATTTGTCATAGAAACTCTTGGGATTATCTTAATATTACATGTTAATGTCACATAATCTTAATTAAGGGAGCTATAATGCTTCTAAAGCCTAGTAGACACTCTTCAACATTCTAAACTTCATGAAAAGTATGTGCTAGTATAACACGTGAAAATTATGTGTTATGAGACGTTATGAGTGACCCTCAAATGCCATTGATGGTTTTAATGGCACTCGGTTGAGAAAACATGATTCATTTCCTTGTTTGCAAACTCAAAAGATTGATGATGTTTTATATCAAGAAAATTGAGGGAAAACTATCAAAATTCTAAAACGGTAGAAAAATATATGTCCAGATACCTAATGTTTTGAGTGAAATTTAAAAACGTTTTTAAAACGAGGTATGTTTAAATATCCAAAACATCTATTTACAAGTTATTTGTAGGTTTATAAGTTCACCATCAAAATCATGAATCATCATATTCTCAGAAATTTTTGTTGATAATGCTGAATTTAGATTCTGTTTATTTCAGTAAATACCACATCCCAATTTTCTGTTAGCCACATAATTGGAATGAGGTCAACCTTTCAAATTCCAAATCAAGAAAATTTTTAGTATCAAAAAAATTGTTTCATTTAGCTTCATTAAAACCCTTTTTGACTATTGAGTATTGTCAAGATATTCAAAATTGGTGAACATATCTCAAATGGGTGCAAATAGAGTATCAATAAGCTAGAAAGACATTTCAAAATTGTCAATTTGGTGCAAAATCTGGTTGTAGTATGTAGTTACATAGTTGTTATTCTTGAGACCCAAAGATATACTCAAGACCCCCTTTGCCCTTATCATATAGTAAAACACGCGTTTGTCAGTTGAATATACCTTTGGCACCTCAAAAAAGTGTTCTACTTGGGAGGTGTTCTCCTAACAGAAATTCATTGAAGAGGTGTTTCAACCTACAGGTTTTACTGTGACTTATTTGCTTTTCATTGAACTCTCTGGGAGAAAATAAAAAAAATAAAAGATACATGTACATACTTTTAATATAAATACAGGAAAGATTTATGTAGGAAATGACCACTAAAAAGTTTTAGTCTTTAGTGAAAATCTCCCAAAAGTATACCAAAACATTCAAATACTTTTTCTTATATACTTCTCATCCTGCCTTAGTATATATATAAATTCAGTTAGAAAGTATGTGTTTATTCCTGTACTTAGAATTTCTCTCCTATCATGCATTTTTCATTTGATTTTTCTCTAAAATGTCAACTGAGTGTCTAATTTTAAGCAAAACTGCATTTCAGACTATCAACTCCATGCCTATTTATATCATTCCTTGCTTATTCCACTCTTTTAATTTTATTTTTCAATTTTAAACATTTCCACAGCGATGTTTCTCCCACAGGTATCAGTAGCATACATTCTTCAGTGACTTAAGATTAAAATAATATTGGAACATTGAGATCTTTGATTTATCAAATGTTGAATGCTTAAATCTCTTTATATCCATAATAACTTTACCTGAGTTGTACATGGGTACAATTTGTGTATAAAATCAATGATATAAAAATAGAGGGAAATGAAGGGGGGGGGGGGGAGAGAACAAATGCATAAACAACAAACTTGGCTCTATTTCCAGACAACTGTAGTCATACTCATTCAGTGCAACAAACAAAGAACACCCCCTACATATTTTAAATAGTCAATTTGAAACAAATTGAATTTCATTGGAAGTAAATTAGAGATTTGTAAGATTATTGATAAATCTTTAAGAGCTTTGGTTTCTGACTGACAATCAAAGCAATTTGCCAAACAATGGAATTATAATAATCTGTTTCGACAACAAGATGTTAAATACAGGTGCATGTTCCCTGTATGGACATGCCTACCCACTTTATGACACTGGTTCTAGAATATGCGAATTTTGCATTTTAGTGACATTTTCACATGTTATTAGTTACCTCATTCTTCAAATTCTGCCTGAATTTTGTTAATATCTGAACTACTATATAAGATTTCTTAGTTCTTACTGTCTGATGTTGATTGATATGACATTGATTGATACTGAACTGCAGTACAAGCAGTACAAGCTTGGTAAACAATTCTCATTTTATCAATTCTGAATACAAAATGTCCAAAAACTGGGTAAAATATTTTTAAACCTTTCTCAAAATGTAACTTTAAACTAGTTTTACCTTGCTGATGCCATAAAATCTGAATTTATAAAGAAGGCCTATATAAATAAATAAAAACTTGATGTAAAAATAAAATCAAAGCAAATTAGTATGATATTATCTGTTTTAGTGAATAATACTTTAACAGCTTTAATCATATACAACTTTTACTTTTGTGAATACATGCTTCACTTTAAACAACAGAAAAACAATAAACAAATACACGGTGAATGCCCTCTGTAAATAAAGAGCACATTTTCTCAAAAATCTACATGTCAGTTAACAACAAGATATTATGAAGTGAAGATGAAGTTTTTATTCTTCTACAAAAAGGAAAATCAGACACGAATATAAAAACCAAACATTCTATTACAAAGGAATTATTAGTACATTAGCCAGTGATATGAACATGCAAATAAAAACATATACAATTACTGACAGTGGTGTTATAAATGGCATTAGGCGAAGAATTAGATACCTAAGAAAGTAAGAAGCTGTGAACATACTATAATGAAAAAATTAGCTTTGGGCTTAATTCAAATGTAAATGTCAATCAACATAGAATTAATAAATATGTAAAAGGCCAGTAGATTCTCGAAGAAACTTACCGTGTACTCAATTCTGTAAAACTTCCTCCATCTAAGAGTCGGACTTTGACGAAAATAATTCCATTAACATAAGGCACTGAAGAAAGTTCATCAACGCAGAAGTTAACCTGAAACTTGTACCGCTTTTTGCGCATCATCATGAAGGACATTGTTTATCACTGCACTTATTTACTGCAAGTTTTGCATCTCATTTAGATGCAGTTTTTGTATCTTTTAATTTGAAATACCATTCATTATTAAAAGTTTGCATTGTATGGTATTTTTCACATTTTACATACTGCTACTGAGACACTGTATACATGTACCTCTTGTCAATCAAGTTTTTCTCAAATCGCTTTTTAATGATCAACTTCTATCAGTTCATATACCAAGTGTAAACACATGTAGACAGCAATATAAGCATTACTTTAAATATAATCACTCCAATATTAAGATATACTGAAATACATTTCTCAGTCTGTCCTTGGATTTTTTGAATTTTTTTTGTTTAGAAAATGAAAGTTCAGAAATGATTTTTGATGACGTATTTTTAATGTATTGTCATTGAGAAAGCACTTCTAGGTAACTTTCCTAGATACATTGTAACTTCATAATCCTATTGGTTCATTCTTGTAAATGTCAATAACCTAATTAGTGTATGATTCACTTATTTGTGGAAGAGTTTTTATTTACAATTTATCACTTCCGCTTTCATCCTCCCAACCTCGTTTTCGATTTCGAGACGAACAGACGCAATGTCGAAATTTTCGAGAAAATATTTTGGTCGCATTTTTTGAAAATTGTCTTTAAGATGACTACTATACCACATATTGACTTAAGTCCAGAGGAACAGAAACGTCTACAGGATTTATTTAACAGGTTGGACGTAAATAAAGATGGACGAATAGATGTACACGACTTGACTGAAGCTCTGCATAATTTGAAAATTCCCCAAGTCCCAGGTCATGCTGAGGTGAATATTGATTTGTTCATTCATTAATGAAAATTACGATTGTTTATAACATTTGTGTTTCATACGTAGTCTAACGATACAACGATACAGCAGTATCAGTCAGTGGTTTCATTAGCAGCAGGGAACAGGCGGTTTTCACCGCCTGTTGCTTTTAGAGGTTTTTCTAGTATTAGTATCCAACAGACCGAATATAATATTCGGTCTGTTATGATTGATATACTTCCTGTGGAAATCTCGGTGATATTTTTTGCACATAAATTTCTCGTTTATTACAAGAATGTTCACCTTGAAAATTGGTGAATATGTTGAAGAGATGTTCATCTTAAACTAGAAGCAAAAATATTTGTATAAGGCGGGTACAAGTTGATATAAAATAATGAAATGTTCAGACTCACCAAAACTTCAGGATGTGTTTATAAGTACATCGCGAAATCAATGTCAAGGACGTTTGAGTTCACGAGATCCAAACGAGATATGCAAATTTTGAACTTTGACAACACATGACCACTTGATTACCTCGGCCTTCTTCATGAATATTTCCGCTCTATTTACTATAAATGAAGAAAATTAATCGGGATAATGATAATAAATGACTAGATCTAATAAATTCCCGCACAAATGGAATTTATCAACACGCTTCCGTCCGCTCCACGTGTTATTTGTTTACAAATAGACTGAAGTCACTGGCTAAATCTCGTTTATCGTGAGAATTGGCATTGCCAAAATGGCTTGACCTAATCAATGGCTTCGCTACAAGAAGCGTCTGTACATTTTATGAATATCTTCAGTAAGAGGACAATATACGAAAAAATAATATTGTAAGTACTTTATAAGGTAATCATTTTATCATTTAACAAACTTATTTGTAACATTTATACAACCCCACATTTTACAATAGGTGACTTACAGTCTGAATATTTATTCAGACGAAGGATACAGTCTAGAGGTTTTTCAACTTTTCCATGTTTAGATTTATGATATCCATTAATTTTGCCTGTTGTTTTCCATTATTTATTTAGCCTGTTGCAGAAATTCTAGTGAAACCCCTGATCAGTAGAACCCATCACCTCTGCTCACCTTACTGTTACATATTTGCGGGATGTGGTCTTGTCACACGGGTCTTCCTTATTTTGACTCTGAATTTCTACATATGTTTATTTATTTTGCTCATTATTTCCCAAATATTTTACATAGAATCTTTGTTATTTCATTAAACGTTTATCACTCTACAAAAGCTTGGAGGTACAACTTTTTGGTGATTTTAAAGTCATGTCTGCACTTCACAGTCCAAATTTATCTTCGTTCTAATTTGCTTCACTGACATTTTATTGTTTCTCATAACATATTCTCTCAGAATCAAAATAATAGGGTAAAATAAATAGTGTGATGAGAAGTGAAATTTTGCAGGGAATTTCAGTAACAAAAATAACAAGTGACAACTTACACCTCCCCCGAGTGTAGTATGAAGGTTTTATTATGATCTTGCCAGAATTATATCTATTTCCTCAACCAACTTTGAAAAAATACTGTGGTGGTCCACATGTACTTTGCTTCCTTTGGCATTGGTATTACTTTTCATTCAAGAGAGTGGGTTGTATTTTGTTATTTATTATAGTATATTGCTCCCATTAAAACAAACAACATCTAGGCATTGTAAATGAATAAACACAAGGAGAACACGCATCTCGAACTCGCAACCTCGTGATTGTACAAGTGAAGAAGTGAATATAACATAATTACAGGATTTGACTCTTGTTAAAACCCATCTAAACTGAATCGATCAGTTCGTTCTCAGAATTGCTGTTTCTGCGATCAGCTGTTTATTGATTTTTTTACCAACCATGAATGATATTAGCTCATTGTGCTGTATATATAAATAGAATTTTCAGTGAGATTTTATAGTCAAAAGCCTTTAGACAAGGTCTACAATTTTTCCCTTTGTAAATGCCCATGTTTTGGGGCTAATTGAGGCCATCCTGGTATTTGATAAATGTATTTTTTCTAATAACAGATGTATCAGAATGATCTTCCTGACAATTATTCAATATATGGCTTCCTGCAGAACTTGCCAAAGTAGGAGGCAGGAGGGACTCCAAAACTGTTTTCTTGGACTTGGATTGGTTTGCAATTTTTTCTTAAGAAATTAGATAAAGATCTTAGGAAGTCCCATCAACTTACTCCAGAAATCACTTGTAGGGTATCATTTCATCATATTCATTCATTTGATATGTAGCATTTTCCGGCTTTACGCTAGAAGGAGGGGTCTTATATGTCGACAAGCTATAATATCAATATAATTATGGATTTATTACTATGTCACCATCACAAGTGGTGACCCCGGGGTGGTGACATTATAGTCTCCAACTTTTTTGTGGATGGTGTTCAGCAGTCAGTTTTTGGCAGTCAGCATTCGGTGTCTGTAACAAATGGCAGATAGTGACATTTTGCATATCAAAAAAAACATGGTTAATAATTTGTTTTATATTATGTTCAAAATGTGCATCCTTCAGGCAAGCTTACATTCATGTAACACTTGCTATTTCAATATTTGACCATAAATCATCAATGATTGATCCAATTCTTTATTCATTAGTGAAGTTGATTGCAAGTTGATTGCATTCAGTATGCTGTTGCCTGATACTGTGAGTAGTGTGACATATAGTAAAGTAGTTATTGATAAGTACAATACATTAGTATATAAATACAATGTAAAAATAACTTTTCTATGTTCTGATACATATGTATCTTGTCTTATCTAGGTATATTTTAGAACATTCAAAAATCATTTTACATATTCTAAGAACTACCTTCCTTAACCCTGGAGCCAACCCAAAGTGTCATTAACAGCATTATGTCATTTAGGGAGGTTTTCATACTTGTTTGAAACATTTAAAAATCCAGGTTTATTTGAGGGGGGTCATTCTCAAATATGACTTTGTTCAAGTGTAAATGACATGTCTTATTTTTTAGCTTTGGTGAGAATTATATATATTTTACTCTTAGACCAGGCTTCTGGGGGTATATTACTTATTGCAGTTACTTGAAACATTTTCATTGACCACCTTATAAAAAGCTCTACCCCCTAAATTATCAACTGAGATTTTTGAAACAAATTAAATGAATTTAGATTTAGATATTTAAACTATTATCTACTATACATTTCAGAAATTGCTGGCAAAAAGTGACTTGAACAAAGATGAACATTTGGATTTTGCAGAGTTTGTACAATATGTCAGTGAACATGAAAAACAACTAAAGCTGGCATTCAACAAATTGGACCGCGATAAAGATGGTGAGTGTAGACTGTAGAATTTTCTTAAAGATGTCTCTGAGGCATTTTATTGGCTTTCTTTAAGATACTGGCCTATTATGAGTTGGCAGGGTGTTTTGGGCTTCTTTTAGGCTGGCCATTTTATTAGTTTATTCACCTCATTCCCATTATGATAAAACATCATCTCGTTTCTCATTTCTGAGATGAGAAGGCACATGTCGCAAGCAAACATATATATGATCCCTTCTGACCCTATATAGTCCACCATTCATCTGGACTGAAAGATACAATAGCCAATAATTAATTCAAACTTATGTTGGCCCATGTAAACATATTTACTTTTCCTTACTGCACCCCACCCTTGTCTTCCTCTCAAATCTTGATATAAAGCATGAGTCACTTTAACATTTTAAATTTATTTAACAGAATATTAACTATTAAAGTGAGACCTAGCAAGTCTTAAGGAAGTGGACCATTGAACAAATGGGAAAGTCGGGTCAAATGAGCAGTTTATTAATTTTATTAATTAATTTGAGATCAGTCCAGTGTACTTTACCTATTCAACTTAGTATTTTTAACACTGAGTACAACCTGATTAAGTTCAGCGTTCAGCAAGTACATTGAATCAGCTGTTATCTCCAGGCCATTGACGTCTTAATATGGAAGATCAACATAACTTCCTATATTTGAACGTGCCTTCGTATTTATTTATGGTAGATTGTTGACCAATTTTTGAAAACTGATTCTAGTTTGGGCTGGTAACTCCACCTACCCACATTTCACAAGATAAAAATTATCATTTCTACTTGATAAAAAACATTTATCATTTTGACATTGTTTATCCTTCCTACCAACAGTGAACACAGAACAAGTTGCATATAGGCCAAAATGCCCTAATACGTCACTTCCGCTGAATAGAAAAAAGTAGTATTCAAAAATAAATGTAGTCCCAACACAATTGTGATCATGACGAGTCAGTAAGCTAGTATGTAGGCACAGTTGTAATCTTTTTGCAATGGCAACATGCCATTTCTTCTGAAAATGCGTTTATTTGGGTTATCTGAAGGAAAATTTCGAGTCAAGTGGCGTATTAATTTTGCCTTCATTTTTGTGAATTTCAATTTGTGTCTGCAGAGAGAGGGGGTAGTGTCACAATTGACCAATTATTTCAAAAAGTAGATGATTGGCCCCTATTGAGTTTAGTGTCAAGATGTAGCTTAGACATAGCTTTAGAACCTCAGATAGGCCAGTGAGGCCACATAAATCCATAACTCGAGATAAAAAGTCAGGCGTTTGCCCTTTTGCCCATTGACTAGTATGGTGACGTGAATTAGGGCAGTTTTGCCTATTAGTCACATGTGAAAGTGACCAAAATTTTTTAAAACTACTCAGAATCGCCCAGAATTGAAGTTTATTAGTGTGAAACATATTTTGGACGGAGGCAAAAAGGGGAATTTTCATGAACAAATTTAATGTTTTTGCTGAATCAGCAGTTTTCGCTTTTTACCCCAAAAACCACTGATTTTGACGATATTTGGCTACAATTTTGTCCTTAGTGACACCTAAATGTCATTTGTTGTCGTAAATGGGGAAGCCAACGAGTTGCTATTCATCATAAAGATTGAATTTTCCATCTTATGGTTTCCAGTATAGAAAGAAGGTACATATCGGGGGTGCAGTCAGAAATTGGTGAGTTAAGTGTCAATTTTTGATGTATTTGTTCACTCTGAATGACTACATTCGAGCTAAAAAATATCTCAAAAGTCCCAATTCTCTAGGCCAGAGTCAAAACTGATCAAATTTGTCATCATTTTTCAAATCAGGAGGTTGTTGAATGGAATAAAGTATGAAAAAGTGATGATTTTAGTAAGATTTTGCCAAAAAGTGGGCCAAATTTGTCCAATTTTCTGGTTCACGGTTCAGTGATTTTGGCTAAAAATCGCAATATGCAATAAAATACTCAATTTCTTGACACGATACTGAAAAATGTCACCATCAGGCAGTGGATTTCATGATGTAAATGAAAAACTAGTCAAATTTATAGGAAAACCATTGGGTTCTTGGAAAAATGACCCCAGGGGTAATGAAGTAGCCATATTTTTCATAATTGCTGTCAGAATATTCTTAAACTGCACAAAACTACTTGAAAAACTCTAGTGAATTGGAAAAACGCAATTTGAAGCCAGAAATCATCCAACCATGTGGCTATTAGGCCAAAATGCCCTAATACGTCACTTCCGCTGAATAGAAAAAAGTAGTATTCAAAAATAAATGTAGTCCCAACACAATTGTGATCATGACGAGTCAGTAAGCTAGTATGTAGGCACAGTTGTAATCTTTTTGCAATGGCAACATGCCATTTCTTCTGAAAATGCGTTTATTTGGGTTATCTGAAGGAAAATTTCGAGTCAAGTGGCGTATTAATTTTGCCTTCATTTTTGTGAATTTCAATTTGTGTCTGCAGAGAGAGGGGGTAGTGTCACAATTGACCAATTATTTCAAAAAGTAGATGATTGGCCCCTATTGAGTTAAGTGTCAAGATGTAGCTTAGACATAGCTTTAGAACCTCAGATAGGCCAGTGAGGCCACATAAATCCATAACTCGAGATAAAAAGTCAGGCGTTTGCCCTTTTGCCCATTGACTAGTATGGTGACGTGAATTAGGGCAGTTTTGCCTATATCCATTAACTGTTAAACAATTTGTAAAATTCTGAAATTCTCTTGGAGGTCTGTCATATCTTCCCACTATACATGTAACACTTCCTTGAATCAAATCTGATCTGATCTTATTTTAGTATGTACATCAAAATATATTGGTCATTTTTCAAGTGAGGGGATTACTGTCATGACGCCATGAATGTGTCAAAATTAACCTGGATAAACCTGCTGGGTTGAAATGAGTCCACACAAATAACTTTTGTTGAATGTTTCAAGGATTTTTTTGATCTTGTTACTGTGATGTATTGTTCTCTTGATATTTTATGTATTAAAACATTTAACATAACCTGAAAATGATTTTTGGCATTAATGGTCACATATACATTATCCATATTTTTTCTTATTAGAAATAGAGGATTTTGGAGAATTTAATTTATCACATTTTTTAACTGAAATTAATGTAATGTTGAGTGATTAGTTTAAATTGCATAAACCTAATAGAATCCACAGTGCTTGTAGCTGTGAAATAGGGTAAAGTGTGTCCTTATTTGAAGTTTCCTTTGATCTGATAATAGTATTAGACTTACTTTGACCCCCCTCACCACGACAGTGCCACACCCCCATATTTCAGATGCCTCTATTGGACAGATTTGTTACATAGTGTTAACATGAAAAGTCAAGGACAGATTGACCTGTTATATTTGGAAGGGACTAGAGTTACAGTTTGTAATATTAGAAAGTTCAATGAATATTATATCTATATATACGTTCACTCCCAAATTTGAGCATCCCCTGAAAATTATGCAGAACTTGATGAAAATTATCCGTTATTGAACACTGAGGTGTTCAAGTATATGTAGGATTTACTATAGTATCATTTTATGTTCTGACTATACATTGATTTTAAGGTCAGGGTGCATGATGGGAAATTTTCTGCATTCCTCAATTGAGTCACATGTTATTTTTCAAACAAGAATCACTCCTTCCCCATATTGTCTATATCTTCCAGTTTTGCACAAAGAGTGCTCTTATGTGCCTAGAAAAGATTTGTGAGAAGAATGTTTTGATAAAGTGTATAAAAAACAAGAAAATTCAGTGAAAAAATTCAAAAAATTTTCAGAAATTTTTTTCACTGAATTTTTTCGTTTTTTATACATTTTACAAAACAAATCTTCTCACAAGGCTTTTCTAGGCACATAAGTGCACTCTTTGTGCAAACCTGGAAGATGTAGACAATGTGGGGAAGGAGTTATTCTTCTTTGAAAAATAACATGTGACTCAATTGATGAATGTAGAAAATTTCCCAACATGCACCCTGTCCTTAAATTGTTTACGTGGAAAAGGTTGTTTCATTGATCAACAGTATCGAGTTTGATATCAGAAACACATGATACATTTGTTTATTATTCATTTTCATCATTCCGATCTGAGGTGAATGACTTATTCGATGATCATTTGTGAACTTAATTGAATATCTGTTGCTATATGTTCTAGTGTATTTGATAAGTGTTATCCATACAAGGAGGCTACTATCAACAAGTCTAGATCTTTCTTTGTATTTCTTTTATTTGTTTGATTTGAAGGTCATGTCCTCATAAAAAGTGCAAACTTTCTAGTATCTTCAATTAACAGTCAGTATGCTCAATATATTCATATGAGGGTTTGTATGAAGCATCTTCTAAGCATAAATACATATACTCAATATGATAGACAACCATCACGTTTTATATCTTCTCATTCTTAAGATGTGATGGGTACCAGAATTATGTTCATTATTGGCTCATAATGTATTGTTAAGACCGAGCCACAATTACTCAGATGCGAGTAGGTAGTTACCAGTTTCGCCACCAGGTGGCTGAGTCGGGGGAAATAACATGGCAGGGTATTACAAAATTCCCTTAAACTTGAATATTCATCAGTTTTAGTGGTTCACTTTTCGTATTACCCTTTTGTATCTGATAGTTATACAAATTAAAATATGCCCAGTAAAAGAAAATATTATCTGCCCAACACAAGAAAAGATATTTCACTTTTTGTGATTTTACAACATGGGCTCTATGGGGAATCCCCCCGACCTAGAAGTCACATTTTCAAAGAAAATTAAATTTTCAAAGTTGATAAACTCTTTTCAAAACCACATTTTTAGATGTAATTCTACATGTAGATTCCAAATATGACATCAGTTTGACTGAATTTTGAATTTTTGATGACGTAAATCAAGATTATTTCTACTCGCATCTAGGCTATTAGAATTAAAATAAATAAAAAAAAATTTAAAAAAATTTTCATCGAGGAAATAGAGAAAGATGTGATAAATTGCAAGTTAAGAATCAGAATGATAAATAGTGCTCTTAAAATAGTGC